TGGACTTTGGATACATACTTTGTTTAATGAATAATTTTTTTTTAAAATTCTTTATTTATTTCTAGGATTTCTAATACATGGAATACTCATGAACACATATCAAATTCTAATATGCAGCCAATTTTGTTGCCGAGATCAACAATAAGTCTGGATAAAGATCATGGTAATTTTTTAATAAATTATTTAGAAATGAGTTGTGTAAATAAAAATAATTTTTTTCAGTTACTTATCCTAAAGATAATGGTATATTTTTTAATAATGCTACTAATTTGTCATCAAACAATGAATTGTCGAGTAAAATTGTTGATCAAGATTTTGCTTCTAAATATAGGGACAGGTAACAAATATTTTTCTTATTGACATTCAATATTTTTTGTGTAAACTAATTTTAATAATGTATTCTTATGATTCAAGGTTTGGAAGTTTAGATAGACGACATACCAGAAGTTCTAGCTCTCGAAGTAACAGTAGTATTGATCACGAACCTCCTGTTGTACCTATGCCACATTATTCAAATCCTCCACATATTGCAACCACAGTTTTACTACCGAATCAAATGTATCCAGAAAATAGTTTAATGAGAACACATTCTCTGGGAAATATTAAAAATGAAAATCAGCAACAAACACAAAAAGGGTTTACAGATTTGGACCAAGTATCATTAGTAGCTGAAAATAGAAAAAATTCAGAAAAAAAATGGCTTGAAACATCATTGGATAGTAGTAGTGTTGAATCTGGACCAATATTAACACATGATTTACCACCTCCAATCAAATTGCACACACCCCCTTTAATACCACAGCATGATAATAAACATCAACATTCGTTTGAGCCACTTGTTAACCATTTTGATAATGTATATATTTTTATAAAATCTAATGTTCAATAAATTTAATTACAATATAATTAAGTACATATTTCTTTATGTTTTAAACAGGTTCCATTTGAATCGCCCAAAAATCACACAGTTGTTCAAGTTGGAAAATGGCAACCATATCGTGAAGTAACCAAGCCATTTGAAATGTCTGATTTTTATAAGTATAGTACACGGTTTCGAAAACCATCTGGAAATTCTAGTAATACATCATCGGAAATGGTTCAAAACACTAACCCTTCACCATCACCGCCCCCACCACCACCACCGCCAGTTCCACAAAATAAAGGAATTTATCAACCTCTAAAACCTCTTAATTGTCATCCACTAGCACCTCCGTAAGTTGTCACAAAAGAATGTTAAATATTGTTTCATTTTCTAATTTTATTTATTTATTTTTGCAGAAATATGTCAGTAATGGAGGAAACGGTTTGTCCTATTGATTCGTTTGAACCTAATAATGAATTATGTTTGGACGAAAGTGTATTCGCTAATGAAATGTTGTCTTGGTATCAAGATGAGGCTACTCCCCAGTCTAGGACTGCAACATTGGTTTAATTATTATTAATCAAATAATTAAAATTCATTATTATTACACGCTAATATGGTTAATTTTTTATTATCAGCTAGAAGAAAACCAATTTAATATTTGTATTATTATTTTCTTTAAAATTTAGGCCAACAATATTTTTTTATATATTGTTATAGTAAACATGGTAATGCAATTATTAATACCAATTTATTTCAATATGTACATATATTTGGTTTTCAAGCTTGTTGAACATTCCATGTTCTACATTATAGAATATAAATTATTTATATTTGTACCTAAATTATTAATTTTTTTTTCTGTATGATAAAATCAGATAAAAACTTGTATTATTTTAATGTTTGTATTTTTATAACATCTGTACAAATTTATCAATTTTTGATAAATGATAATTATGAAAATGCATTAAACCTGTTCCTAGGAAATGACATATTTAAAAAAAATTTTAAAGAAAATATATTTTGTTTTATAAAAAAAATTATTGTTAAAATTTTAATCTAAATTTAATTTGTATGATTTATATTATTGAAAGTAAAAACATCACAATATTTTAAGTATGAATACTGATATTTTTTGTATTTTTTCATATTTAAATTATATATTAGTTGTACAATATATTGTTAATATTGAATCATAGTGTATTTAAAATTAATTATGGTCTGTGTTATAGATATATATTTCTATTATATGTTTATATACATGTTTAAAATCATTAATTAAAATAAAATTTACAATGCACTATGAAATTTCTATATTTATCATTTTTAATAATTCACTAATGATCGAATGAAAAAATAAGTAGTTCTAAATTAGTGTAATATTAAGTATATAGGACAAGACTGAATTTATTGTGCAATTAGCTTTTAAATATTTATAACTTATACAGGTGATTTTCGATTTATCTAGTATACATTTATAATATACAAAACAACAAAACAAGACTCAAAATAATTCAAAATTGTCTATTATCTTTTATTTTTATAATGCTGTAGAATTATATTATATAAATTCTATATTGGTCTTTTGTAAAAATGTTAACATATAGTTATTTTCAGTTAATAAAACTTGCTTAATTATATTTTAAATATTATGATTAAATATGGTATTTTATTATAATGTACAGTTAGTTGTCACTTAAAACAAACATGAGTATTATTATGTATTATTATTATATTTGTTTATTAATACTCAAGGGCTAACTGTACCAAAATAACCTTTTTTTTATATAAATTGTGCCCAGCTTATCCGCCTTGTATATGATTGTGAACTGCACCCAAATAAGATCTTTATAACTACAGTAAATTTTTGAATTAACTAATATAATTATTTAATTAATTTAATTATTTATTGAAAGTAAATGCCCCTGGGGGGTTCAGTATGGAAAAAAGAACCATACTTATTACTAATAATACATAAATATTGCAGAGTTATTAATTTTTTCCTAAACTCAAGTACTTGTAAAAAAATTAACATGTTATTGAATCATTGATAGTTAACAATATAATTATATGACACTGGCCAGTAATGATTTAATAATTAGCAAAGTCACATTAATTGAACAGTAATAATTACTTATCTTATTGTTGAAAATGATTAGTTTTTATAAATTAATTCAATTTTCGTTCAATTAATTGTTAATTATTATTATTGTTAATTATTAAGTTCAGACTATAATAGTTAACGATTTACACCGAATACTTTTAAAGCATTTGTAAAAACTTTATTTGATAACGATAGTAAACATAGGTTACTCGTAAGAGAATATAATTTAAGTCACAACCATGGATCTTTAAATTAACAAAAATGGCATTAAAATTTCGTAAGTAGTAATGTAAACAATTAGGGTACTATAGACAAATTTTTCACCATATCTAATATAATTGTAATTTTTTTCTAATTCTATACTTTTTTATATTAATTATAATGAACTAAGAAAATATAAAAGATTATTTTGTTATATATAGTACTTTTTTAAACTACATTATTTTGAGTGCAATTTACTAAATATGTTTGTTAATCTAAAGTGTTGTTTATAATAATGGTTTACAATCACCGGTATACATTACTATAAATACCGTAATGTTTGCAATCTAATTGGGATAATTATTTTCTAGCAATAGTAATATTCTAAAACAGTAATATTGTTACTTTATAATAGGGTGACCATACGACTTTTATTTTAAATTTGTGTTCCATTGTTCGACAATAGTTATATTGGACGCGTTTATTGACTTGTTTATTCAAGTCTCTCCTGTATAAATCCTATTTTTCCATTACTGTTAAAGAGTAAAAAGTACCATTTAATGTATATATTATATTGTTTTATTATAAAACTGATTTTTTCATATGTATAAATATTTTACTTGTATTTAAAAAAATATATATAAATTTATTCTGTTATATGAATTGGCAAAAAAAGTGTTCAATAAATAATTTTTACCTTTTTATTATTTTATTTTTATCAAACTTTTTAAGGCGTTTTGTCTTGTTAAAGCTCTTCTCAAATTTCGAAGTGTAATGCAATGACAACTGTGGTCAATGTTTTAGTTTTAATGGATTATTCGGAAAATGGCAATAATTTAAAATATATTTTAAGTTGAATCTATAAGTAAATGAATAAGTATGGGCTTGCTTAGGGGGTTCAACCCCCCCCCCCATAGATACTTGACAAATTTATAATATGTATTAACTAATTACATACCTATGATTATAACTATTGTATTTCCCAACTTTTTTTTTATAACAATTTTTTTATTTATTACGTATCATATTCTCCTTATTAGTCCACAATATTTGATATTGGTGATAGTTACTATTATTATTCTAAGACCGTGTAACTACCTACTAATTAGTAACTACAATCACAAATCACAAAATATGACTCGCAAGTTATCAATTTATCATATTATATCATATCACAGATTATTTTAATAATTATTATATAATTTATTCTTTAAATAAATTTGTTTTTATCTGTGCAATTGTGCTCACATTTTTAGTTTTGAAATTTTTTAATTTAAAATTAAAATGTCGCATATTAAAATTACGAACTTTTTTACCGTTACATCTACGAGTGTCCGAGTGTCAGTGCTACTGCAGCCGATACACTTAAATGGAAATACGAATTGGAAACGGAAAATAGTCAGATGATTGATAATCAGGTAAGGTAATAATTTTGAGATTTTATATGAACAACTGGTAGATATGTGCCATGTTAAAGTCTTTATTCCTTGCACGTTATTAAATTACATTATTCTTTAGCATGGAGCATAATAATATGTGCATACAAAATGTGGCTGTCTAACATGTAGTTAAATTTAATTGTTTAATAGTTATCAATATCCATTATTATGAATTAAAATTATCATAACTGTAAACATTGATTATAAATACTTAAGCATTCATTTTATTTTATTTTTTTATTGTCTTTTTTTATCAAATTTGGAAAATATTGTACCTTTTACACAAAGAAAAAGATATTAGCTTGTTTCTTAATCGCCACTAATCTGATCATGAAAAAAACATAGGAAATATTCTGCTAAATACTGTTTCCTAACACGCACTGCATCAACAATTACATTTTTAGGTTTTAAAAATGTATGATCACTTCCAGAAAATTACTTGTTTACATTGCTTAATAATTATGCCAAGAGAAATATCAAATTTCAGCATCGTTGGCTAGATAAATTTAATTGGTTATCTTATTCCAAAAAACTGGAAGGAGCTTTTTGTAAATATTGTATAGTCTTTGCTAAATTTGATGGTCAACAATCTCAAGCTTTAGAAAGTCTTGTGACACTTGCTTTTCAAAATTGGAAAAAAGGTTTAGAAGTAAATATACTTATTAATAAAAACTAAATTATTCTCAACTTCTTCACATATCATTTTATGATTAATTTCTAATAAATTCATTAAAATTAATTACAACAATAAATAGGTATCTGAAAAATACTCAAAACATGAATATCACACCCTTTCTTTATTAAAAAGTGAAATTTTTTCAAAATCATTTTCAAATGAAAAATCAATCATTTAAGATATTTTGGATACTGAAACAATGCATATTGATTATAATATTGTATTAAAAAAAGTTGAACCCCCTCCATTCGAAATTTCTTGAACACGCCTCTGTGTGTAAGTGCATTTATTCGTGATGATATATTTTTTAACTTCAACAACATTTTTAATTAAAATTATATGAATTCTGGTAAAAAAAAAAAAAAAATCGAAATATTGGAGAAATCTTGTGCCTATTATTTTATTTATAACTTGTTTAATCGCTTTTTACTCTATTTTTGATTCCTATACTATGCTGCATATTAAGTTATATAATTTTAATTTTGGTTTTATCGATGGACGGAATTACTAAGATTACTAAACAGGTTTTCAGAACGTTTATTAGAATGTAGAGGGCTTATTTACAAGTATACAATGCTTGTAAATTTTGTTTGAGATCTTACAATATTCTAATAACTCTTGAAGTGGTTTTATATATCAAAAAGTTATTTTATTTGTATAACCAATGGCTAACTAATACTAAAAATTCTACACCTTACTTAAAACTATCCATGTTCGCTTTTATCAATGGAATATGAATACTATAATTAATTCTATATGGGTACCTACTCATTAGTTATGAGTAGAGCTCGGAACTTAATGCACTTAAAAAGTACTAAATATGCATGTACTTATGCGCTTAAAAAAGTACTAATATGCTCTAAAAATATGCACTTATATTTAATTTTGTACACAAAATTTTCATTTGCACAAATATTTTATAAAATAATAAATATAGAAAAAGCAAAGTAATAAAAATAATTCTGATTTTTAATTTTCAATCATAATTTAAAAAAATAATAATAATAAATTAGCAATAAAAATTTTTCTTGAATAAAAAAAAAATCCCCTGGGAGAATGTTCAGTAATCATTGAGTTATTTTCCTAGAAAAGTATTTATAGAAAATCATCGTATTTCGATAGCAGCTGTACCTATTTGATAGTTGTATAATATTTTATTTTAGATGAAGCTAGATTTAGTTATAATTTATATATATATATTATTTAACTGATAGGAGAAAACATTGTTTTTAATATCAAATGGAAATTTGAAAAATATGATACAAGAATATCAAGAAAGTTTATTCAATATGAATGTAATTTATTTTTTTATTTTTCGAACTTTTATACTGAATCTTCAAAAATTATAAAATATGCTCTAAAAAATTGTAAAATCAAGAAATATGTTTTAAAATCTAAAAATCACTAAATATGCAAAAATATGCTCTATAAACTTTTGATATATTTTTCGTAGTGTCTTGGAATGACTTTCTAGCTCACTTAACAATAAATCCAATGGTGCAAGAAAAACATGCAAATGCAATAACTTCCGAGCCCTAGTTATGAGTTTATCGGCGAGTAACATTTTTGCGGTTTCTTCCGTTTCTTGTTCGGACAAAACGCGATACTCACCGGTTTCGCGTGGTATGACCGAAAATATACCTCTGGTAAAATATGTTATCATCAAATGAAATCTGTACCTAAATTACTATATTGGTAGACAGTCTCATTATCGTCTAAACCAGTGGTCCTCAACCTTTTTTGTTTACGGCACACCATTATACATCACAAGTTTTCGCGGCACATTCATGCACTTGACAACAACAACAATTTTGGCTGAACGCTAAGATATCCAGTTGGGTTAAAACCGTACAGTTCACCTACATATGTATCTGCACAATTAATTGACATTTAACTGTCATAGTTTCATCAGTCGGTATTTTCAATTATCAGACATTTTTCATGGCACACCTAGTCGATCCCGCTGCTTAGTAGTGTGCCGCGGCACACTGGTTGAGAACCACTGGTTTAAACGGTTTTCAAACACATACATACCGACATGCGTTTTAATGGTCAGAGCCCCATTAAAAAAATGTAAAATAGTAAGTCTTACCTCAATCCGTAAATACTATAAATAGTAATTAATAGAGTTCAATATAAATAATGTGGAAATTTAAAAAAAAAATTTACGAGGGGGCTTATTATATGCATACATAATAATTACGATTGTTTATAAGGTTGTCGATTTATCGATAGGAATGCTGATTAGTAGGTATGCTTTTTGTATGGTTCGAAATTTAGGTAAAAATTATTAATTTATTATGTCTCCCATACGAATCAGCACTGTCGTTGCAACCGTGAACTTATTTTCCCGATAATATCAATGTTCAGCTTTAAATATAAACATATATATATATATATATATATATATATTGATTGCACGTGTACTCAAGTAGGTCAGTTTTCGTATTTAGTAGCCATTTATAGTAAGCTAAAGTGAAGTAGATTACGAAGCGTTGTTTTTTTTTTTTTAATAAATGTACAGCAATTTTCCTTGGCAGTAGTAAATTGTTATTTGAACAGAAGTATGCTTGATTTTAATTGCTTTACTTCGCCACTTTTTTTCCTTTGTGTTAATTATTTTAAAGCTTCGCTAGAAATCACAAGACCAGATCACGGTGATAATAAAATTAATATATTTGAAAACAGTACATTATTGTGAAATGTAATGTAGAAGGAACTTTTTTGATTTTGCCAAAGCGTACACTATTGGTAGGTTGGGAATACTGTATATTTTACTGGCTTTCAATTTTCACCGTTGTAGGTAATTTGCTCTAAAATATTTTGATCTACCTAAATAACTTAAATTAATATCAAAATTATAAATGGATTAATTAAGTTTAATTAACTTTAATTAATAAAGTTTTTTACAGTACTTTTAATGTATTTCATATAATTTTTATGAATTTCCTGAAAATTCAAATGAAAAGTCGATGCGAATTCGGTGAACCATTTCAAAAGGTTTTTAATTTCATACAATGTTCTTTATTAAAATTATTATAAATTATTACTCTACACTTAGAAATAATCAAATTACCATAATAAACCCTTTTAAATGTATGGTAATGAAATAAGTTCTACTCATCAATTTATTGAAAATGTATCTACCTATACTTCGAAATTAAATCCTTTTTTAAATAAAATGAGATAAAATAAATAAATCTGACTATATTAATGTACAATTAATAAATGAGTGCTAGAAATTTCATTTGAATCATTTAATTTCATGCATTTTTTAATCACTAATTTTGCATACAAAATATCACTATTATATTGTAATACCATCAATCATGTATTTTGTGACAAGCTCTTTAACATATAAATAGTTCTTTTGCGGAATTATCTTACTAGGTCTTAGTTAGTCTAATTTTAAATAGCTGGTTAAAATGCTCTTAACTTTTCACTATCGATTTGTATTGCTTTATTTCAAATTAAATACATAACCATCAAAATTAGTACTTATCGCATTAAAATTAAAATCTTCATACTTCAGTTTTTTTATTATAATAGTAATATATATTTTTAATGTCTCTAAATTGAACCTTAATTAATTCATGTTTTATAATACATTGCTATTTTTACAATATTGATTTTAATTATATTAATTTTCATTGTGTTTTCTCAGGACACGCATTATTTAAAATTATTTTATTAAATACAGCTTTGATAATTCCAATATAAATTTTATATTTATGTTTATTTATTTTGCATTGATACCGAGGAAAAATATTATACCGAAGAATGTATTATTTTCTAAAATTAAATTAGAGTAACATTGTGTAATAATTAATTACTGTTTTCATACTCTTTTGATTTAAGATTATATAAGCATTATAACTTTATTGTACACAAAATAATTCCATAAATTTAAAATTAAATAATTATGAATTTAAAAATTTGCCGGATTCAGTTTAAATGTGAAGTAAGAAAAAGAAATATTACTTTTATGACACAAATAAAAATAAAGTAAAATTTATATGAGAGTTGGCTTGAAAATAATCTAAAATTGTCAAAGAAGGTGAATTAAAAGTGGCAACATAAGATTAGTAAGAGCTGATGTGATAAATATTCCTGGTCAAGGACAATTTTAGCGAAAAGTAGAACTTGGATTAATATTAATTTTAAAAATAAATTATAAAATATTAAAATATAAGTAAAAACAATACTAGGTATTATATTATGTTATATAAATGGATACAGGTTGTAACGTAAATGGATATATCAATGATGATTTTGAGTGGAATATCAAGTCAAACATATTAATCAAATACATCTAAACGAGTGAAAAACTGTAGACTTTAACTTATGTAAATATATTATAAAGCTTAATATCGTGATTTATTATTTATATTGTAATTAATAATAACCTCGAATCGAAACGTTAGGCTGTCAAAAATATTTTAACAGAAAATTAGCATATTATTTTTATACTCTAGTTAAAATTTAAAATTTAAATCTAAAAAAACCAAAAACATTTTTTTTTTATGTTGAAATAGCTATATTTATGTATTAACTACAAAAATATTAGATCCAGAAAAGGTTGTTGTTGTTAATTACATTGTTTTCGAAAACTAATCTAATACCTAGGAACATTTTAAACTAATGAAGAAAACACAATAAATTAAGTGAAGCGTGACATACAATTAATTTTTGAATAATAGGTACGAAAAACTGCGATAAACTTATGTAGACCTTATGTATATATTTATCAGTGGCGTACCTGTTGGGGGTGCAACAGGGACATTTGCCCCCCCCCCCCCAAGAAGTTTTTTGATGTCATAATGCAAATTCATTGTCCAACTTAAATAATGTAAATAATAAATATTTTCACTGATTATAATCACTTACTGATGCATTAACATCTATGGACCAGTGTAATGAAATATTATATCCAAATATTAAAAAAATACTACATATTATTGCTTGTTTGCCTGTTTCTGTAGCTTCTGCTGAGCGTAGTTTTTCAACAATAAGAAGGTTAGTTAGTTATATGCTTTTGCATCATGCATGCTTATATTTACTATATTTGCTTTGTACTTTTAAATTTAGATTAAAAACTTGGTTAAGGTCAAATATGGGCGAAGAACGCTTGGTTGGGTTAGCTTTGCTTAATATTCATAGACACAGAACAGTAGAAGTTGACGAAGTTATTGATTTATTTGCTGGCTGTAAAAAAAGAAATTTTGATTTTGTTATATGATTCATGTTTTAAATATTTAACAATAATTTATATTTTATAATAAAGTTTCGGATTACTTATATTATAACCATAAAAAATTGTGCAAATTAATTTATGCCCCCTCCAAAAAAATGTATCACAGCCACTGATTTATATATATATATATTAATACAGCTGAAATATATCTGTATTTGTCACAATTTATAGTTAAATCTCAAACTACATAATATACATGTATATCTAATGATTTTTTATATATTATCTATAGTATAGCTTTGTAATTAAAACATTTTTAATATTTTAAATATATTTTCATTTAAATATGATTATTATAAATATTATTTTACAATTTTAATTACAAGTTACACAATATTGCGTCAGTAATGTGTCTGCATATTGCGGAACAAGGACCACTACTAATAGAGTTATTTATAAAGGTAAACTCAAAAAAAGAAGATACCGGTCTACGATTTTTTTTTTAATATTTTATAATACTATAAATGCTTATATAACTCATAAAATGTAATGATTATTAGAGATGACCGTAACGACGTACCTACGTTAAATGTAGTTCATAAATTCCATATGGATATGGATGTATATTAAGTTGATATATAACACACATGAGTCTATGTTATGTTAATTATAAAAGGAATTGTAAACATTAAGAAAGGTCATTTGACGTATGATTTAAGCTATTTCTTTTTTAGAAATGTTTAAGTTACTGTTACGGCAATTATCGAATTATCGATATTTTTGTTATTAAATTGAACACCAATCGCAGCTGTACGATATACTTTTCGATATTGCTATGTATGCTGATTACAAAGCTTTCATACGGTTCCTACCTGCTTGGACAATTTAATTTATTGCGAGCATTTTTTTGTTATGAACTTTTTTATATTCTTTTTTGGTAGTTCACTGAAGCAGACCGAACTGTCTTGGCACGCGGTCAAGAAACCAATGGAAGTAGAAAAAAATAAGAAACTCGTCTATTTTTACATAGCAAAATGTATAAATAACCACCATAGCCCTGCCTTTCCTCCCTCGAGTGTCACATCACGGCTCATTGATAGTAAAAGTGAATATTGACGCTCTATGAATATTGTCCACTTGCGTCCTCCGAGAGGGTATTTTTTCTCGAATTTTTTGTTCTCACTTATTAATTCATTTTTGTTTATCATTGAAATGTACATACAATTTTTGCCCGGGGATTTATTTTGCACGTACGACATTAAAAACTATAATTGCGAATTCATAGCTAAAAATACGTATAGTTGTATTGAATTACATGGATTGGGACATGGAATGTTGCCAATTTTCGGTGTGTTAGCCATATTTGTGTAACATTGTAACATCTATGTTATCGGTTAGGGACATTTTTTTATGGATTTTTTAGGACATTAAATAATTACATATAATTATTTTTATTTTTTATATAACAAAAAAATATCATCTTATGCACAACGGCATTTTTACGCGCCTATACTCGCTTAAGTGCTAAATGTGTATTGTTATTTCATAGTTTGAGTCTATTATACATTTTCGTACGATTAAACGAACAATTTACATATTCATTTCGCGTTCGTAATACATTTTTTAGAGAAAAAAACATAATGCCCATCAACAAGATCCTTGCAAAATTCAAAATACCTACTTACTTATTAAAAAAGAATGAAAATTAATTATTTACTCCTTACTCGTTTATTATTGGAGTTATCATAACCGAAATAACCGAAAGTATTAAATTCCAATCTGAAGGCCAATTTAAAATTGCATTCATTAAGTGTTTGAAATTTAAATTTTGTTTAATATTCATCTTTACAATTATTCAATATTCATTAATTATCCAAGGGAGATGGAAAATATCCTTCTTGCCTTACTTTCAAAAATTCCACTTATTTTAAGGATCAGTTTCGTTCACAATTTCGAATAATGTTTATTATATGTTGACACAACTAATGTGCTAAAGAAAAAACTATAATTATTGTGTAACATACAATCATGAATCATTCAAAGTGTGTGTTATAAATACAATTCTGAAATTTATATCCGCTGTGATTCTTGTTTCATCATCATTTTAGTTTTAACGTATAGTATAGTAGTGTTAAATAAGTGTACCTTTGTAAAGTTTTTTTTTTTTTTTTATGGTACATTTTAACTCAATTGTCTATTAACATTTTAATGAAAGAGAAAAAATATATGTTCAAATTATTAATAATTGAAATGTTCTTAAGTGTGGAGAGAGTAATAGTGATTTTAGTTTAAAGTGTGTTATCCAGTAAAATTGCATATAATATATTTATATAAATAAAGCGAGAGAGTAAAATGAGGATGAATTAGAATACAGCACACAAACCAATTTTAAATGATACATTTAAATTTGTATACAGTTAATAAATGTTACTAAATTATATTGGAAGATCAATATGTATTTACTTGGTTTAACTATATTTGAGTTTATATATATATATTTTTTTTTAAAGAAGTCCATTGATGAAAATCAAAATACTAAATTTCATATATTTTTTGAAAAGTTTATAAATAAACTAGATATAAAATTGTTTGACTCTATGACAAAATAAATTAAAAATATGGACGTAACATTTTATAACATTGTGTTTTTTCATTTCTCGTATTTTTAGATCTTCAGAATAACTATATATTTTTGTTGAAATATATATATATATATATGTGTATGTTTATGAACATATAATTGCTACTTTGATAAATGAGCATGTAAAAAGTAATGATTGAATAAAATTTATTATAATTCTATAAACTGGATGTGATATTTGTAATAAAAATGAAATTTTTCATATGAGCATCGTTTAAGAGTTTTTCTGTTTAAAAATGCTAATTTTAAATACATTTTAAACATAATAAAATTAATAGGCAAATTGGTAGATTATAATCACACAATAATTATTTTAATAATAGTCTGACAGTAAATAATTGTTATTTATTTGAGATTTATAATTTATATGTTGTAAATGATAAGGTAGGTTATAATACATATGATTTTGTTAATTTTTAATTATAAATTTATATTGAACTTCTCGGTTTTCTTTTTAAATTAAATTTATGATTTTACAAGATGTCTTTTAGTTTATAGATTAAATAAGGATTAAAGTAGCTTCAATGATAATTTTTAATTTAATTATTTTCAGGTTTAATTCTTATTAGAGCTTATATTTTTAAATTGTACAAACGAATTTTTGTCAATAAAATTATTTAAACATTCCAAACAACTTATACAGAAGTTTGACAGTAAAAATAATAATTTGATATTAATGTTATTTATAAAATTGATATTTTTGGTAGTATAGTGAAAATTTGTATCCAATTAAATGCATTTTTGCTGTATTTTTTTTTTTTTTTTTTTTTGTATTCATATAGATATTTATTAAAATATCAACTTTCTTAAGAAAAGATTTCTAAATTCAATTTTTATGTATAAAAATCTTGTTTCAGACTACTAATAAGTAACAATTTAATAGCCTCTTAAATATTATTTTTATTTATTATATTAATTTATATTAATTTAATATTATTTTTATTTATTCCCTTTTAATAGGCCTGTGCTGAATTTTTAAGAATTATTACTATTTTACTGCTGTTATGATATTTAGTACATTTTTATTTAAATTGCATTAGAGATATAAGCTTGTTTATATTAAAAACATAATCCTTCATAGGTACTTTAAATCAATGCGGTATATAGTTATGTTCTGTGTTGTAAATAAATCAAGGATTACAATTATTTTTAGTTATTATCAGTAATTTCATTTGGAGTCTAGTATTGAAAACGTTTAATTTTTTATTTTTTACTTTTTAACCATTTAATTTTACTTTTTCTGTTATAATTCTTGATTTTATTCCTTTTTTGTTATTTTTAATTATTTTTAAAAACTTTAATATGTTCAATCATCCATCTGTTAAATGTATAAATTAAAATTTTTAACTACAAAGACTTGAACGATACATTTTCTATTTATAAATATTAAAATCTGTTATGAAAATCATTGGTTAATATAACAAAACAAAATTGATTCGATTAAAAAGAATAATATAAATACGATGCTCAGGATATTATTATCATCTTGTCATTGAACTTATTTCCACTGTAAAAATATTGAACTAATTTTGTTTATTTATCTAATGATATCAATATCAAATTCTTCGCGTATCTTACATATTTTTGTATACGAAATGCTGAAAATAAAAATTCTTGCGCTCGCCTTCGTAATTTTGTAAAAGAATTTGGCGAAGATATTTTTTCTCGTGGAATTGCAGTGCTTTTTTACCAAGTATGCTGTATTATATATTGTTGCTACTGATAAAATATATGATGTTCAATAATATATTGTTATTGGGTTTTATTCAAATATTTCTCTGTGGAAACTCATAGGAGTAAAACTATATAAATAATATGTGTTTTGAAAATGTTGTTCAATTTTTATGAACACAATATTATGTCATTTGTGAAATATAAAATATTAATAAAAATAAATACTGAAGAAATATTATTATTTATCCGTGAGATTTTAATTGGAATAAATTTACTATAGGGTTTCTGAAAAATAAACTTATATTTTTATTATTTATTTATTTTACAACACACGAACTATATAAAAGTGATATCACATTTCTTGCAAATTTGACTATACTGCTTAATCTTATGTACGCCCCCGTTTTTCTCATAATTTCATGTCAACACGTCTATCTGAATCAGCCGTTTGTGGGACGACAACTTTTTTTTATATACGATACTACTTGCGTTCCTGGTTTTTATTTGTAGTACAACAAAATTCAACGAGATATTTTTCTAAATAAAAATTATTGAAAAACAATCCTAGGTAATGTATTTGTATCTAATTAATTAATAAGTTTGGTAAGGATATAGTTACTAACTTTATTTTAAAATATTTATTTCTCAGAGGTCCGTATTCAGTTTATTCGTGTATTTTTTATGGTAAAACAAAATTTTTAATTTTCAATTTTAATTAGTCTATTATAGTAATTAAATAAATTAAAAAATTAAAACTACTTCATATTTAAACAAACAAATACCTTTGTTGTCTCAGTTTAACTAATATGCGACCAATCCAATTAAAAACTTCTAGTGTACAAGCTATAACCCATGAAATTTTAATTGGCCGGCATTAAAGCTTGTTATATTTATAGTTGATTATATGTAAAAACTGTGTAGTGAATTTTTTCATTTTATTGGCCCTTTCAATGAATTTAAACTATTTTCAATTTGAACACGTACAACAACAAAAAAAAAAAAGAAGATGCTTTTTTCTTTTTCTAAACTGGTTAAATCGTCGTCACATGAAGTCATGTAAAAATTATGAATTTGTGGTATTATATGGCACGAGTTTAAATATAAAACGTATTATGGTAGAGATTCATTACCTACTACATTCCGATAAAAAATATGGTTCATTAATTTTTTAGTAAATTAACAAGACTAAAAAATTATATTACAACTCAATTTCTTAACTTATTTATTATCATATATCAGTAGTATGATAGAAATATGTTCCGGTTATCTCGTTTAAGTTTTACTATGAGAAAATGATTAAATTTTTGAACAGCTATTTATAAACTTATAAATAATTAACACTCCAACTTCACTAAACTGTTCATTTGGATCTTAGCTTTTAAATTACATATTTAAATAGTTTTATTTTCAAATAAATAGTTACAATAAGTTTAATTTTTTTTTTTTATTTCATGATTCATTGCTTTTATATTGGTTTTTTATAACAAATAAAAATAATACAAAATATTATCTGATTTTAATCAGAAGTGTCAAAAATTATACAAAAAACAATATCAATCAATATATATCTACATCAGCATATTTAAGATTTTTTTATGGGAGCGCTAAATTTAAGTCTCGTATTCTGTATATTCTATCCTAAAGATGGAACTTTTTTTTAGTTTTAAAAATTAATGTACTAGGGCTTGAATCTGCCTAGAAAATATAGATATAAATTAAATTTTTGACACCTTTGCATGAAAAAAATATTGGAAAACGGAGTTCAAAGTTACTTAAAAATTTGATATAAACTTTCATATAATATAATAACATGTATTTGTTGTTTACTAAAATTATAATGAATATATTATGTGATATAATTTAATTTATTTAAATAAAGGATTTATTTTTAAATATTTTTTAAAAGTTGCCACTTATATTTACCCTTGTAAATATTAAAATGATCATTAAAAATTCTGTATATTTTTCTTATATTTGCCTTAAAGTCGAAAAAGATCTCTTTACTGTGGCTATGGGAATTTGTAATGTGGCAACATTTTGCAAGTATTTTGATATCGAAGAAAAATTCATTACAGTGTTCTAATGTTTCAACTGTAATTTGTGGAGTATTTTGAATTGTTGTCCATTTATTTTCCATACATTTATTTCTGCTTTTATTAATTTATCAATTTATTTCTCTGAAACTTCAATACCCTCACAATGAAATTTGACAGATTTTAATGTACTTTTAGTGTCATACAAATGAATGTATACAGGACTTAAATATTTTAGTGTAATATTACTATTCAATTTATCATTATACCTAGAATCAACTTTATGTATAATATAATCCAAAAATGATATAAATATTGTAACTTCAAACCAATTTTTAGTTTCACAAACAATTTTTTTATTCAAAACTTATTTATAGAACTTAATTTTATGACTGAAGCAATACAATGAATACTTAATACCAGTTTCTAATACTGTTAATTGTATTTATAAGCAACACTTATATCTATAGCTATGTTAGCTATGCTAACATGGATATATATTATATTAAGTAATTTAGCATTAGTTCAATACTAGACAGGAATGTAATATCTAAATTCTACGATCAACGTAATAAAATTAAATAGGTACCGTTAAACGTTAAAATGTTAAGAAGTAATTTGAAAATGTATCACGGGCCAGATAAAAAAAAATACGATGGTCGTCAGTTGCCCATTTTTGGTTTATATTGTATATGTAATAATGCATTAACCGTAGCTAACATTTGCACTGGTACAATAAATACCGATGCGTCAGAAAACGATATTCATTATTGAGTGTTTCGTTACAATTATGATATTAGACCTGATATTGTTTGTCCGCTTTCTAGAGTTTGTAACTGTATATTATTCTGTATTTACTTGTTCGTCTAACGCGAACAGTGTTAAGTTTCCTCTATACAATCAATTTAGCTATACAACTATATGGTTACTATTGTTTTTTGGCTCGGTGTTATCATTCATTGAATGAAAATTGCCGATTAATTATTTCTTGTTCTCAATCCAAAAACTGTCTATCATATCTCATTGTTTACGTTGGTTGATCATTGCGCCTATGTTAATTTGGCGCATCTGATTTTTATATAATATAAATATGCTTGTATTTGTAATTATGTAAGCCAATCAACGAATTATTGGAAAAATTTATTATTATGTATCTGTGGTATGTCAAATCTAAAATGCTGTCGTCTTAACTATTTAGTTAATACTTCTGACGTCAGAAATATGTGTTCTATTCTTTTTTTTTTTTAATATTTGTGGTCGCATCACGTTTCTCGCAATAGATTCACATGCTAAAAATATCTCTCGAGGAGCAACGAAGGAATGGACGTTGTTAGTGCTCGCTGAGTTGTGGTCATGTGCTGTGTTAAGTGATTTTTTTATAATGGAGCAACTTATTCGAAGGTGAGTTTATATTAATTTTCTATTTACAATTATTTATTAAAAAATTATTTCATATTTTACTTCCATAACTGATTCTTTTTTAATAAATATATTCAATAAAATACATAACAACATAACAATTTAAACAAATAAATTAATGTACCCTATTATACTCGTGTATTAAATTATCAATATTTTATACTTAATAAAATACGAGTTGTCAATGAATTTTTTTTAAAAAAAATTTACATTTACATTTATTCCATTTAACATTTTATGGTTATATTTTTTTCTTGTGAATTCAAATGTTTAGACTACTATAGTATGTTTATTATAATTTGATTATATTTTACTCAAATAAAAACTGAAAATGATTTTGATGACATTTTTTCTTAAAGTTTTTAAAATTAAGTTTTTTAATTTTTAATAAAATAATAAAGTTTTATTTAATTTTTATGTAGTTCTATAGATACCCATCTTTAAAATTGTAAATCCTACACTGGAATATTGAATAGTTATAGATATAGATATAGATATCTTACGGTATATAATGAATATCAAGAATATTATTTTAAGTTATATCTTTTAATTCGTTAAAATAAAATATTAACATTTAAAACCTAAATAATCGCAAAAGTCAAATACCTAAAATTTAGTATTCATCTGTTTTACTAATAATTACATAAAAAAAAAACTAAAATTAAATTTGATATCTTTTACTTTCAAAATTAAATATTATAAAATGTCATAGTAGTTATAATTAATTGAACGATGAAAAAAAAATCTATTAATACATTTTTTTTCAATTATTATCAATGTTGAATTGCCCTTTTGTATGTATCAGTAATGAAATCCGATTCAATCATAAAAATGTATGGTTGGTTAATGGTGATATGATCAATTTTAATTAATAGTGTAATCACATTGAGTGTACGATTGCATAAAATAAGATATTTTGGACAGTGTCCACGCCCTAAATTAGTGTAAATATTATTAGTCATCTTTATTTTTATGTCCACTCACCATATTGGTTTTGGTCCAATTCCCACAAGTAGACGTTCTATTTTAAATAACTCTAGTGACACTCAACAAATTCAAATATTTCATTTAAAAAATCTACACCAATACTTTAAATTGTGTGTATTGAATACCTGGTCCGATATATATCAAGATTTTCCAAAACTCTTGTTAAATAGGCAAATAATCTTTAAAAAAAATATAGCTGATGTATTTTTTATTTATTTAAATAATTATTTTTGTGTATTTCAAGTATTTTCATTAGACTTGATTTGCATTTGAAATGCATGAAAAGATATATTCTTATAAGTTAATTTTAAAACTATTATTATTTAACTGAAATAAACAATACTTAATACAACACATACACACTCTCCTACAGACACATATACATTATATATTATATAAATATATAAATTACTAGACAATGCATACACATATATAACTTATTACGGTATAGTATTATATAATTACTCTAATATGTATATAATTAATTATTTATAAAAATTGCATACTGGTTATAATTATAGTATTATTAGCATTTATTTTTTTTAAATTAATTTTAAAAACGCAATAATAACATTTAAAAATTGATAAATGTCTCATTTTATAATACCTACATTTCAGTTCATAGATGATGATTTAATTAAAAAAAAATCAAATATATTAAAATGTGTATGACATGTTTTTATTTAAAGAATTAAAATATATTGCTGTCGTAGTTAAATAAATTGAATTGAATTTTAAAATATATTTAAATTATATATTTTTACATTTTTACATTTTTCCTTATATTTATAAAAAAAATAATATTTGACTACTTTCACTGTTCATTATAAATATTTGATTGTGGTTATTAATATTTTTATTTAAAATACATGAATATTTATCTTAAGCGTGAATTATTTTGTCGATTACGTAACAATGAATATATTTCATCAATTAATTTTAATTTATTTAAAAAAAAAAATTATGAAAATAAATAAAAATGTTATTTAGAATGAATAAATAACTCTTAGAATATATTAGAATACTTTTAGGATATCAATAAAAACGTGTACAATTATAACTGTTAGGCTTAAATAATTAACACATTTTAAAAATTTAACTTATTAACTTAATTATATTCTTATTATAATAATTATACAATTTTAAAAATGTTGGAGTAGACTTATTTAAAATTTAGGTATTTTCATATTCAATTTATTTTAATAATACTAGAGAATTACAGTTAAACAATTTTTATGATAATCATCAAATAAAATTATTCTGTAACTATTCATATGAAAATTAAGCAAATTTTATTTATAGGTACATAGATTCAATAAACTAAATTAAAAAAAGAATATGTTCTTTATATTTTACTTGTTTATAAATCATAATTGAATGATAGTAAAATTATAATTTAATTTTAATTTTTTATTACATTAGAATTTATATTGAAAGAAAATTACGAATCAATCATTTCGAAATAAAAGTATGAACCGTCCATTTTTTTTTTTTGCCTAAGTATAAATACTGAGTAATTAGTAGTGCCTAATGAATAAATTATGATAGTTTTGGTGTGTTAATGATGCATCATATGTATAAACATTGTAATACAACGATGAAAAAATTTCTATTTAAATATCTTATTCGTTTTAAATTTATAATATTGTTTGTTAACTACTATTCAATATTCACTAGGAAGATTTTGTGTGTCTATAATATATAACTTGAATCCATTGTTGATTACTTGATTCCAATATTTAATTAAAAGTTATGATAAAGTATTGTGTTCGCTGAATTACGACTGATTATATATATTTAATCTATTCTTGTACAATTAAAAATTTATAAACATAAAATAATAATACGTTTATATAGTTTTATATTAAACTAAAACCATTTGATTGTAATAACATGTACCAAAATTAATAATATTATCATATTGTGTTAACAATATGAATTTTTTTAATAGAAAAATTTATCTGGATAGCATCAAAAATAATTATTTTACAAATACTTATTGACATTTGTCACACTATTTTCCATACATCGTATATTGTATAGCTTGTCCGAAATGCTAATTATAGTGTACATATTTTCTAATATTAACCTTTACTCTGAGCCAGCTAGGAATGCTAGAGTGAATGTTATACATAACAGACGATATTGTTCTCTATAGTATTAAAAAATAAAACAATACATTTTAACAACCTCGTATTGAAATTGGGTAATACTTAAATATAAAATAAATTTACAACTGAATAAAAATTTAAACAACGCATTTTATATTTTAATGATTATTTTTGAATACAAAATAATTGATTACCTAACCTATTAATTTAAATAGTTTAACATATTATCGTAGTATAAATTATTAAGAATCGGGTGAAACAATTTGAAACAATTCAGTTTAAATGTTGTACAATATTAATTTATTCGTCCAAAATATTTCAAATTAAAATATTATTTTTAAATATAATTTAAAATTAAAACGTGAATATTATAAGAATTTACTAAGACATTTTTATATTTTATAAATGTAGTCCATATTTCAATAATTTTTTAAATTGAAATCGAAAATTATATCTTAAATTCTAGTTATAATTAATCGATAACTGAATACGTGTATACTTAATTTAGTTCATTAATAAAATATTAAATTTAATTAACTGTCGCAATATATTTTGTTGTTCTAAAATATATTTCTATAGTTTTGGTAAAAATTATTCCATTATCGATAGTTCAAGATCAATTAATAAATTGGATTAAGTTGGATGATTAAAAATTACATTTGAATTAAAACTTTTCAAATGTATAATATTATGGTAGAAACGTTTTATGTCTTTGAAACACTAGAAAAATTTATCAAGCCTACATGTAAATATTTACAGAGGTACATATTTAAGAGATAGGGAAATTTCGACCCAGATCATCTATCTATAAAAAAAAAAAATTGTAAATTAATTTATAATGTACATTTTGATATTAAGTATATATTTTTAAATTTATTTAGATTTTAAGATTATGAAAAATATACTTTTAACTATTAAATTACATATTCGCATATGTATATACATATATTACATATATACAATAACTTTTACATAAATTATTCGTTATTAATTTTTTTTTTTTAATATACTTGTTTTTATAGTGGCACTAAATAAAATACCTAAATTATATAATTAAATTTAAAATATCATCTGAGTATCTTAATTCTAACTATTTATTATATAAATATAAATTCAAACAAGATTGCTGTAAATTAATTTATAATTCATATATTTCATCTTCATGTGTATATACCAAATTATAATCTATGTTTTAATTTGTGTTATCCTTAAACATTTATATCCATTTGTTTAAACATACAAATAAGTTATAGATTTTTTTCATTGGCCTTTTTCCCATTTTATTTACTTATATTTTACTAATTATTATCGTTAGCCATTTTATCTAAACAAAATATAATTTCTACAAAAATATGCGTTCTAATGTTATACATGAAAAAATGTGATTCGTATCATTTCAAAACTAAAAGTTATTTATTTTAGAATCATAGATGTTATAAAAATATACTAACCTATTTAACATTAATTTTTCATCCAAATGTATGAAAAGCTTTAGTGGGGTAAAATGGTGTGGTTAAAGAAAAACAACGTAGGTGCAAAAGCTCTGTAAAATATTCAGTGCACTCTTAACTTAATACTAGACACTTGTTATCTCACAATATATTTTAATTTTGGCAAATTAATTATCTTTCTTTTTATTGGTAATTAAATTTTTTTTATATTTTTCTTTTTAGAATACTTTTTTAATATTACTAGATGTAAAAATAAAAAAATTAATTGAATACTCAAACAATATTTTATTTAAAATTTGAAAACAAAATATTTTTTTTTCAAAAGTGTTCTTAATGTTTGATTAAGTTCAAATAAATTATTAACTTACTTTCATATGAATAAATAATTGGACATCAATTTTTTCAACAAATCGTAGTAGACTACATCTACATATGTATGTAAAATACATAAACTGTTCGTCTTTATAATGTTTTTTTTCTTAGTTATGTAAAATTAATAATAACTTTTGATTTCCAAAAAGCTAAAATAAACATATACGTTTTTAATTGTTATAAGAAGTACTTTTTTTAAGATCAACCATTTCCAATCATATAGAACAATAAATCGTATATTTTCTTATTCAATTAAGTCTTGGGATTAAATCTAATATTTTTATGCTCTGCCTCAGTAAACTGTTATTTTTTATAATTTATAAAATGTATCCGTCATCACGCCTACGTGATATAGTATAAATATGTAATCGACTTGTATTTATATTTTAGTGCTACACATAAATTAATTTTAGATTTATATAAAGGATTGAATTTCTTAGTTTTTATTTCTGTACATTTTTTTTTTCTGGCACAAAAATTAATAATTTACAATTTTCACATTAAATTATACATAAAATTTATAAATAATATATCGGTTTATCTTACATACTATAATATTATAAATCATGTATTTTTTTATTTTTTATTTTATTTTTTTTAAATAATAGGGATTCAATACTTATTTATCTTTTTATTAAGTGTAAAATATTTGATTTATTACAGTATATTAATAAAATATTGACTTTGGTTGTTAAAAAGAATCGATAATGTATTTTAAAACTGTTTATAATAATACATTTTGCTAATAAAAAATGTATAAATTCGTATATATGAAATTTTAATGCCCTAAATTTTATATCAGTTCAAATTCAATTAGAAATATTTCAAAACATAAAACTTAATAAGACCACTGCAAATCTTGCACTTTATAGTACCAACTTATATTTCCACTGATTACAACATAATAACTTTAGATCCATATGATTGGAATATCTGGAATATTTTATTCATATCTTTGGGATGATTTTTTTAATATTATTTTGATAGTTTGTAATTTTTATTAAGGTTTAAAATATTAATTTCCTATATTATTTTTTTATAGTTGTAATTTTTCATAAGCTTATTTACTTATTGAATTTCAAAATGGTCATATCAGATTTGAACTATATAACATCCAACATTTCTTTCTTAGCTTTACTAAGACTATTGCATTTTGAAGATAGTACTTTATTTTTTGAATGTCTGTTATAAAACCTTAAAATAATAAAGTATCTTTTATTCAATAGTTTGACATAAGAATGTTTATGTTTCTTATATACAATAAATAATATATTATCATGTTTTAAATCCATGCATTTATAAAAATACCTTTTAAATAAATATCAATGATTGTATATAGATCAATTAAATTATAACTATAAATGAGAAATACTTCAATAAGTATTTATTAAACTTATAATTTACATCAACACAATATCATCACGTCTCATATTTTTGCTAAAAAAAAAAATCTTATTATTTTTTTTTTTTTTATGAATTCTGAAGTTTTTTTAATGTTGTGAAAGTATGTACATAAGTATGATTATAACTAATGATTATCAATTTGTTATTTTTACAGAATATTATCATATAGAATTCTCTATAGAGGCAGAAAAATGTCATTAAATTATTAAATTTTCGAGTAAAGTACCTCCTCGCTAGAGCAAACAGAACGATAGCATTTTTTTGCCATTGAGCAGGAATCAGCTTGCTCGTAAAAATGGGGGTAGCCGAAGATTTTGCTCCAAGCTTCACGCAGAAGCCACAACTGCGTCAAGAAGATGAAGGCAACCGATTGATATTTGAATGCCGTTTGTTGGGATGCCCCAAGCCGGAAATTACATGGTTTCGAGGTGAAACCCAACTAGCTGAAGATCACAGAACCATTATGAAAATACAAGCCGTTGCTACCAACACGTATGTCGTAATACTTGAGTTGGACGATGTAGTCGAAATGGACGCTGGTCTTTATAAGGTTAAGGCGAAAAACAAAATGGGCGAAGTGGCTGCATCAATCAATTTAAATTTCAGTCGTAAGTAATACGAACCTATTATATTATAGTTATTAAATTGATTTATTAATTAATTAATTGATTAATATTTAAATTATATTTTTATTAAATTTAAATCTATAATATTGAGAAAAATACCATCCTAAGAAACTCTTATAGTCTATAAAATTAAAAATTGCAGTCAGTTAAAATAAAAAAAACTTAAATTATCAACGTTTACAAATCGATTGCATTATTAATTAATTTATATAGAAAAAAAAACCATTTTGCAATTTTACTTTCAGAGAATATTTCAGTATTCTCAAAAATCAAATAACTTAAGATCTAAATATAAAATCTAAACCTAAATATGTATATATTATTCTTGTTAAACCTTATCTGGATATATGGTATTCATAGTTGAGTACAAGCTTAGCCCGGATCACAATACCAAATTTTTCCTATTTAACCTTATCTATTATTTTTTCTTCGTTTTATAATATCTGCTGTCCAAATTATTCTTTCAAAATAATATGTTAAATTAATACATCGATCAATTAGTAAATTAACAATATTTAAATCCCTTTCGCATCAAAATCCTTTAGTTTTCTTATTTTCTATCTGATTATTACTTATTTAGTAATTTTCAACGAAACCTAGCTTGTCATCATCTTCTATTTATAATCAATTGATAATTATTGATAATTTTGTATTGAGATTACAATTAGATGGCTATTACTCACTCTCGTTTATCTATTTTATTAATTTTCTTTTTTGTTATTTAATTCTACCTCGTTTGCTTAATGTGTATTTAATACAACTTTTTTTAAGTAATAAAAATAATTATTTCGTAAACATGAGTGAAATGTTATTATATTTCTTATATTATATTTACTTAAAAATAAATCATTTAAAATCTAAATAAATCTAATAAACAAAGTTGATAGAAAATGAGTACAATTCACTTTAATACGATGAAAATTTAAAATTTATTTTATTTTTTTATGTTATTTGTTGATTCTTCATGGTACTAATTTATAAGCACATAAAAAAAATATATAGTTTAAGCCTAATTAAGATTAGTTATCTTAATGACTTTAAAAAAGTTATATAATATCTTATATAATAAGATAATACTAGTAATTTTTAATAATATGTATACATGTTAAACTAGTAAAAAGTACTTTTTACTTAAAAAAAATATCAATTATTATAAAGTATATGGCTACCTTTTTTAAACGTAAAGTTAACATGGATCTATAATTAATATTTGAACGTAACAATCGATTGCATAATATTTAAAAAAATTATCTATCTTCTCAAGTTCGTTAACATTTATGATTTTGGCACTATGACTATGTAAAAATACTCAGTGGTCCAGTGAGAACAGTTGAGTGGGTTAAATTTGGCAATACACTCACATTCTCCTAAATATAGATAAAGAGTTCTGTCACCAAATGTTTCTACTAATGAGACTTACATTTAAAATTACACTGCTAAAAAGTGTAGGAATACCTACAGACACACCTGACGCTGAATATTTTTATTACAATATTATGTATGTCTACTATTTTATAATTTAGTAAACAAATATTGATTATGAATTAAATAAATACGATTCATTTCCAATACATTTATTGGCCAGTAGTAAATAACATTAAGTGTATAATAATTATTATGTTGAATATACCTACTTGTTATTGAAATAAAAACAGGTTTATACTATATGTTTTCTTCATTTACGACTTCAGATATATAAACTGACTAGATAGTCGACTCTTATATTATCAACGAAGTATATTAATTATTTCCTCAAAGTGCATATTATGCGTTATCTTATCTTTATCTATATTCAAATCGCTATATGCATCATATCTAGCTAGGATAAATGTAACTTTTAATCTTTGAATATGGCAGCTATCATTCTTATATATATTGTTCTTTACTATCCGAGAGTCGGTTATCTAGTTAGTTACGTCATTCATTTAAGAAAAAATATATGTGCCGTCCAATTTTTATGCTCCAATGCGCCTACGTGGGTGCAGCTACTAGATGTCATTGTAATCGTTTACATTCAGTTTAATATAACTTAATTAATAATTGTTACAAACTCCCAGCTGTAATATTGAAATATTTTTATCCAAATCCCTTTCAGACCTAAATTCTATGATTAACCCCCTCATTTATCCCTCCACTGCCACTTTCTAAAAACAAATAATTTCGAAATGGTTTTTATTATTTTATAATTATAATTATAATTTATTTCAGTAATATAATTTCATATTAATTGTTCTGTCATCATTATATCGAACGTACTATCAAACATATATATCAAAAATTGTATAAATTTCATAAATGTTATTATTTAACTATGTAATATTATTGGATATCAAAATTAATTATTATCAGGTATTGTTACCAATAAGTGATTTTTGCCCTCATGTTTTTGTTAATTGTTATTTTGGTTCTAACCAAATTACTCTTACTGTAAAGCTCATATATATATTGCCCCTTTTGCTCTCCCCCCAGTTTACGCCTATGTATAAATGAATGCAAACAATTACAGACGATGTCTAGTGACTGCGTTCACAATAGGATGCTGTATCTATATATTCTAAAATCAATAGCTATATTTATATATGCTAACTGATATGGTAAACATTATTTTTTCATATATTTCTATATTTCTAGTACATATTTTGTAGTTTAAAAAATAACTAACTTATTGTAAGTATGTTGCGATGGTGTTTATAAATAAAAATAAAATGAAATTCCATGGACGATGATGGCCTACAAAATTATAAAACGCTAGCCATACATTTTTTTTAGTTTAATACACTAAATTTTAAAAAAGCAATAAATATTATATATATATATATATATAAATAAATGGCGGACCGTTTTTTCTTGTTATGAATCATACTCTTTTTATTATAACATAAAGTTGTTATAAATTAGTATAAATTAAAAATAGCTAATTTAAATATTAAATAAGACTTTTTTTTATGGTGCATATCACACTCGGAGTTTGTATAAATGACACATATTTAGGTATAATTGTATAAACACCTTTTTAATATTTAAATATAAATCTTATTTATTTTAATTATTATTACATAAATAATTAAATCCCATGAATGCTTTACATTTGCAATATCTCCATTATTTATTAGTATACTAAATACAGACTAAATAATTATGAAAAACTATGTATGATAGAGAATTAGTTATGAATATATTTTATCGAAGGAGTTATAAATAAATATAAGTACTTATAAACATTATATTGTATAATTAATAATTTATAATGTATGATTGAAATAAAGTATTTATATTATTTTTTTTTTTTAGCGGTTGACGAACCACATGAAAAGTAAGTACATCTCATCTCACATTAAGTTTTAAATTTAATTCCTATACACTTGCTACAATAGTTAAACTTTAAAATTAATATTATTATCATCCTCATAAAAAAATATTAAAGTTAATAAATTATTATTTATAGACAAATTGATGGATTAGCCCCGACATTTTCAAAGAAACCATCGATTAAACAAGAAGATGACGGCAAAAGACTTTTGTTCGAATGCATTATTCAAGCTGATCCAAAACCGACAATCGCATGGATCCACGGTGGAAAACCAGTGATTGATTCTCCTAGACATAAGGTGAGAAAAATGTTATGAAAACAAATGTTATTCTTTCAAACAAAAATTCAATATCATGATTCTATGAACAACCAATCAGCTTAAATATTTATTCATTTTATATATGAATTAGGTAATTTATATTATGTTTCCTTTCCTTTCTTTTTTGATCATGAGTTATTTAAATGTATATGTATTAGTTTATATTTTATGATTGTCGGAAAATTAGTATGGTCGTTAAACACCAGGGTTTTTTTAACTATAAAAATAATTATAAAGCATATACACATAAGATAAATACTGTACAAGTATGACTTTGTAGGGAAGTATTAATCTAATCTACAACGAAAAATGACAATGTCGATAACGATGAATAAAAATATTGTATAGATTTTATGCGACCTAGTACAACTGTAACATTCAACGTATTGCCACGTGCACATAATTTACAATTTTGTAAATTTTGTTATTACTTATAAATTATAATGGAAAGTTTTTAAACTGGAAAGGAAAATGAACTAATGCTGTACAATAATTATTCGTATATTATATTAAGAAAAAATAATAATACTATTAGGTGGAAATGTTCACAAAATACGACATTAAAATGTCCGGGAAAAATGACAACAAATTTAATTAAACCCGTAAGTTTTAAATTAGTAATAATATTATTGTATGTATTGTAATGTATAATGTAAGGTGAAATCATTAATTTTATTTCAGTATATAAACTATTCAAATTTAGTGTCAAATAATCACATTTCAAATAGTAAAATTTGCGAAATAACTGTTATTAAACTTAATATAAAAAAAATAGCCTTAGACACACGAAAAACTAATAGTCAAATGGTTTCGACCATTATGTACAATATTTCTGAAGATACAGTGGTGACACTTGGAAATTTGTCTTACATAAAACATAACATACGAAATTACCGACATAGAAAATTCTCCGATGAACCATTAAATGCAAATTTTTGTCTTCCCGACGAGTGGACAACTACAATGGGTGCTGAACTTAAGCTATTTTTGATTTTTGATTATAAACAAGCTGATTCACGAATTTTGATTTTTGCCTCTAATTTCGCTTCAAATATTTTATCTTACGCGGAAACTTGGTTTATGGATGGAACTTTCAAGTGCTCAACTACTATATTCCAACAAATTTATGTTATACGAGAAAAGTATAAAAATAAAATCTCTACATGTTTGTATGCATTTTTACCTAATAAGGTAAAAAGTACGTATATCACTATTTTACAACAAGTTATTATTAACTGTCTTCAAACTTCAAACAATCCAAAACCAAAATATATTATGATAGATTTCAAAATAGGAGCTATATGTGCCACTAAACATGTATTTGATGATAGTGTGCAGATTAAAGGATGTTTTTTTCACTTATGCCAGTCTATGTGGCGAAAAATTCAACACCTAGGACTAAGTTCTGTTTACAAAAATTACAAAAATATCAGAATGAATTGCGATATGATTAATGCTTTAGCGTTTTTACTTCACAGTGAAGTATCCAGTGGAATGGCTTATTTATACACAATAATTCCTATAGAACTATTGCCAGTGGCTAAATATTTTGATGACATCTATGTCAGTGGTACTTATGGTACCTCAATGTTTTCTCAAATTTTGTGGAATGTATTCGACGTCATATTGAATGGTGGTGAACGAACAAATAACTATTGTGAAGGGTGGAATAATTATTTTAATAAGCTTGTAGGAACAGGTAACCCATCATTTTGGTTAGTTCTTTAATGTATTCAACAATATGAATCTACGATGCGAATTGAAAGTATACGGTATGAACAACCTAATAATATAACACCTCAAAAAAAAAAATAAAAAATATGCTTCACTTCAATATAAATTTTATGAAACTATTACAAGTTACGTAAATAAAGAAATTATTATGGATATTTTTTTAAATGCCATAGGGAAACTATTGTAACTAGGTATTTTGAACTATTGTAAATTTGTATTTAATTTTGACTATTGTGAATTTATATTTAATTTTGGACATGTTTTTTTACTAATACATATAAGAACATATTTTTTTAATATAATATTACTTTTGTGAACATATTTAATTTAATTTCGAACCCATTTTTTGAACCACTGAAAATAAAATATTTTATAGTATCAATATTCCGCTTATTTTATTTTTTTTGTTTAAAACACAGTAACCGTACCAATTTTCCGTTTACCATATTTTATATATTTTTTACATAAATAATGATATGACCACTATCAATTAAGAAACGTTTTTACTTCTATATAATAAAAATTTTTAAAAAAATCATCATAGGATGATCAAAAAATCGTTGAAAATAAATAAATTTATCATTTAAATACTTAAGATTTCATCAGATCATAGAAAACAACAGATGCAATTTATATATATCTTCGTTCAAGGGTTTTCATCGACTACTTTCTGTAAGAGAAGTTTACATCAATAAAAAAATTACGAAGAAAACACTGATATAATAGTAAAATATTGTTTATATAAAATGTAATCGACTATCGAATTAATTCGTATGGAATAAAATGTACGAATATTTTATTTTAATAAATATGCATTTGTGTTAAATGTTAAAATCAACTAGTTATATTTTAATATTGTTATACTCGTACTGTTTTACGGTAAACTTATTTATACTAAAATAATGTAGCCAAAAATATGTTCAAGATTCTGTTATTTTTCTTTAAAAAGCACTAACTATTGGTTTATATATCATTGATGGGCATTTATCCCAAAAAATAAATAAGCAAATACTCCAAATGTCTTGTGGCTTGTCTGATAATCAAAGTAGGTCTAAATTCACCTCAAATACAGATTTATTTATAATTTCAAATCAAAAACAAATCTACAACTTGATTGATCTGTTTACGATACCATTGCGTATAATAAGTGGATGTTTTATTTGTATAACTTAAATTATGTGTGTTAATATGAATATAGTTGATCAGTATATTAATTTAATACTGTTTTTTTTTTTTTTTTTACTTAAAAGTTAGAAACTTCAAAATGTATCTCAGGCTTTTTATGCACAATAATAATTATAATTGAAAATCATAACTCGTTTGAAATAACTGTTTCGAGAAAACGTAATTGTTGTCACCACCTCTTCTACTAGCTGGTTAGATCGTTACTGACCATAAAAAAAAAAAAAAAAAAAAAAAAAAGAAAACAAAAAGGAAAAATATATATATAATTGTTGTCCTTATAATATTTGTACTTAAAATGCTATATACCTACTATCTACTTTTAATATTTAATTTTTACTTTACCTTTATAGGTCTACAATTATTGTAATTAATCTTCGATTATATCGTACTAACTAAAACTGTTTTCTTGCTCTCCGGGGCGTTATAAATAATAATAATAATTAAATAATTTATCCTTACATTTAACAATGGTTTATTAAAAGCATATATATATATATATAATTAACATATTTTATCTTATTATTCAATGTATTTTTACAGCAATATGTAGATAAAGATGGACATTCCTATTTAGCAACTCTAGAAATAAGAAACGTCACTGTTGAAGATGCTGGAAAATATAAAGTTACAGCAAAAAATGAATTGGGTGAAAGTAATGCAACAATTAGTCTTAATTTTGACAGTAAGTATCTATGTTTTATTTTTCACATACACACCTACATAAATTACATTTTAGGTATTTTGATTGATGACTATTTTATTTTGAAAGATTTTGCTTTTTTGCTTATTTATTGTAGAGCTGATAATAATATTTATAAAAATGTAATTCAAAGTTTTAAAATCAACTATTCAATTTAAAATTTTAACTTTTGATTGTAAAATTATTTTGCAAAGATAATGCAAAGCTATATCGAATTATCAAAATGTGACTGGGCTCAGTAATTTATTGCAAAAGTGTGTGGTATAAATTATGAATGCATTTTTCTGTGAGTTTAGATAAATGTTGTAAATTTTTTGTACATACAATTTTTATAATTGTTTTTTTGTGCGTCTGTGTGGTACATTGCTATGATAAAAGTATATATATTTTTTAAAAAAAAATCAAGTATAATCTATCTATAAAACTATTTTAAATTTTGATAAGCATATTTCAAAACCCAAATTATTTCTCAAACTAAAAGACATATACTCGTACATATTTTTATTTAGAGATATTAAATATATTAAACTATAAACGAAGTGAGAGGAATTAAAAATATTGTGTATTACTATAAAATCACGTGATAAATTTTTTTTGGATAAGTATAGATATTCTTATTCTACATTTAATGAAATAAACTACCAAGTATATATATATGGATCAAAAGGAATATATTTATTATTATATAATTGTAATTTAATTTTTTGTGCTGTAAAAATAATGAATCGAAATTCAGTAATGGTAAAATTTAAGGATAATATTTTCATTTTAAATAATATGTACTTAATAAATTAGTTATACAAAAAGAAAAAATTATTTTCAGAACAAAATTTATTTTGATGTTATAATTTAGAAAGTTTTATTAATGTATACTGTCAATATTCTCAAGAAACCATAATCTTAAAGAATATATGATGTATGGTACTCTATAATATTCATAAAAAAAAAAAAAATCATTGACTCATTTAATTTTAGAATATTCAATTTTTTACAATTTATTGTTTGTAATTCGAGTAGTTGAAAATCTAATTTGGGTAATAGGTTAAATAATAGGATTAGCTATTTATCCTGGTATTACTTTATTTATTAAAAAAACTAAGATCCATAATTAATTGTATCCGTACAATAAGTAAAATGAGTAATTAAAATAATATTATAAATATTTATTAATCTTTTAATATAGAATACTAAAACGTTTTATTTTAAATTTATGGTATAACTTGATATTATAATAATTAACAATTCAATTATAAAATAATAAATCACCAAATATTTAGGAAAGAAAAAATTCTGTTAGTTATAAAACGCTAGTGGTTTGATTTGGGTTTTGAATAAAACGCCTATCAAAATAAAAACTACTGTCAAAACAATTTTATTCTAATATCAACATAGTTAAAAAGCTTCATGTAGATTGAAACATTGTAACATATGTAGTAGTGTATAATACATAATGTGTAATATTTTATATTTATTATATTTATAATGATCTATATTTACAACAATTACAATATTATATGTAAAAATAAAAAGTTAGTGTGTAAATAAATGAACAAATAAATAAATAATTATATACACAACTAAAAGAAAAATAATAATAATAATAAATATATAAATGCGCGGTTAATGATCCCAAATATAGTCCATATAAGTTAGGTAACCATTATTAAAGTTATGGTCAAATTTATAGTATTAGTGACTATGTAATATTATTATATATTGTTTTCGTTGAGTAAGTTTTGTAAATGTTATGGTGAAACATATCATGCAAACATTATGAAGATGTGTACAAATTAAGTAAACAGTGAAGACTGTAGGTTTTCAGTAAGTTTTCACTTTAGGTGATGAAGCACCTGTACCTGAAGATGGGATAAAGCCCACGTTTACTGAAAGGCCAATAATTAAACAGACTGAAGATAGTAGAAATGTTATTATAGAATGTCGTCTAGTGGGAGATCCAAAACCAACTGTACAGTGGTTAGTACATAATATATCTTTTTTGTTTTCGTGTAATATATTAACATATCGTTAGCATATATAATATTATTGAATTTGGGATTTATTAATTCAAGGTACCGTGGTCAAACTATTGTAAAAGGTAGTAAGTATTCCTCGTCATTAAATGTTGATCAAAAACTGTATTACTTGGCGAAACTGGAAATAGCAAATACAGAAGAAACGGATAGCGGCGAATACAGAGCCGAAGCAATCAATGTTCATGGAAAATGTGTCGCTACTATTAATTTAAATTTGAATGAAGACAAGGGCCATCTTAAGTTAGTAATGTATTTTTTACACTACGTTTTCAAAAATATAGATATAACTTAAAATATTTTTATGTTCTTACAGTATTAAAAATAAATTTAAATTACACACATATTATTTATATTTATTTTCATATTTACATTATTAAAATTTCAGTATGTAATTAAATTCATACTTTGTGTATATTATTCTTATATTTATTTGCATTTGCAAAAAAAAATTAATTATTTAGAATGTATTGAACATTCTTAGACTCTAAAAATGTATATTATTCATTCATTCATGATACATATTTTTTTTTAATTATTTCAAACCATTAATTTCAATTTTTTAATGTTTTATAATATTCCTAACATTTAAAAAATGTATAGCAAAAAAATAATAACAAAACACAATGAATCTTATTCTAAAAATGGTTTTGATATTTAATAGTTTATATTATATTATTAGCGTTATATTTTAAAGCTTTCAAATTTTTAATTTAAATTTCTCATAACCATGAAGATTATTCTTACTACTGTTATTATATAAAATGCAAGAGTTTTGTCATATAATAACAATATTATCTGTTATACCAGATTTTATTTTTCAATCAAGTCCGCCATAAATGATTAAATGATTTATATTATTGCTATTTTAATGATGTTATAATCAATGTATTATCATTAACTTTGAGGGTAAATAATATTTATTTTAAATTTGTTGAATCTTTATTTTTTAGAATACCAGAAGGGAAGCAGCCAAGGTTTCCAAAGAAACCGGTAATACATCAAGAGGGGGATGTTTTAGTTATGGAGTGTGAACTAGAAGCTAATCCTATGCCTGAAATAAACTGGTATCAAGCATCTAAGCTCATATTAGATTCAGGACGGATTAGAATGTCCAAAAAGACTATTGGAAAAGACTTGTATTTACTTAGATTAGAAATTACAAATCCCACCAAAGAAGACGGTGGAAATTATCGTTGTAATGCTTGTAATATATTTGGTGAAAGCAATGCAAACATATCATTGAATTTCCAAGGTATATAAAACCCAAAAAATATTATTATAACACATCCTTGTAAACACTTGAATATACAGTTTTACCCTGTACTTATCCTTATAACCGCGCATGTTATCATTAGGCAATAATAAATTAATTTTAATAATAATAATAATAAGAATAAGAATAAGAATAATAGCGGTAACACAAACAATACAATTCAAATTGTCAGTAGGTATTAATATTAATACATCATATATTTTGTTTGAATTTAAAATCTTTGTAAATATGGAAGATTTTAAAAGAAAAAGATTTCATTTTGATTTCAGGTGGTGATACTGGTTCTGGAATGGCACCGTCGTTTATCGAAAAACCTCGAATAATTCCAAACGAGTCTGGCACGCTAATTACACTCCGTTGCATTTGTACAGCTAATCCTAAACCAGAGGTCACGTGGTTTAAAGGTACAAAAATTGTCACTGAGTCTTCGAAAATTTCTATGAAAGTAAGCGGACAAGAAAACACATACGAAGTGCTCTTATTGATACAGGTAACATATATTAAATTTACATCACAAGATTGATATCATGATAACAATAACATAACAGCTAATAATAATCATCACCTACATTGAACGCTAGGATCCAATTGGTCCAGATAGCGGTACTTATAGGTGTCATGTGAAAAACGAACATGGCGAAAGTAATGCGAACTTGAATCTAAACATTGAAACTGATCCTGAACCGGAAGGCGAACCTCCTACGTTCATAATAAAACCAAGGATACAGTCCAAAAATAATGGAAAATTAATCGTGATGGATTGCACTGTAAAAGCCAATCCTAAACCTGAAGTGATCTGGTACCACGATGGTAAGATATTGAGTCAAACTTCCAAACTTTCTTGGAAAGTTGAAGAAAAAGGCGATTCTTACTACATATGTTTAGAATTAAAGGTAAAGTACTTAATCAGAATAAAAATATTAAAAAAATCTTGGTGTTATTTTTATTACGTTTCCTATAATAAATTATAGAAATTCTTTACTAATTTACTTTATTCTTAATACTAATAAAGAATCCAGGCAAAGAAGATACGGGGTTATATAAATGCAGTATAAAAAACGGGAATGGTGAACTGAATGCAAATTTAACACTCAATATTGAAAGTAAATTTATGAACCAAGCCAATAGTGAAAATTACGAATCGATAATAACATCTGTTTAAAATTTCGACAGTTATACCGGTGATTAAGGAAGTCCCACGTGTTGTCACGATATCAAAAAATAAAAACGTTGTCATTGAGTGTCGCATCCAGTCCATTTTTGAACCCCAGTGCACATGGAAGAAAGACAACACTGTGATTAATGACAACGTTACAAGAGAAACAAAAATCGAACGCGTCAAGGATGTAACTATTAAACATATTAATATATCTTAATTATTTCTAAGGTTAAATTTAATTTTTTTAGGGAGAGTATGTGGTAAAATTAGAAGTAAAAAATGCATCATCCAGTGATAAGGGTGTATATAAATTAATAGCTAAAAACGAAAAAGGAGAGGTGGTATCAAATCCTATAGAAGTTAAAGAAGTAGCTGAAGAAAAAATAGAAAAACCATCTATTGATGAGAAACTGAAATCAATCGTGAGTCGATGTGAAAAATTTACTTTTTGTGTGATTTTATTTTCTTAAATTTTTTTTTTTTTTTTATTAATTCAACTAACAAATGAAACCTATATTGCACAACATCTAATTTTTTTTCCAAAATAATTTTTATTTTTTAATATTAATTAATTCCAGAAAAATTAGTATGGATCTTTGTTCAAAATAAACAGGTAAACTAAATTACGAATATTATTAAAAGTTCTTATTTATAATTCATACAAATTTTAAGATATATCAATAAAATACATCGAACAACCAACAATATTATTGTAGTTGATTGGATTTTGTTAATATTATTTATGAGTTAATATTTTTTATTGTATAATAATTTAATGGGGTCTAGTAATTTAAACATATAATAAGTAAATGCATTATTATTTTACATTTTTATTAAATATGTTTAAATGTTTGTTATTTATTTTTATCTGCGTCTGTATTTTCTTCGTTAGATATACTGATTGGTCCTAATCGAGGATATTGGCCATCATACATCGACCAATCATTTACCTCTAGGTTTTTATTTTGATCCTTCCTTAGTTCTTCGTCCCGCATCATAACTTTGAATTCTCTATCTTTATTTGGAACTGTTCTAAGATATTCTGTTTCATTACGTATTTCGTTTTTGAATTCACTTGATGCAAGGGTATTGTCATTTGAGTCCAAATTATCCATATCGTGCTAATGCTACTGATACAACTATAAATAAATATGTAAATGTCTGATGAATAAGAATAATAAAAATGTGTTATTTATTTTCTCGTCATTAAATATTTATATTTACAAATATTAAACAATGTATTATATTGTGTTTAATGAACATATGTTTAATTGCAGCCAAATCATACGGAAATAGTAAAAACAAACATCGAATGTGCTTATTTAAATATATCTATTTTAAATTTAATATATTCATTGATTTCATAAAATTTTAATTAAAATACATTTGTGCAATTACTTGGTTTATTTTAATACTTAAACGAAAACACGTAAACATATTAAAGTTACATATTTAATGTAGAATACATTTCGCATTCATAAAACAAATATTTTTTAATAAACTCGTATTGGTATATCAAAAAAACGGTACTATAAATGAATAATAACAAAACCATAATTCTGCAGACATTTAAAACGAAATATTTTATTATTATCTAATCAATTTTTTAAAATAAGTTTTTATTTTTATAATATTAATTGAAAATTACAGAAGTATGATGTATATTTTATCATATAGAAGAAAATCTAAATTTATTTTTGTTTAACTTCATCTAAGCACAATATCTGAAATGATCAAAATTTGAAAATTTGCTAGTAATAAAATATTAAGCTATATGAATGCGACGTATTTGTTTGTATACATCTATCATACTTTAATTTTTGTTTATGATTTGCTTTTTGTCAATGATAATTATATTATAGTGCAAATAGTTCTAATTTATCATGCTAATTTTTGCTAATTGAAATATTTAAATATATTATTAATGCTTCACGTGCCATTTTTCATAATTAAAAGCAATTTAATAAAAAAGCCATTTATTTACACATTTATAACTTGAAATCATCTTTGAAAATGTATTCAGAATTGGCAATTTGTGTAACTTAGTGAGTATTTTACTTTACGTAACGCATTTAAATAAGATAATATTTTAAAACTACAATGGAAATCGTTTATATATAACAGTGCGTGCTGTTTAACTATGAAAAGTATGAAGTCGATTTCTTATATGATCGTACTATAACGACTAAAATATTGTGACAGTTATATTATATTCAAATATTTATTACAAACTAATAGTTCATGGAATAATTTCCTCTAGCCACCCTATTATTGTAATCGATTTCTGCTGTATATAATCAATATTTTAAATACCATTATGATATAGGCTTAACTATACATTATCTGTACGTTTCGATGTATTAATTTGGCTTAGTTATGGAAAAATGTTTGTATTATAATGTATTTTGATTATAATTATTTCAGCGTGCTAATGAAGGTGAACGAATAGAATTCGTTTCTAGTTTATCGAAAATTGATAAATCAGTCACCGTGATTTGGTATAGGTAAGGAAATAATTATAATTTTATTTGGTCTAGAAAATTTTTTTTTTTTCCGGAAGAATAAACTAACACGTGTTCATAAAATGTATGGATTATAGGAATATGAAACAAATAACGGAAACAACAGATACGATAATAAGTTTTGACGGTAAACGAGCAAGTTTAGTTATCATAAAAACTCGAATAGAACATAGTGGTACTTATAAAATTGTATTCAAAAATTCTGCCGGCAGTGATGAGTCATCCGCAGAACTTAATATTACTGGTAAATTAATAACAGATATAAAGTTTAAAAGATTAATAAAAAAAATAATGCGACATTGATTTTTTTTTTTTTTATCAATTATTTAGAAGCAATGGAAGTCGACGAGAAAAAACAGGTAAGATAGAAGACAAAATGGGAAAAAATATTATTAGTTCTTGTAACATTGTATTGTTCGTTAAATTGTATTTAAATATTATTATGTTAATTTAATTAACTATAGGAAGAAGTTAAAGAAACTAAAGAAAAAACTGTAAAGCGAAAATCTTCAACCACAACAAAAGTATTATAAAAGTTAATTTAATTTATTCATAAACATTTATTAAATATTGATGATTTAATTTAAAAAACGGAAGAAACCGAAATAAATGAAAACACTCCACCGGAAGAAAAACGTAGATCATCTATACTTAAAGTAAGAATTTTAAAATGTACTAAATATTTGACGTTTTATAACAAAATATATATTATCCATAGACATCTAATGGAAATGACACTAAAGAAGATGGTCAACCTGAAATAAAAAGGCGTTCTTCTGTATTAAAAGTAATTATTTTTAATTTCATAATTTAAACTGAATACTGTTGCGTGTCCGTAACAATACTCTGAATTATTTAATTTAATATTTTAGAAATCAACGGAAAACACGACGACTGTGTTAGAGGAAAATAAAAGTCAAGAAAAAAGAAGATCGTCGATATTAAAGGTACGTATAACCATTGGAAAACTAGAATTACATTTTTGTCTTCATATATTTCATATTACTGGCAATATAAATATTTTATTTTAAATTTTTATAAGGAATAATTGTACTTAAAATAATATACATACAATTATATTATTATATTGCAATACAATATAATATTTCAATACTTTTAACTTAACAAATTATTATTTTAGATTAAAATTATAGTTAGAATATTCATGAACTGTTTATATTTACTAAAAGTGGTCTTTATTTCCATCTGAAATGAAAAAAAAAACATACATTTTTTGATGAATGTAAATTCAACTTAAGACTTTAAAAACAAAAGAATCATTTAGATCTTATCCATGTGAATTATATTTTAATTTATAATAAACTCGGCATTGCATAATATAAGTTTTGCCTAAATGTAAAGATCAAATATACATATCCCTACACTTACAAATGTTTTCAATATTTATAAATTATTTAATAAGTTATAGTTCAATTTTCAGAAATCTAATAATGAAAAAACTGAAATAAAAGAAAAAGAAGAAGAAGAAATTAAGAAACCTGTGACAAAAGTATGTATTTATCCAAGAATATGTTGTATTACTCTGTAATAATATATTACAGCAAAACGTATATTATGCAAAATAATCTATGAAATACACGATGTGTATTCACCTATAATAATCAATTTTTAATACTGTTAAATTTTTCGAAATATGAAAATGAAAAATTATAAACGTGGATACATTTTTTTTAGAAAACTACTACTGAAAAAACTGAGGTTAAAGAAAAAGAAGAAGTGAAGAAACCACTGACAAAAGTATGTTAAATAATAATCTTGTTTCATTATTAGTATATATATTGTATATACCCGTATATTGTATATATATTTCATAATAATTTATTTGATTGTGCATCATATTCAGTATTATACTGATTGTACTTTTTTAGTAATTTTTTAAATTCAATTTTTGTAATTGATGTAAAATTAATAATAACTATACAAAAATGTTGAATACATAAAAATAAGATTCTAATCTTATTTACGTTTTATAAATTTTAATTAATCTATATCATAAATGTGTATTTATCATCATTTAATTTTCAGAAAACTACTATTGAAAAGACCGAAGTTAAAGAAAAGGAAGAGGAAATTAAAAAACCACTAACAAAAGTATGTATTTTAATTCTTAATACGTTTTATAAATATTTTTTTATATGACATTCTTATGATAGCTAAAAACATTATCAAATCTTGTAATTTTTAATGTGTTTTGTTTTAGACATCTGTAAGTGAAAAAACTGAAATCAAAAATGAAGAAATAAAGAAACCGTTGTTAAAGGTATGTAAAATGTACTGACCAATATTGCAGTACACATTTTGTGACTTATTTGTGATTTACTTAACTGTACATATTAGATATATAGATATTTTGTACATTTAGAGTATATAGTATAGATTTTTTTTTTGTGCCATGTGTGTTTTATTTAGAAAACAACTGACAGTAATAATTCATTACCGACTGAAGAAGAAAAAGTGGTCGAATCTCATCGATCAACAAAAGTAATTACTTAAAAATTATTAATATTTATTTTAGTAATTTTATTTAAGATATAACGTTAATAAACAAATTAAAAAAAAATTAAATATTTTTATCCAATAATTTTAATAGGAAAATAACAATTAGACATTATTATAAAACTAACAATTATAATCATAATAGGTACAACAGAAGCAGAATGGAATTAGATCCATTTTTAAAATAATATATACAGATGTGTTTATAAATGTGATTTTAAAATGTATATTTTGAATATTGACTTGATAATTGTGATTTTTAATCTTAAAATACTTTCTTTTAAAGCTTATTAATGATAATAATTCGATATTTTCTTTTGAAATAATTACAGTTATGTATTTAAATTAAAGTGCTGAATTCAGAATCTTATATACGGTTTGTTTTTCTGGAAGTCAGTTGTTTCCGCTAAAAAACTTGATTTTCGTTTTCGGCCAGTATCGTTTCCGACAACCATAAAAAAGGTTCGATTTTCGTTTCCGATAAATCTATTTCTATATACATATATAAATAAGAATTTGATAACCATTTAAAATTACCCGCGAGACATCACAAAGAGGCGGTTCTTATTGACTCCCAAGAAATTGTTTAACCTTATTTTCGGATAAAAGTTAAAAATTTGATTATTTATTACTTTGAATAATTCTTGTATACTTTTTTAAAATTATCATTCTTGAAATTGTTTTATTTCTGTATTCATTTATTGCGTTTGTTGCATTCATTAATCGTTTTTTTTTTTTTTTTTTATATTACATTTTAAAGGTTTTTGTATGCCTAAGTTTCAACAGTTAATATGAATATACACGTTGTTTTGAACATTCGGAATTACAATTTTTTAAAATTTAATGTCATATAAATTAATCCGATCTAAATTTATTTATAATAGGTAGGAATTACTACGTATGAAATCAATTATATATATATATATATAAATATTAATCTTATATATATCTTCAATATCAAATAGTTTATCTCGAATCCCGGCATACATCGATGATCTATACCACTGCAGATAGACAAGGGGTTTTCAGACTCTATCTAAATAATATAGGTAGAAATAGATTTTGCGGAAACGATATTGGTGGAAACAAAAATCACATTCTTAGCAAAAACGATGACCACCCGTTATTTTTACTTTAGAGTTTATGATTTATTAATTTCTTGTTGTTATTATTTTTAATAATCTGTCATAAATATTTAATTTTATAAATAACTTTAATTAAATAATATATTTTCTAAATTTTCTCTGATGACAGAGGCCATATAACTTAGAAACTAAAACAATTAAGAATATATGTTAACAATTTTTTTATGGAACCAAAGAAAAATTAAATAAAAGATTTTTTATAAATACATTTTTAAATTTTATTTACTTTTTGTTACCTGAAAATTATATTTTTATTTTAATAATACAATTTGGTAGTTTATTTTTATAACCTAATACTGGAAAATATTGCGAAACAATTCATATTTGTTACAATTGAAATAAAACAAATCATAAAATTATACAAAAAAAAAAAAAAAAAAAAAAAACATAATATATAAAAGATAGAAGCTATAACATTAAATACAATTTAAATTTTTATATAAAAACATTGCATATCATTAGTTAATAAATATAAATTTTAATTCAGAAAACCACAGATGAAACTATAACTAGTAACCACACTGAAATACCAGTGGTCCAAGACAATGTCGAAGAAAAACGAAAACCAACTATGTTAAAAGTAAGAAAATATGTTAGGTTAATAAATGCATGCCTGTAATATATAAAATTTGTTAAAAGAATGAAAATGAAGATAATAATGGTTATACCTCCCCGACTGAAAATAATATTCAGGATAATTTCATAAAAAGGAGAGGCTCTTCGATAAAAGTATGTTTTGTAAATAAGTGTTGTGTACAACAGTAGTCTATAGATTTTATGTGTATTTAGAAGACCAATGATTCAATAGAACCAGTTGAAGATAATATCAATGAGACTAAACGACGACCTTCAATAAAAGTAAGTTGTTTCGTAAAATTAAAATAAAGATCATAAATTCGGGTAAAATATAATTATATTGGTATGATCGTTTTATTACGAAACTGTTTGTGTTATACTTCACCTGCGGTCATTAAAGAGCAATAAATAATTTTATTTAAATATTAATAGAAATGTATTCTCAATTTTATTTCTAAAATTTAGCACGATTTTTGGCTCAATGAGTTAATTTGCTTTTATTATAATAAAATATTTCTATTACATTTTTAAATTTCTTAGAATTTCTTTAAAATTTCGTAGATATATTTATTTTTTCTCGCGTGATAGTATACAATATATATAACGACTTAGCATAATTTTTTTTTTATATTTTTTTTTCGAAAAATTTTAATCATAACACTAGACTGATTCTTTTTAAATTTAAATGTATTTAAAGATAAATTATAGTTAATATTGAAATAATATCTTAATTATATATATTGTTATTTTTTAATACAAACTTGATAAAATAATATTGCTGAGCACTAAACATATTTTTTAAATTATGAAATGATACATACACAAATATAATCTTAAATATAAATGTATATTCAGAAAACTGTTGAAAATAAAACATCAATAGAAGATAAATTAGAAGTTGAACGTAGACCTTCAGTAAAAGTAAGTATAACAACACCAACTTTACATATGAGTTTCAATTTTAACTATACATTTGAATATTGTTTGCTTCATTTTATGAATATAACTATAGTTTGCATTGTACATATTATGTATTTAGACACATGATGATCATACTGCTCCTGTAGAAGACAGTAAAATCGATGAAAGTCGACTATCGTCGGTTTTGGAAGTAAGTTTGCATTGTAAATAGTATGCCTGTACTTAATATATGTATAAATAATAAACATGATCTACATCTGGAAGATTAAAATAAATGAGAGTAAATCTTCACAAGTCACTTTCTTACTTTACCTTGGCAAATGCTTGACCATTAAACTAAAAAAATCAAAACATAGACAAGCACCACACATGGAAACCACACCAACAAAATAAAAGAAAACTAGCTAATAGAAGATTTCACCTATTCCACTCACTCATTAAGATCAATTTTTAGAATCAAATTATATTCCACAACACAATAAAAAGACCCGTTTGGTCTTATTTTTTACAAATTTTGAGGCCTTCCAAACCCTAAAAAATTTACCCCAATCAATAATTTAAAAACATAGTTTTTCGTATTATTACTAGTGCTCTTTGGTACATGATAAATAGTTTACTGCATATAAACTTGAACATTTAAAATATCTTCAAATTCACCAAAATACATTACAGCCGATTTCATACAATACTTAAATCACTTACAATTTTCTCATTCGAAATATGGCAACAACTTAAATCAGATAATAATTGCTTAAAAAAAACATAGGAATCATGACTTATTATTATAAGTTGATATAAATAAATTTTTAATATATATATATATATATATATATATATATATATATACTCGTATATATATATTGATATTAAAAATAAGTAATGTGCAAAGGGATTTCAGATTGTTATATATTTTTATTAAAAAATATTAAAAATATCAAAAAAATTTTTGATTATTTATTTTACAGTAAAAAGTACAATATTACAATATTTAATTTAATTTATAAATACTGTATATATGTTATTATGGAATGTGTTTGTATGTTTGGATTGAAATTTATTGGTTTAATTATTCTTTTTTTTTTTTAATACAGAAGAAAACAACAGAAAGTAAAACTCTTGTGCCAGAAGAAAAACCAGCAACGAAAAAACGACTTTCTACAAAAGTAATAATAGAATTATAATACTGTGTCTTTTATTTTTTTAATTAAAATTAGCTTGAATTGTAATAAAAATTGACAATATCTCATAATTATTACCGTTACTTGAATTGGTTTTTATTATTTATACATTTTTTTTTTTTTGTGCACTGAAAAGAAGTCTGAAAAAGTGGAACCTGAACAACCAGAGAAAAAAATGCGACCGTCGATAGCGAACGTACGTCAAATACATGCTCTATATTAAATTTATGTTTTAAATAATTATTTATGCACAATTGATGTATCACACATGTTGCATTTATTTCATTTACAGGGAACTAAAATGGATAATTCACAAGATTCATTTGACGAGAAATCAATTGACGATCGAACACCGGTATAAAAGACAATAATATAAAAAAAAACCTACTTACTAATGTTTATGATTATGTGTTCAATTATTGTTTAGGAAACGAGTGTAGACTACTCTATGATGTCCGAGGACGAAAGTTCTATACAAGAACCTAGTATAAAGTTGGACTCTTCCGAAGATAAAGCTCCGACAGGCAGGGTGAGCATAATACATACACACATACACACTCACACAAACAAACGGGTTGACGTAAAATCGTCAACTTTTTCTACAACATAATAACGTTATTGTCGAGAGACAGCAGCTACTTATATAGGAGTACAATAAAAATTGGTTATTATTATTATTATTATTATTCCGTTAAAATCATATAAATACATATTATTTAGAAAAAATCCAAACACGATTAAAGTATTCGATTTAGTTTAATCGCGTTCGGTGAAATGTTTATTGTTGAGGACGCATCGAGACGTAACATTGTTGTTCAGGTAAATGCACGATGTTTTCATTAAGGAAGGACGGTGGTTTGTTGGCATTATTTGATTACCAAATGATTTCGCGTTGTGCATGTTCCGAAACACCTGCCCGAAATATAACCGACCTCTGTCACACATGATATAACCATTGATTTTTCTAAGTGCCTACGTGGACGCAGTCACTAGATATCGCTGTAATCGTTTAAGCATTCGATTCGATAAAAACCGGTTTTCCGCAAAGGAACGATCACGCACTATAATATGAAAACTCTTTCACTTTCCATTTTTGAAACCTTGCTTTTATCAAGTTGAATGCAATCAATAACAGCTATGTATAGTGGCTGCGTCCACTAATCGATATTAATGGTATAGGATGGTGGATCTGTTAGTATTGTAAAAACAATGATACAACCCATCCTAATCGACAGTGCCGATCAGTTTTCATTACACAAATATCAATTGTTGTACTTACAGCACCGAGTGCCGGAGATCAAAGCACCGGAAATGCCCAAGATCGAAGTGATCCGCGAAGTGACACCCGAGGGTGGCAGGAAGAGCTCGTTGGGACCGAGTTCTGGGCAATCGAGCCGAAGAGGTTCGCTGATACCGCCACCCGAGGACACCAAGGGCCGGCGCCCGAGTTTGATAATTAGCGACGAGGTAAATGATTACTGTAAATTCAATCAAATGGCATACTTTCGTATGTCTTTCTATTTCTGTAATTATACACATTTTCTTTCATTCGTTCTACCTGTATCTTCTTTAAGCTCATTTATACGGGGAATCATACATAAAATCATACAGTGTGATCACGATTTAAGGTAACTAAATATCTCATGTGGATGACCTTGTATTAAAATTACGGGACGTGATAGGGAGTACCTAAATACATATTTTCAGATAAATTTAAAATGTGTAACACTTTTGGTGTGCGTATATGCAATACAACTTATATTGTTCTAAATAGAAACACCATTTTTTTTTACATATTTGGGTAAATTATTTATTTTTTTAAACATTTTTGAATTAAAAGATTTTTTTCTATTTATTAAACTGACCAAGTTAAAGTAAGTCAAAATTTGAATTTATGCATGATCGGTGTGAAGTGAAATTTTTATTTATATCCACTGGAAATAATAAAATAAGTGTGAAATAATGAAACATTTTTAGTGTTTGATATTTGTCAATTATATTAATTAAATACACAATAAATAAGTAATAATATTAATATTATAATAAAAAAATAAAATTATTAAATAAATTTATCATATGAATTGTTCAAATATTTCGCAATTGTGTTCTAAGTATAATCAAATAACCTCAACAATCCAGACGATCTTGCCGCCTTGATTTAGTTCTTACTTAAATATCACATTCTTCCTGTATTTTGTTTTTTATGTCCTGAAAATAAAATATGGATCTGCATACACCACAATCTACAATTATCCTTGTAAAAAATCCAATAGCGTTAAATCTGAGGATCGTGTAGGCCTAGGAACGCAATAGCAACGCTATAAGTACGAATCCAATGGTTCGGAAGTATTCGATTTAAATGTCGTCTAACAATAATTGTATTGTGAGCTGGTATTCCATCTTTCTGGAAAAACATACGTTCTTGTGTCTAACGAAACATCATCCAGTCTTGGTAGTTTAATGATTAAAGAATTAAAATATCGTCTGCCATTAAGCGTATCATCATAAAAGAACGGTTAGTTTTCCATCAACTAACCCATACCATACATTAATTCTCTAGACCATTGAAAAATTAGTTTCACATGATTATTGTAGGTTTGTGTCATACCAGTGTTAATAATTTTGTTTATTTATAATGCCATTGTTAGTGAACTTTGATTCATTAATTCAAAGAATATGATTGACAATTTAATATTGAACCAGGCTAAAAATTCCAGCCTATGAATAGAATCTCCTGCATGCGAATGTTGGACATAACCATATAAAACTCCAATTTCCTGAGCAACATCTTTAATTGACAAACGTGTAAAAAAAGTTCTTATGTATGCTAGTATCTGTAATTTTTCAAACATATTTGCTCTACACCTTTGTTGGTTCATTTATCTGCCAGGAAATCATTCTTCCTGATTTAATCCTTGTAAAATTCGTAAAACGTAATTATTATGTAGATGGTATCTTTCTGGGTATCGATTGGCATACGTACTTTGCAGCTAGGCGTACATTATGTTGACATTCGCCATAAATTAAAACCAACTCAACTTTTTCAGGGATGTTCATATTTAAAAAATTTTAATTTATAGGAGCACTTAATAAACAGACATACTCGGATAACGCATAAGGTAGGTACAAAGTAAAGTGGTACAAGTCTAGTTACAGAATAAAAGTTAAATTATATTTTTTATCAAACTAAATATCTTAATAATTACATTATTTGATGATCTTATTTTTATTACGAGTAGAGCTATAGTAAAATAAAATATAATTTCTCTTTTAAAATTAATTAAAAATGTAATCGTATTATAGCAGTAAACTAAACAAAAATTATCACATACTCAAGGTATTAATTTTAATGACCAACAGTTTTATTAAATTATTATTTGAAGACAGATAAAGTAAATATAATATTTATTTGACATTTATTTTTTTATTTCTAGTGGTTATAAATGAAAATTTCATTAAACAAGAATTATGCATACATGAAAATGTCGACTTATTCTAATTTGGTCAGTTTTGTATATAGAAAAAAACTTATGTAAAAAAAAATGTTTAAAAAAAATTTATTCGAATATATTGAAAAAAAATAGTGTTTCTATTAAAAATAAGTAAGTTGTATCGCGCATGAGTACACCAAGTGTAAAAAAATTGAAATTTATCTAAAAATATGTGTTACGGTACTATTTATTTAGGTATTTAGGTATCTATCATTTTTCGAAAACCCAATTTCAATACAAGGTTATCCTCCTGATATATTTAATGTTACCTTAAATCGTGAGCATACTATATATAAATACACACATATATATATAAATGTATATTCTTTTTCATACACATTTAAATTATTACTTAATTTTATTTATTTATTTATTTTTTTGATCTTACGCATTCTTAACGGTGCTCAGTATGTAAAGAGTGCCAATTTAGTAAGCATGAAGACGATTATCAGCTGCTTATATTTTTTATTTTTTTTTTTTTTTTTTTTTTTTTTATACAATAGATTTTTACAATAACAAACTTTGGTGTTGAATATTGTAGATGAAACGTAGATAAAAACATATAGAATAGACATCAGTAAATTATTATAACCACACATTATACTTACATGTACAGCGGGTTTTAATTAAGCCTTTAATGAAACATATTCGATCTGTTTGCAATACTGATAGTTTGTCAATTTAGAGTTTACATTACCAACTGGTACAACACATATATTTTTGCCGGAGGATTTCATGTAGTAATTTGTCTTCGCACTGGTTACAAATGGAGTAGGAATAGAAATAACGTCGGATTTTCAAACACATTTTAATTGTCTATTTTAGGAAAATAGAAAATTACGGCCCGGAGAGGTCCTGGAAGAAAAAAAGGTGAGGGTGTTAAAAATCCAATGTGAACAGCGTCTCTTTGGTGAAATGAATTAATAAACTGAAAAATAACAATGGTTTTTTTTACCCTCATCGGCTGTTGTGACTTTCAAAGTGGACGTTCTTTGGTGATGACGAAATCAATTGTACCTATATTTATAGTTCATAATTAATTACTACATAATATTCTTTATGATCGTCATAAATCAATATGGCATTTATTATAAGTTACTCTTATATATATATATATATATATATATATCGATTCGTCATCACCATCTATAGAGGATTTCAAAATGTTGTGTTTCTGTCTTTGTGTCGTCTCCCTCGGTTACTTCTGGTTAACCGCAATTTGTTTAACGTGCTTTCAATTACATTATGTTTATGCAGGTTGGAAAATTGCGGCCTGGTCAGGTTATTGATGCAAAGGTGAGGTTTCATTCATAGTGTTTCCTCGTCACAATAGTCACTGTATCCGACATGATTGCGTTTTTTTCTTGTGTAACCTATTTTGTGATGTCAAGTTTTAAATTTTTTTTATTGATCGTCATTTGTATTCGTGTTGGTCCTGTGATCGTTCGTTTGAAGATTGTTAAATGGTCTGTGAGGAATTCAATTGTTGACATTTACATCACTAACGGAACTAAACAACCTACTCTAATTTTATTACAGGATTATTTTTATTATTTTACAAGTTAAATATTTTAAGACTCTGCGTTTGGAATATTTAATTTTTATATTGTTTATATAGGTAAATTAATTAAAAATTAATACAAAATTTCACTGACATCTATATTTAACTCAAACGAAATTCATCGCCTATGAAGAATATATATGGAAATAATTAAGCTGTTCAGCTGTAATTTTAGTTATAATAACTACAAATAATATTATGTTAAATTTAATTGATAGTGTTAAATCTTTAAGTGTTGTCATAAATATTTATTAAAATTATTCAACTATTTTTTTTTTTTTTATGATGAACATGGACATTTATATTTCCCAGTGATTTTGAATGAAATGTGAACACAAATATAACCGATAAGATTTATTTATCTTATTTTTCATAAATATTAAATGTTTGTAAAATAATTATAATTTTAAATGCATAAATGTCAGATAAACTATATTTTCCGACGTCAAAACATTCAGTCGATGTATCCAATGAAAAGTAACACATTTCTTAGATAAATAATTCAGACTACATTCTACACTTTATAAAATTGATAATTTAAATTTAAAAACCACTTGTATTTCGTTTTTTTACTTGCTTTTTGACAATTGTGTTTTACTATCAATTGTTGAGCTAATTTTTTTAAATACAAATTTTACAATCTAGGAAAATATTTTATTTATAAAACTGATTAATATTATTTCATTTGATAGATCTTAAATAATCAGTTTATAATATACGATTCTACAATAATGCACGAAATAACTACGTTACGTAACAACCAGTTTTTTTTTTTTTTAATGCACTATTGTAGCATGTTGTATATAATTCTATTTATATCCATTATACCACCAAATATTTTAAGTTTAAATTTTTTTTTTTTACTTGACTTGTATAAAGGAATGTATTGTAAACGATGATCAATATAATAATAAGAATTGATCGAATTGCATTTGCACAATAAAATAACTATTTAAAAATTATTAATTTGAAAATATTGTGCATCCATACAATATATTGAATACCTAATTAATACTTTATCAGTTAATTATTCAAGATGCCAGATCAGTTGTTTTAATCAATTGTATAAATATACATAAACATTAACATTAGCAATTAATTTTTTATTAATATATGTATTTACTTAGTCTTAATAATTTATAAATATAATTATATATACATACATAAACTATGTATATATTTATTAATTTATTAAAAGTATTTATTTAGAATTTGCATTATTTTCTTGGAAAATAATTTGCAGTAGTATTTATATTTTGTTATTAATCATATTAATTTTTTAAAAAAGTGGTTACGTTAAATACGTACGAACTCATGTTTATTGGTGATAAAAAAAAAATGTTTCTCTTTGTAATCAATTTTAAATCATTTTCAGTTTGTATTTTATTTAAAATTAATTTTTCGATTCATTGAAAATTTAAACCAAAAATATTATTATTTGATTATCAATAGTAATGAACTACTTGATTCAATCAATATTCCATATACATATTCATTTATTATTTTATTTAACTGACATTATTAGAATATGCTTATGACACTTATAAATACTATAATAATGGTAGTTTTTTTTAGCTATACCAATAATGTTTTGTTACATAAAACCTTGTATATATATATTCCCTTTAGATTTAAGATTATTTTAACATTTTTCGTTTTATACAAATAGTCATGTAAATATTATTTTTCCATTACATTGCTTTGAATCGATTAGTTAGTAAAAATTATTAACATCATTGAACCGCATTCGATTTAAGTAGTTATATATTGTACATATTAGTATTACCAATATTATATAAGTATATTGTAGTTATTATTATATCAGCTTTTAATGTCAGTTATTGAATATGTATTGAAACTATATCGAAATAATGGATGTAGCGAGAGAGTTGGATGTGAAAATCGTTAAAAAAAAAAAAAAAAGAACAACATTAGTTATTTTATTCTAATATTTTAACATGGGCTTTACAGCGTCGTCGTCCAAGTACAGAAATGAGAAGACCAAGCGTAGCGGAATTGGAAGAAAAAATTGATAAACCATCCACGCCGCTTAAAGATTTTGGTGCACCAGGCCCACCAAGCATCGTAGATGTTGCTGAAAGTTATTCGGCTATTGAAGATCAAACTGGATATATGACTATACAAGTAGAAGGAACACCAGCACCAACATTTAAATTTTTCAAAGTAATTATTTAAAATTATTAAAAGGTTAAACTATAATAAACTGCTATAAACTCAAATAACAATTTTAATACTGTATATTCATTTCTGAACATTTTTCAAAATTTTAATACACTAAAGTTTTACTAAAAAATGTGTCTAAAATACAGGTGTGATAAAAATTGTAATTATACACAGATATTTAATATATTTATAGATATTTTAATTTATATATAGTAATTAAATTATCTTAGGCGAAACATTTTATACATAAGATTTAACATATTGAATATAGTTATAAACAAATTAATTTCCAAACTATTTTGTTTTACACAGTATTCTACTACGAAGTAGATATTTTTGATACTATTTTTGTAAAAATGTAATTATCATTATGTAATCATCGTGTAATTGTCGTCACAGGGAATCACAGAGCTCATTGAAGGAGGGCGATTCAAATTTTTAACCGATGGAGAAACAAATACTATTACTTTGTGTATGCGAAAAGTGAAACCAAATGATGAAGGAAAATACCAAGTAGTTGTTAGCAACATACATGGATCAGATTCGGCAGAAATGCAACTATACGTATCAGGTAATGCATATTACATAATATTATGTTGATCAGATATATTAGATCTTATTTTTCTATAAATCTAAAAAATAAAATTAGTTAATTAAAAATAAATTAAATGGCAGTTAATAATATTAAAATCTTATACTAATGAATGATAAATTAAAATTAGATTCTAGTGGTATGGACTTCAGAGCTATGTTAAAGAAAAGAAAATACGCCAAATGGGGCAAAGACAAAGAAGACCCGGAATGGGGTGAATTAAAAGAAACTGAAATACCTGTTCCAGCGCTCAAGAAAGTTGAAAAGGTGTGAAAAGTTATATTTTACAAATATAATAGTAGTATTAATTAGTATAATCTAACAATAAAAAAATTGTTCAATAGAAACCAGAATCATTTTTGAAACCGTTAGTGGATCAATATGCCAAAGAAGGAAAAGACAAAAAAGTTACATTCGAAGGAGTATTTTCCAAACCAAATTCTAAGCCAAAATGGTTCCTCCGGAAAGATGTACGTAATATTATTATTAGCATGAATCAAAATACAACAAATAAAACGATTCAGAGTAATTTTTTTGGCTGAAGTCGTGTGTGCAATAATTTTTAGGTTTATAAAACTTATTAATTTTGAAATTTTATTAAAAAAGTTTGCTTGTCGCAATGTTATTGCATTTAAATAGTTCTTGTAACTTATGTACTGTACGATGATTAATAATTAGATACAAATATTTTTTACTAAACTGGGTGTATTAAAGTATAAAATAATTCATTAAAGGAACTATTCGCTGGATCTAAATACAAATTTAAAAACGAGGGCGATGTATATCAATTGATCATTATGGCACCGAAAGTGGAAGATACTGGAAAATACACAATTGAAATAGGTGGCGTTAGTTCAACAGCATATCTTAATGTTGAAGGTAAAAATATTATTTTTATATTTAATTTAATAATTATGTTTATTTTAAATTTTATAAAATAAAAACAAACCCAATTATTCTGAGGAAAATTTATAATAAGTGGTAAAAAACTGAGCGTTAATACGAGTATAATCGTTTATTCGATATATATAGTTTTATTCTAGTTTCAAAATAATTCTTCGCTGCTGAACATTTATAGTAATGTAACACGTTACTAGTTTAAAAATGTGGATATGAGATTAAATTTAATATAAGTTTGCATAGCTTTGGCGACATGTGTTCGTTTGACGGTTCAAAACAACGTATTTGCATTTCATATTGGGTACTAGTGATTGCCGTAGTAAAGGTAAATTACAATTTTTAAAGGTTTAAAGTTATAAAAGAAGTATGGAAAATGCTATCGAAATACAGAGAAAATGTATACTTATCACTGTAGTCGCACAACTATAATAACATGATACTGTTGAGACACTTGTATCATCTGTTGACGAGCACGTATAGTACTATTATAAATAGGAGACAGTAATGCGAAATATTTATAACTTTATTTATGTGAAATCAGCTATGATCAAATTATTTAGTATTAATCATAGAATTGTAAAAATATATTTAAAATTTATATTAGGCCTAATACTATTTCTTCGTTAAAATGTATCATTTTATATATACGCAGTTATATTCATTATTTATACTATCGTACATAAAATAAAACGTCCATAATCTACATCTAATCGATTCTAGTTTTTTTGAATTTATTTATTTTCATTACCATTATTTTGAAATTTATAAAACGCGTTTTCATATTTATAGAACCGGCACCGGTTTATACATTTTTGCGACCCCTCGAATCTACCACTAATGGTTTTACAAAACACGAAACCAGCATGGAATGTACGGTCAGTAGTAGTATGGCTATTGTTGGCTGGTATAAAGAAAAAACAAAACTATCGGACGGTGACAAGTACAATATATCAAAGGATATGAGTGGAATTTGTCGGTTGACGATAAAAAATTGTGAACTGAATGATAGTGGAAAATATTACTGTCGAATTGAAAAACAAGACGACAAAACTTCATCAACACTGAAAGTCGTCGGTATGTTGTATAAAACCATAAATATAGTATATATCGTTTATAATAATTTTTATTCGTTTTACGAGTAGAATATCCATACAAGTTTGTCAAAGTTCTCAAACATCAACAAATGATTGAAAAAGACACTGTTACATTATTATGTGAATTGGATGATGCAACAGGTGATGTAAAATGGTCTAAAAATGGCCAAGAGCTTAAGGCTGATAAGAGGTATAATATATTTAATTTTAACTTTAATTATTTTTTATATTTAATTTTTTTTTTTTATTAAAATTATTTTGAATTAATATTTACGATATTTTTTTAGAATCCGTATTGTGAAGGAAGGCAGAAAAAGAAAACTGATTATAAATGATGCTAAAGTTACAGATGGAGGTCTATTTGCGTGTACAACAAACGCTGACAAAACTGAAGCGGAACTTATTATAAAATGTAATTAAATGTTTAAAAAGCATATACTCAATATGCTAAATATTAAAATATTTTTAATATTATCAAGTGTTTTATTTTAGATTTATAAATAATACTTATCGTTTTTTTAGATCAAAATAAATTCAACAAAAAACTTAAGGATACTGTTGGAATCGAAAGAGAAAAAGTGATATTAGAAGTTGAACTTCAAGATCAAACTGCTCCCGCTGAATGGTTCTTTGATGACCAACCAATTAAGTCTTCAGATAGGTATATTAAAAATACATTTTTCGTGGACATATTAACTAATAATGGCTGTTTATAGAATTGAAATAAAAAATTTGGGTGGTGGTAAACATCAATTAATATTCAATAAATTAGAACTGAAAGACGCTGGTGCAATTATGTGTAAATCAAATGAACTCACATCTTTGTGTCTTTTGGAAGTGAAAAAAGGTGAAGAAAAACCTGTAATTATATTTGATGAAAATGTAGAAGGGCCTGTATCAAGAACAATCAGCTTTGAAGTTCCTTATAAAGGTAATATTCTCACTTAATATATATTATATAGTAATTATAGTGCTTTCATAGTATTATTATATTTATTTTAGTAAATGGAACGCGACAATCAGCTATTGATGCAAAAATTTTAAAAGACGGCAAGCCATTGACCGCTAAAGATGTAGAAGCTATTGTTCATGATGATAAAATTGTATTTAATATCAGAAAACCTGCACATGCGCTTTCGGGAAATTATCAAATTCAATTGAAAAATGATCAAGGACAAGATACTAAAGATGTTTATATTAATATGCAAGGTAATAATTCGATTAAAATCAAATGACGTATTTTGTTATGCTTATTAAATGGCCAATAAAAAACTACATAGAAAAATATTAAATTATTTAATATACAAAAACGTTCGTTCAAATGTTTTCTAAGTTAATTAGTTAAGACAATTATATTATCTATTTTATCAAGTTAAATATATATATTTATTTATTTATTTCATAATAATTGTTAAAATCATATTATTTTAGATGTTCCATCACCACCTGAGGATTTGGAAGTATCAGATATTTTCAAGACTAGTTGTAAGTTAAAGTGGAAAACTCCAAAAGATAACGGAGGAGCTCCCATACTTCACTACATAATCGAAAGACAGGATTTAGCCTTAAAAGGTATTTATATTGAAAAATTATTTGGTTAGAATATAAAAACTTAAACTGTCTTACTCTTTTTCTGTAATCAGGTGGATGGCAGAATATTGGAGAAGTGAAAGCAGATTCTCCATTAGTTTATGATGCAACTGATTTGACCACTAAGAAAGAATATAAGTTCCGCGTAAGAGCAGTATCGAAAATTGGAGCTTCAGAACCAACAGCCTTGGCCAAAACTGTACTAGCAAAGGATCCATGGGGTAAGCATGTTTATAGTAAATCTAATAATACAATTATGGTTTAATTTTTTTCGTATTTTAGATGAACCGAGCAAGCCAAAGGATGTAGAAGTAGTTGACTGGGATAAAGACCATGCCGATCTGAAATGGACTAAACCTGAAAATGATGGAGGAGCACCTATTACAGGATATGTTATTGAATATAAAGTAATTGCTTTAAATTTTGAATTTTATAACAATAAATATGAAATACTATAATTATATTTCATAGGAAAAGTTTGGAAAAGATTGGGTAAAAGGAAAAGTTTTCGATGGTGATATTACATCTGCAACAATTGATGGGTTAAAAGAAGGAACTCAATATGAATTTCGAGTACGAGCAATCAATAAAGCTGGTCCGGGTGAACCGAGTGAAGCAACAAAACCAATTGTTGCTAAATGTAGATTCGGTATAATTTAAAAATTGTTTTACCTTGTAAATATATGGATTTTAATTCTATATTAAACGTACAGTGAAGCCATGGATAATTGGAGACGATTTAAAAAATATTATCGTGAAAAAAGGACAAGTCATCAAATACGACATCAAATATGGAGGTGAACCTGAACCTGAAGTTATTTGGAAATTAAACGATATTGAAGTTAAACATGATGGTGACAGGTAAAAAAATCTAAATTATTTAATTTTTTTAATACTTTTTTTAACATTCTTTCTAAAATATAAGTTATGCTTTAAGATAATACATTTCAAATTGGTGTAATATGATGTTTTAGAATTACTATTGATAAATATGAACGTAACACGTTATTAACAATTCGACGTGCCGTAAGAAATGATAGCGGAAAATATACTTTAATACTGAAAAATAGTTCTGGAACAGCTGAAAAATCTGCTGAAGTCATAGTTCTAGGTAATTTACCGTATCTCATTTCTCACATATATTTACGTATATTTAACAAATTAACTTCGAATGATTTCAGATAAACCATTAAGACCCGTAGGACCTTTAAAAGCTGAAGAAATTAGAGCAGATCACATCACGGTGTCCTGGAAAAAACCAGAAGATAATGGTGGTTCAGATATAACTGGTTATATTATAGAGAAAATGGATATGGACTCTGGTCGTTGGGTAGCTGCTGGCGAGGTGAATATATCTAGATATAAATACATATAACTGATATTATGAGTTCTTATATGTTATAATATTTCTAGACTGGTCCATCAAAAGAAGAATTTACGCTCACGAATTTAACTCCAAAAAAGAAGTATAAGATTCGAGTTAAGGCTGTAAATAAAGAAGGAGAATCTGAACCACTTGAAACAACTGAAGAAATTCTAGCTAAAAACCCATACGGTATAAAAAGAAATTACTGATAGTTGTAATAATTTAAAACTTGAAGTAATAGTGTTTCATTTTATGATTCAGACGAGCCAGGTGAACCAGGAAAACCTGAAATAATTGATTATGATAATAAGAGTGTTACATTGAAATGGAAAAAACCAGAATCCGACGGTGGAAGACCAATTTTACATTACATAGTAGAAATGAAAGATAAATTTACATTAGATTGGACAGAAGTCACAAAGACACCAGACAGTACTCCAGAAATTAAAGTCGATGGGTTAAAAGAAAAAATGATTTATCAGTTCCGAGTAAAAGCCGTTAACAAAGCTGGTCCAGGAGCTCCGAGCAAACCAACAGAACCACACGTTTGCAAACACAGAAACCGTAAGTAATAATAATAATATAAGTACTTATAGTATATCTGTTTATAATTTGTACATTTAAGTAGTGTAAAAAATAATAATAATTTTTTTTTTTTTATTTCAGTAAAACCGAGAATTGACAAAGAAGGCATGAAAAGTATTATGGTAAAAGCAGGTAGAAATCAAAAATGGATAGTAGATGTTACTGGAGAACCAGTACCTACGTTAACGTGGATTTTTAAAAACGAAACTCTTGTGAATAACGATAGAATAAAAATTGAAAATATTGATTATCAAACCACGTTGACAATAACTAGCGCTATTCGTAAAGACACTGGCGTATATACCTTAGTAGCAGAGAATGCGTCTGGTAAAGACGAAGCAACTCTTGAGTTTACAGTATTAGGCAAACCGGACGCTCCGAAAGGACCCTTAGAAGTGACTGATATTACAAAAAAGAGTTGTAAACTCAAGTGGAAGAAACCAGAAGATGATGGTGGATGTCCAATTACAGAATACGAAGTAGAAAAAATGGATGTAGCAACAGGAAAATGGGTGAGAGTATGCAAAGTGCCAGCTAAAGATAGCCTCAAGGAACCCGAAGTGGAAATCACTAATTTGGAACCAGGCAGTGAATATAAATTCAGAGTAACAGCTGTTAATAAAGAAGGAGATTCTGAACCTCTCACTACTACCAAATCTATTATTGCCAAAAATCCATTTGGTAAAATCACATAAAATTGCAATAATAAATTATTTTCTTACATAATTTATATTAATGATATTATTTTGTATTTCAGATGAACCATCAAAGCCTAAGACTCCAGAAATTATTGATTATGATAACCAAAGTGTCACATTAAAATGGACAGCACCAGAAAAAGATGGTGGTGCTCCTATTGAAAAATATTTCATTGAAAAGAAAGACAGGTAACTACAGTTAGTGTTTACTTGAGTTGCGCTATGTTTAATTTTTTTGATTAACAAAATACACGCTCATGCCTATTAACTTACTTCATAATAATTCACAATACACAATAATTATAAATCTTATTGATATTTTTATACTTTGTCTTTTTTGCATTAAAATAAAAATAAATATAACAAACTACTAACTTAGTACTTAAATGCTTTTATAAATGTATGAATATAATTTCATAACAATTTTAATTCAACATTTTGAGAATTAAAATAAAACTATGATTGTATTATTTATTTTTTAGATTCAGTCAAGAATGGGAATTTGCCTTAGAAGTACCAGCTACAGAATTCAAAGCTAAAGTACCAGAACTAAAAGAAAAATCAGAACTTCAATTCCGAATTACAGCAGTAAACAAAGCTGGACCATCATCTCCATCCGATCCTACAAAGATTCATATTGTTAAACATAAATCATGTGAGTTAAATATTATCCACTTTGTAAAATAATATATTTTATATTACAATATATTTATAATGTTTATTTTTTGACAGTAAAACCAAGAATTGATCGCACCAATTTAAAAAATATTGTTGTCAGAGGTGGAAAAACAGTCAAATACGATGTTAATATTAAAGGTGAACCAGCACCGACTGTCAAATGGCAACTTGTTAATAAAGAGGTTTGTATTATCACATTATTAACTTAAAAATAGAATTAACAACTATACAATTTAAATATATCATAATCTGAAGAGTTAAAAATTTTGAAAAGCCTAAGGTATTTTTTTTTTTATTTTGTATAATGTGATTATACAAAATTATATGTACCTACCTCATAATTTATAATTTTAAACTATATGGATACTTTATTTTATTTTGAGAATCTAGTTTTCTTTAAATTAATTTTTTTTTAATATTTTATGACTTTGAATTAATGTTTGTTATAGAGTATTACATTTTATTTTTCTTAAAATATTATATCTTAAAATACAATTTATTTAAAACAACTTTTACATTTCAGACTGATGAACTTATAAGAGATGTGAGTAAAAAAAAAGCGTTAACTACGTATTATGTAGACATCGTTTTGGCATTGTAGAATTTAAATTCATTGTAGTTATTATTGGTGATAGTCAATTTTTACACTTCACAAAATTAGTTACTCTAATATAATTTTAGAGTAGACAACTAAATCTTGTAGAAATCTAGAGAAAATATTTGATTTGATGATTTAGAGTTGTAGATATTAATTTAATATACAAACATATTATTATAGTACTATTGTGTGTGTTCAGTAGTTGTTGTTGGTGTGTGTATATATATTACTCTTAAATTTTATTTTATTTGTATTTATACACATCAATGTATTGTAGATCGTAAATAATTGCCTTTATTAAGTAGAATTTGACTAATGATGCTTATTTCAGAATAATTAATAACGAATAAAGGTAATTTCATAAGAGAGCAAGTGTCTACAATAGCACTAATTGACTTATAATTTGATATGAATTAATTTGAATAATTCAATTTAATTGAATTTTTAAATAATTATAGGTTATATCAGAAGGAAATGTACAAATTATCAACGTGCCATACAACACTAAAATTACTTTGTCTGATACGGCTCGTAAAGATTCCGGTTTGTATAAAATAATTGCTGAAAACGAGTTTGGAAAAGATGAAGCTACTGTTGAAGTGACTGTACTATGTATGTGAATAATTGTTGTTATCTTATGAAATTCAAATATACGAATATCTCTTTGTGTACCTAACACTTTTATTGTGTACAGGCCCTCCAACTAGACCTCAAGGTCCACTCAAAGTTAAAGACGTTACAAGCAGTGGAGCTAAAGTTAAATGGGACAAACCAAAAGATGATGGCGGAAAACCGATTACGGCTTATGTGGTGGAAAAAATGGACTCTCAAACTGGACGCTGGATTCCAGTTGGTCGTACACAAGAACCTGAAATGGACGTTAAAGGCTTACAAGAAGGCCACGAGTACTCCTTCAGAGTAAAGGCTTTGAACGAAGAGGGTGAATCTGAACCATTAGAAAGTGATGGTAGCATTATTTCAAAGAATCCATATGGTAAATAAAATAAATAATAACAAAATAACCACCTAGGAATATAATTTATCAATAACTTCGAATAATTAACGTAGAAATTCCTGGTAAACCTGGAACACCAAAGATCACTGACTGGGATGTTGATAGAGTTGATTTAACATGGCAAGAACCAAAACATGATGGTGGAGCACCAATCACCGGTTATGTTATTGAAAAGAAAGAGAAACTTTCCACGGTGTGGGATGAAATTTTAACTACAAAAGTGCGTAAAAACGGTAAAATTATTCATTTCACGAAATTGATTTTTGACTTTGAGTATAATTGCAGACTCCTGCTTGTCAAGCAACTGTGAAAAATCTAGTAGAAGGAAACCAGTATCAATTCAGAGTGCGTGCTGTGAACAAAGCAGGACCATCTGAACCAAGTGATGCTACTAAAATGCATACTGCAAAAGCAAAGAACTGTACGTACATGTTTAAATAATTGAGAACATTTTTCAAATAAAATAATAAAATAATAACTAATATTATTTTTATTTTTATTTAATAATTTAGTGAAGCCATTTATCAATCGAGATAAATTACAAAAAGTGGTTGTTAGGGTTGGTCAAGTCGTGAAATTTGATGTTGACGTACGTGGTGAACCACCACCAACTATGACATGGTCTTTCGGTAGTAAACCACTGACAAATGGGCGTTCGGTGAAAATTGATAATGAGGATTACAATACAAAACTCGTGTTATCTGATAATACAAGAAAAAGTACAGGACTATACAGTTTACGGGCTGAGAATGCGTCCGGTTTCGATGAAGCTACTGTAGAAGTTATTATCCTAGGTACAATATAGTATATTATTTGTCTTCATTATGAATAAAGTCGTAGTATTTTATCTAAATATTAAATAAATAATTATTAGTAAATACACTACTTATTAGCTCAAATCTTCAGTTATTATTAAAAAATCTTTTATTTTTACTTCACAGACAAACCAGGACCTCCAGTGGGACCACTTGAGGTTACTGACGTACATAAAGAAGGCTGTACGTTAAATTGGAATAAGCCTAAAGATGATGGTGGCCTACCACTTACTGGATATTTAGTAGAAAAAATGGATACTACAACTGGAAAATGGGTACCGGCTGGATTTGTTGATCCAACAAAAACTGAACACAAGATAAGCGGTCTTGAACCAAATAGAAAGTATCAATTCCGAGTTAAAGCGTTAAACGAAGAGGGAGAATCAGAGCCATTAGAAACAGATGCTTCAATTCTTGCTAAAAATCCTTATGGTAACTATTTATTTTACTTATATTATAACTATATTACATTTATAGTTTACGATTTGAACATTTTTTTTTATCAGTCTCGTACTCATTTATTTAGACATTTATTTATTTAATAGACATTCCGGGTGCTCCAGGATTACCGGAAGTGATTGATTATGACGAAAATATGGTGGAATTAAAATGGGATGCGCCAATAAGGGATGGTGGAGCTCCTATTACAGGTTAGTGTAAAAATTATAACATTACGTTTCTACTGACGTTGTTAACATGAAATATCACATGTGTTTGAACATATTTGAATGTGAATAACTTATATTTAATTATAAACTGTATAAAGAGTACTAAAAGTATTAAAAGTATATGTACCTACTTTTAAAATTATTAATTTCATAGCTCAAGTATAGTGTTTAAAGTATCAAGTTAATAAAATAAGCAATTTAATAAATATTATTTATGTTTATTCATAAACAAAAAGTATAATAATTAAAATTAACTATATTTAAAAAAATACTGTACTAAAATTAACTTAATTTTAACATTTAGGATATATAATCGAAATGAAAGGCAAATATGATAGCTCGTTCGTAAAAGCTGCGGAAATCCCAGGAAATGTTTGCAAAGGCAAAGTTCTAAAATTAGAAAACGGACAGCAATACAAATTCCGAATACGTGCTGTAAACAAAGCTGGAATTGGTGAACCTAGTGAAGAGTCTCTTCCTCATATCGCTAAAGCAAAATTCAGTAAGCTAATAATTAAATTTTTTTTTTTTTTTAATACACCATTTTACAATGTCATATATTTTTTATAGTGAAACCAAGAATTGATAGAACTAATTTACAAAACATAATCATGAAAGTCGGACACACAAAATTAATTGACGTGAATATTAGTGGAGAACCTGTACCTACCGTTACGTGGTCATTTAAAGACGCTGTAAGATATTATAAATAATAAATTAAGTTACATTATTCAACCGATTGGTTTTTAAATATTTATTGTTTATAAAATAATTTATAACAAAATTTAAAATCATGAAATTGCATACCTCTCAGATGACCTGTTTAATGTATATATTATGATGACCTTTGAAATATCCATTATTCTATACATTATTATTTCATACATACATTTTATTTTATAAACAAATTATTATATTTTATGGTTCATAAAATAAACATCATTTTTAACATTATTACAAATGTTACTTGAAAAACTACGATTATATCACACATATTTTTATTTTAGGAATTGACTACTGGAAATTCACTCGAAATAAATAACATGGAATACAATACGAAACTAATGATCGTGAAAGCTTTACGTGCTCATAGTGGTGTTTACACAATAAAAGCCAAAAACTCTGTAGGCGAAGATACAGCTACATTTGACATCACTATCTTAGGTAAAAATTATTTTTAAATTAAATTAAATATGATTTATCTACTTCATAATTTATCATCATTATCCTATACCTACATAATTATAACATTAATATCAAGGACAGAAACCGAACCGAAAAGAACCGGTTTTTGTACAGGAACCTTTTAAATTATAGAAACCGAAACCTTTATATTGATAAATTAAATACCAGAACTGAACAAGAATTTTTAAATTATAAAGACTCTCAAAATAAAATGGTTTGATTTAGCATAACAAATTAGATATTATTACTCTGTTCATAAATAATCACGGATCCATTCTCATAATGTTTATAACTAGAACCGCACAAAATTCGTATTCTGGATAGATAACTATTTAAAATTATTATACTTTTGAAGTATTTATTATGTGTATATTTATTACAAAATAATAGTATTTGGAAAGATTTTTCCCAAAATACACCATGTTTGAAATCAATATTATATTATCTTCGAAAAAAACAAGGATAATAATAAAATAGGCACATTGCCCGCTAGTGTATTATTAATGCAAACGAAGCGTAAACAAAACGTTTCGTCAATCGAAAATAATATCTTGTTAACTATAATTTTTGATTCTATAATAGTACCACTATGTTTTATGTATTTCATAGAGAGTGATTTTGATGGTTAGCATTATATTGTAATGTAATTGTTCGTTTATTACTATTGTATCATTCTTATAATGCACTATAACTGGTGAAAGATGGTATATATTATAGTATTATAGTATATTCACTAGATGAGAAATAATATTATATTTTACTAGTAACAGGAACCGGCATCTTTATTTTTTTAACAAAAAACCGAAACCAAACTGGAACAGTTATTTTATTTTCTGAGAACCAATGTCAGGACCGATAACGATAAATTCAAACAGTTGCAGTCCCTGATAAAAATAAAATACTTGTTTAATATTATAATACAATATTCAAATTATACAAAATTAAATATCTCTATAGTTATTTTTTTTCAATTACTTATTCAAATATTTGTTGGTACTAAAAGAGTTGGGCATTTAAAAAATATCATAAAAATAATGATATTAATATTTCTTTTATTTATTATAAACAAAATACATTAAATTTTCACATTATACATTTTTAGGAAAACCCACAAAACCTGGTGGTCCACTTGAAGTATTCGATGTGACAAAGAATGGTTGCAAATTGAAATGGAAAAAACCAGAAGATGACGGAGGAGCACCAATTGAATATTATGAAATTGAAAAACTTGATCCATTAACTGGTCAATGGATTCCATGTGGAAAATCTAATGAACCAGAAGCAAACATCACTGGTTTACAAGAAGGAAAACAATATAAATTCCGTGTGAGAGCAGTTAATAAAGAAGGAGAATCAGATGATCTAGAAGCTGATAAGTTTATAGTAGCGAAAAATCCATTCGGTAATATACATTTTTAATTTATATAATAAAGACAAATTTTTAATTTCCGTTTTAAATAGATGAACCAAGCAAACCTGGAAAGCCGAAACCAACGAATTGGGATAAATCATTTATTGATCTTGAATGGGAAGCTCCTGATTCCGATGGAGGTGCTCCAATTGAAAGTTACATTGTTGAGATGAGAGATAAAGATGAGAGAAACTGGGTTAAAGCACTCGTTCTTCCCAATAAGTGCGTTTTAGTATTATTTCTTATTCTTTTATAAGCCTATATATAAATTTGTATTTTTTTAATTTAATAGACGCTCTGGCCGAGTAACAGATGTAATTGAAGGTCACGAATACGAGTTCAGAGTAATTGCAGTTAATAAAGTTGGACCGAGCATACCAAGTGACATTTCAAAATCTGTTGTCGCAAAACCACGATTTAGTATGTTATTTATTTATTATATGATTGAGTGTCTATAGTCAAAATTATGTTTATTTGACGCTTCATACTTTAAATTTTATCAAATAGTGGCGCCTAAGATTGACCGCAAAAATTTGGACAAGAAAGAAATTCGCAGAGGAAAATTCTTGAAATTTGAAGCAGATGTTCAAGGAGAACCCGCTCCTACTATAACGTGGACTTTGAATGGACAAGCAATATTATTTAATGATAGGTAAATAATAAATTTTAAATTATGATATTATAAAGTAAAATAATTTAAATTGTATTTAATATATGTCATAAAGTTTTATTACTATCTTCAAAGTTTAATATAAATAGGAAAATAAGTCACTGTAATACGTTTGATGATCGTACTTCTAGATGTTTTGAACCAATCTCTACATTACTTCTTTTCTATTTAACATAATCTACACTTTATTCAAAACGTTTTTTTTTTTTTTTACTGTATTATTTCATCTCAAATCTTTAAATAATCTTGTATAAACACTACCCATTCTTTGGTGTCTAATTGTTAACAATATTTATCATAAACTTATACTTAATCGTAATAAAATTTAGGAACAACCAACATTTTATAATTATTTTAAAAATTGGGTTTAAAGAAGATATTGATACGTTTTTATAAGGTCTATGACAAATGGACATAGCCGTTTGGACGTGGAGACAAATGGACGTCAAAAAAAAATGTATAAATCAGTAAATAAAATAAATAAGTTATTTATATTTATTATAATATGTAAATTTTAATGTCAAAAATATTCATTCAAAAAAACATCACCATCGTGATTTGAATTAATTAATGACATCTTACATGTACTCTTGAATGCTATTTGTACACGACTATCTCAGTTATAGATGTATATTGTCGAGTCTCGTGTATCACCATATTTCGATAAAGTGTGATAATTATTTTAAGTTGTAAAAACCAATAAGTTATATGTATTGATATAAAAGGTACCTCTTGCCAAAACGATAAAATTCGATAAGGTTTGATATAATGATACAATACCATTAGTTATATTATTTACATAAAATATCAGTGGTTTTATAACTTATAATTATATATATATAGATATATATTTTTTTTTTTGCGTCCATTTGTCCCTATTTGGTTTTTATAACATTTTAGATGATCAACATACATATTTATACACAAAATTTTACATTTATATATTATAATTTTGAATTTAGATTAACCATAGAAAGTGAAGAATACAAAACGACATTTATATTACAAAAAGCTAAACGTTCCGATTCAGGAATTTATACTGTTACTGCGAAGAACGATTCTGGCACAGACAAAGCAGAAGTTGAAATTGTCGTTCTCAGTAAGTTTAAAATATTTTAGTGCATAATTTATTGAAATTAACAAAAACGTGTTTCGTATATTTTTAGCTGCTCCAACTAAACCTAAAGGTCCATTAAAGGTATCAGAAGTAACAGCGGATGGATGTGAATTAAAATGGCAAAAGCCTGAAGATGACGGTGGTGTTCCGATAGATCATTACATTGTTGAACGTATGGATACCGAAATGGGACGATGGGTGCCTGTAACTATTTCTAAGCTTCCTGAAGCTGAAGTGACCGGTTTACATGAGGGTAAAGAATATCTTTTCCGCGTAAAAGCGGTGAATGCGGAAGGAGAATCAGAACCCCTTGAAACTGATTTTGGAATCGTAGCAAAGAATCCTTATAGTAAGTAAAGATTATTTTTTTTCAAGGACATGAAAATATTAAAATCTATTTCTCTTTTAGATGAGCCTGACCGTCCTGGAAAACCATACGCTAAAGACTGGGACAAAAGTAGCGTACATTTGAAATGGACTCCACCTGCAAATGAAAATGGAGCTCCAGTCACATCATACATTATAGAAAAGAAAGATCAATACAGGTAATTTTAAAATTGTATATTAATTTACAAAATAAAAAGAACGAGACTTCTGGGTGAATGGAACTCCACAGTCGTGTGAAATACAGGAATAGGTGAATTATTTTACTATATAGGTCTTCTAAAATTAAAAAAATTATCATTATTCTCGAAGAAATTATTTGGTGTGAAAAAATTCTGCTGATCAGTTTTCATTACTAAAAATGTTAGGTAAACCATGTTTTTAATAAATTAGGTTGCATTTTTAATGTTCTAAATATTTTGAAAAATGTTCACTAAATTTTTTTATTGAAACTTAGGTAAATTTTTTTGTCATTAATCTCTAATATTTAGATATGTATGAAGAACTATGTATTAAATTAAATTATTAAATTATCAAGACACTTTGCTCAATAAAAATGATTTAATCGACATTTTCGAAAATAAAGATAAATTTTGTTTTAAATTTTATGAAAGAACCTAAAAAATTCTTTTAATCATTATAGAATCTATAGAAAATAGTGATACAAGCATTTAGTGAAAATTTTAAGTTTATAATATTAGTTTTTGAGGTACGATGAAAACAAAAATTGATATGCCATACATTTTGTCAATTTTTAATAAACTTTTCAAAAGTTTTTCCCAAATTGAGAAAACTGTTCTGAAATTTGTACTAAGACTTTGCTATGATTATATTGATCGAAGTTATGTTTCTGATCGAAATTGTGTGGTAATACCAATACATAACAAGTTTTACTCAAAATCTGAAATTGATTTACAATCAAATATAACGAAAAAAAAAACTCAATAAATATATATGATTTAAATTAAACATTGACTAAAGATAATTGTATAATAATTATTATATTATTTTCAGTTCTAAATGGCAAAAGGCTGTTGAATTAATTGGAAATAAATGTGAAGGAAGAGTACCTGATCTTGCTGAAAACATGAAGTACACATTCCGTATAATAGCAGTAAACAAAGGTGGTTTTAGTAAACCTAGTGAGCCTAGTGACCCAGTTATCACTAAAGACAGAAATGGTATTATAACATTAAATTACTTAATTTAAAATGTAATGTTATGTAATATATATTTAATTTTTTAGTTGCTCCTGTAATCGATAGAAGTACTCTCAAGAATTTAACTTTAAAAGCTGGTCAGCATGTAAAAATTGATGTAAAGATTAGTGGAGAACCTCCACCAACAAAAATATGGTATCATAATAAAGCACGTTTAGAAAGTAAAGAAAACTTCAATGTTGAGTATGAAGATTATAGAACCAAAATTGCAATATCCATAGCTGAAAGATCACATACAGGTGTATATGTGATAAAAGCCGAAAATGATTCGGGCAAAGATGAAGCAACATTCGATATCACTGTATTAGGTAAGAAGAAACTTTGTATTTTTTTATAGGTATCAGTGAATTCATCATACAGATTATGATTTTAGATAAGCCGGGAAAACCTGAGGGCCCAATAAAAATATCAGACGTACACAAAGAAGGTTGTTCTTTAAAATGGAATCCACCAGCTGATGATGGTGGTGTTCCTTTGAGTCATTATTTAGTTGAAAAAATGGATACTGAAACTGGTAAAAATCATTACACATCACATACAGCAAACATTTTATATGTTTTCAAGATAAAATCTACATTGTATTTTATTTTATTCTAAGGACGCTGGGTACCAGCAGGAAGAAGCAAAGAACCAAACTTAACCTTATCTAACTTAATACCCGGTCAGGAATACACGTTCCGTGTTTCTGCTGTAAACACTGAAGGAGAATCTGAACCACTTGTAGCCGATCACTCAATTATAGCTAAAAATCCATTTGGTATAAAAATATTATGCAGTTAAATTTAAGTTACTTTTTTAATATTTTATTTCGTGGTTTTAAGATGAACCCAATGCACCAACTGCACCCAAGATTGTTGATTGGGACAAAGATTTCGTTGATTTAGAATGGGAAGCACCTATTAATGATGGTGGATCGCCAATAACTGGTTATGTTATAGAGAAACGAGAAAAGGGAACATCTAGGTGGATTAAAGCAGGTGAACTGAAAGAACCCGTGACCAAAGGTCGTGCTGAAGATTTGGAAGAAGGAGTTGAGTATGAATTTAGAGTACGTGCTGTAAACAAAGCCGGACAAGGAGATCCAAGTCCACCTAGTGCATCAATAATTCCAAAACCAAGAAAATGTGTGTATTTTAAAAAAAATAAGTCACAACTAATGAATTGAATTATATTTTCTGTGTGTTTTTTTATAGTGGCACCAAAAATAGATCGTCGTAATCTAAAATCTATAACTGTAAAAGAAGGAGAACCAATTTTATATGACGTTAAAATATCAGGAGAACCAGCCCCTGAAGTTTCTTGGTCATTTAATAATACTACCATAAATACTAATAGTATTTATCAAATTGATAACATTCCATACAATTCACGATTTTATCATTCAAATCCAATGCGCAGTGATACTGGAATTTATAAAATAGTAGCCTCTAACAAGTATGGTGAGGATGAAGAAGAAGTAGAAGTTACTGTGATTTGTAAGTTTAACGTTAATAATTATTTTTGACACAAAAACTAATTGATTATGAATTTTCAGCTAAACCCAGCAAACCAGAAGGTCCATTAGAAGTGTCAGATATACACAAAGATGGGTGTACATTAAAATGGAAAAAACCAAAAGATGATGGTGGTGAACCATTGGAAGGATATTTGGTAGAGAAGTTTGACCCTGATAATGGAGTTTGGCTTCCAGTAGGACGTACTAAGGACCCAGAAATGCAAGTAGCTGGCTTAATACCGGGACACGAATACAGTTTCCGTGTTAAGGCTTTAAATAGTCAAGGCGAATCAGAACCTCTTGAAACTTTATCTACTATTGTTGCTAAAGATCCATTCAGTAAGAATTTAGTTAATGCATACATTTTGATTGTGATGAATAATGTGAATATGTATATGAATATGTAAATTTATAATTAGCCAACCCTGAAACACCTGGTGCACCGGATATCAATGATTGGAGTCAAAACCATGCTGACTTAGTGTGGAAGAAACCATTCAGTGATGGTGGTACACCAATTACCCATTATATCATCGAGAAAAAAGATAAATATAGGTAAAATGCATAATAAAATATTCATAATATTTATGTTACTAACACAGAAAACAATTAAAATTTTAAATATTTTAACTTTATTAGTGGAGTATGGGAAAGAGCTGGTGAAACAATCAACGAACAACCTCAAGGAACTGTTAATGGTTTAGTGGAAGGCAATGAATATCAGTTCCGTGTTATTGCTGTAAATAAAGCCGGTCAAAGTGAGCCAAGCAGGCCATGTGCTAGCTTCATAGCAAAACCACGATACTGTACGTATTTAAATATCTACAACATTATAGGCAACATCAACTAACACCTATTGAATTAACAATACATTATGTTGCTTTTATATTTGCAGTGGCCCCTCATATTGATAGACGAAATCTTATGGATGTAAAACTATCAGCCGGTTCGTCATTGAAATTGGATGCTGCTATTACTGGTGAACCAGCTCCTCACGTCGATTGGAGATGTGGTGCAATGCCATTAAAGTAAGATTCAAAAATATTAAGCCGTATGAATCAACCAATGGTTTTAATCATTTTTATTTTGTAGATCTGAACCTCATGTTAACATCGAAATCGTAGATTATTATACGAAATTAGTTATCAGACCCGTGAATCGTGGTAATACTGGCCAATACACAGTTACTGCTGTAAACAGTTCTGGAAAAGATACTGCAATCATAAACGTAGTAGTTACAGACAAACCTACGCCTCCAGTTGGGCCACTTCTAGTAAGAAACACGATGATAAATATATTTTAGTATAAAATAAAATATGAATTTACGTATTTAACTTTTATTTTAGGTTTCTGATATACACAAAGAAGGCTGTAAATTGAATTGGAAAAGACCAGAAGACGATGGTGGAACTCCTATTGAATACTATTTAGTGGAAAAGTTCGACGTCCAAAAAGGCAGTTGGATACCATGTGGACGATCACCAGAAACAGGTTTATATAAAATTATAATTTGATTTTTTTTTCTTTTTAAGTTATACTTTACAACTGTTTTTTATAGCATTGACGGTGACCAGTTTGACACCGGATAAGGAATATAAATTCCGCGTAACGGCTGTAAATTCAGAAGGTGAATCTGAACCTCTCCAAACTGAAGAATCAATAATTGCTAAAAATCCTTTCGGTATAATATTATAGCAGTACTATTATTTATTTAAAACTCATACTAATAAGTTATAATTATTTAGACGAGCCAGGTAAACCAGGTAACTTAGAAGTGACAGATTGGGATAAGAATTTTGTTGACCTAAAATGGATACCACCAAAGGAAGATGGTGGATCACCTATTACGGGTTACTTAATTGAAGTCAAAGATAAATCTGGAATATGGGAAAAAGCAATAACAGTACCAGCTGATAAAACTACTGCCACAGTGCCAAACTTAATAGAAGGCGAATCATACGTATTCCAAGTAAAAGCTATAAATGCAGCAGGCCCAGGTGAAGCTAGCGATCCAACCAATACAGTTGTTTGCAAGCCACGAAATATGGCACCACATATTGACAGAACAAACTTGAATGATATAAAAATCAAAGCGGGACAAACTATAAGTTTCGACATCAAAGTAGGTTTATTCGTTATTGCTATTATTAATGTATCATAACCTTAGTTTAAGAAAAAATCAGTGAATAATTTTATGTACACGTATTTTATTATAATTTTGAATTAAATAATTTTAATAATTTTATAAACCTATTTACTAGGTGACTGGTGAACCGGTACCAAAAACCAAATGGTTGAAAAATCACAAAGATATACGAATAGGCGACGGTGTAAAACAAACACACGTTGATTACAATACTAAGCTGATTATTCGTATGGCAACAAGAGGTGATTCCGGAACATACATGATAACAGCTGAAAATATAAACGGAAAAGATACGGCCTACGCTGAAGTAACAGTTTTAGGTAGGCAATGAAACCAAGTAGTCATTTAATGTGTATTTATTTAACAATATTTTTGAAAAATTGTGCGCAATAAATTAAGATAATAATTTAAATATTAATTTAAAATATTATTTTTATAATTTTTGTTTAAAGACAAACCAAGTGCACCAGAAGGACCTCTAAAAGTAGCTGATGTACATGCTGAAGGATGTACATTAAGCTGGAAACCACCTGAAGACGATGGTGGACAACCAATTGAGAATTACGTAATAGAAAAGTTAGATGAAGCACTGGGTCGTTGGGTGCCCGCTGGTGAAACTGATGGACCAGCTACAAACTTTGAAGTTAAAGACTTGATACCAGGCCACAAATACAAATTTAGAGTAAAGGCAGTAAATAAACAAGGAAAATCGGATCCTCTAACCGCTAACCAGAGCATTGAAGCTAAAAATCCATTTGGTAAAATATTTACTATCCATGATACAAAAAAAAATCAAGAACGATAGACAATGCAATTGAATCAAAATTATATTTATATTTTTAGATGCTCCTAGTAGACCATCAAATCCCGTCATCAAAGATTTTGACAGCGATTTTGTTGAGCTTGGTTGGGACAAACCTAAGGCTGATGGTGGATCACCAATAACAGGTTACATCATTGAAAAGAAAGATAAATTCAGGTACAAAAATAAAAAAAGATTTTTATATAAAATAATTGTTTAAAACTAAACCAATTTTTATATTATACGTACCTAAATAGTTTTTTAGGCAGAAAATAAATTATAAATTATAAATGTAGAAAATTAATAATGTATAATTGTATTTAATCATGTAATTCTTATAAACATATTAAATATTTAAAATTAAAACATTTCAGAATAGTAACAAAAAATCAATATTACTAAGACATATAATACGAGTATATAAGTTAGTGTTTTATGTGATTTTAAAGAGGTATTATTGTGCAAAAGTAGATATATGAAATTTTTCTGTAATAAAAAAATGTTATAGTTCTTATATTGATTTTATTTATATGTATTATATCCAATTGAAAAAACAAAAAGTAATGAGTTATAAGGATATAAGGATATATGTTTTTGATAGAGGACTGATTAAAATATGTAGATACTATTTATTGCTGATAAATTATTTTATTTTTTACAATGTTTTATATAATATGTTATAAATATATACGAATATATATATATATATATATATGTGTGTGTGTGTGTGTGTGTGTGTGTGTGTGTAAATGAAATCACATAAAATATATTTATTTCGATATTTTTTTAAAAAATTTCCTAAACTTATATTTACAGTCCAACATGGGTCAAGGCCGCTGAAGTTGTTGGTGATATAAACAGCGGAATAGTACCCGGATTAACAGAAGGCAATCAGTATGAATTTAGGGTACGTGCAGTAAACAAAGCTGGACCTGGTGAACCGAGTGAACCAACATTACCTCATGTTGCTAGGCTCAAAAAGTGTAAATATTAATTACAATGCCATACTGGCTAATATGTTGAAAATATTTGTTATTAATAAAAGAAATTTATTTTAGTGGCTCCTCATATCGATCGAAACACTCTCTCAGATATCAAAGTCCGGGCTGGGAACATGTTTGAATTTGACGTAAAAGTATCCGGAGAACCTCCACCAACCAAGGAATGGTCTCTTAGAGGAGATGTAATCTTGAAAAATGAGAGCATTAATATAGTGAATCAAGATTACTCGACGAAATTAAAAGTTATTGACGCAAAACGTTCTGACGATGGAATATATTATTTGGTGGCGAAAAACATTCATGGAATGGACAAAGCTGCTGTTAAAGTTACAGTCATAGGTATTTAGTAATAACTTTTACTTTTGTGACTAATGCTTAAATAACTTTTGTAATATTTTAGACGTACCACAACCACCTGAAGGACCCTTGCATGCCACTGATGTCACAAAAAGTTCGTGTGTGTTGAAATGGAATCCACCGAAAGATGACGGTGGATCAGAAGTAACGCATTATATAGTCGAAAAAATGGATGCCGATACACTTAGATGGGTTCCGGTTGGTGAGCCGTCTGGAACTTCGACGAGGTACATACATTGACTGTTAACTCCTGTGTCTGAACTTACAAATCATTATTATTATATTGCAATAAATATATTCGCAGGATTGATCATTTGATCGAAGGCCATAATTATAACTTTAGAGTTAAGGCTGTGAATAAAATTGGTGAGTCTTTGCCGTTGACTACATTTGATAGTATAACAGCCAAAGACCCGTATGGAAAACCAGATAAACCAGGCGCACCTCAAGCAACTGGTAATTTGTGAAATTATTCATAAAAATAATATAGTTTAAAAAATTAACAATTTTTAGATTGGGGAAAGAGCTTTGTTGATCTTCAGTGGACTCCACCAAAGAAAGATGGTGGATCTGAAATCACATCATACATTATTGAAAAACGAGAAAAATATGGGTGCTTATACATAATACATTTATTTTTATCAATTATTTTATTCATAAATGTTTAAAAATAATTTTATTTTAATTCAGGCCTTGGGAGAAAGCTACGACAGTAAGTGGAAACAAAACAAAGGCTTCTGTGCCTAATTTGACCGAAGGTCACGAATATGAATTCCGAGTTATAGCTGTAAACAAAGGAGGACCTGGCGATCCAAGTGATCCATCGGAAGTCATAATCTGCAAACCCAAATTCCGTTAGTTATTTTCTCCATTATATCAAATATAGCAATCTAAGAGTATTATTATTATATACTATTATAATCGTTAAAAATCAAATATTTTTATAAAGTGTAAAAGTTTACAATTACCAAACATAAAGTGGCAATAAATTGTATTTTTTAAAATACAACAAAATACATTTTTGAATATTTAATTATAAAATTTTAATCAGAACTAAAAACAATTCGGATTATATATTAATACTGAAAATAGATAAATTATAGCAACTTATATGGTGATAAATAATAAATAATAATTAATAATCTGGGTATTATAATATTGTTTTAGTTGAACCAGTAATAGACACTACATTCTTACCTGATCTGATTGTACGTGCTGGTAATAAAATCAATTACACCGTGCCAATCGAGGCAGCACCTAGACCAACAGTGAAATGGAGTGTTAATAACAAGACGATTGAGAGCAGCTCAAGAGTAGACATACAAATCTATAACAGCCAAGTTATATTTGAAATACCGTTTTCGGTACGAAATGACACTGGTCGTTATACATTGACATTAGAAAATAATTTGGGCAAGTGTTCAGCGTCTGCTAACGTAACAGTGCTAGGTAAAATACATTTATTATTTATTAACAACAATGTAACACGTTTTTCTGTCCATTTTCACTTTAGATCACTTGATGATTTTTTTTGTTTTCCGTAGATCGGCCATCACCTCCTGTAGGTCCATTAGACGTTTCTAATATTAGAAAAGACGGATGCCGTTTGACGTGGAAAGTACCCGTTGACGACGGTGGTGCTCCGATTTTGCATTATATTATTGAAAAAATGGACATTTCCAGAGGCACATGGTCTGATGCTGGAATGACAACATCGTTGTTCCATGACGTTTTAAGATTAATTCATAAACGTGAATATTTATTTAGAGTCAAAGCAGTTAACAGTATTGGTGAATCAGACGTTTTAGAAACGGATTCCTCGATAATTGCAAGAAACGAATTCGGTATGACAAATAAGTAATAATAAAACACTAACTATTTGTAATCAAAATTATTTATACAGATGAGCCAGATGCTCCGGAGAAACCCATTGTTACGGACTGGGATGAAAACTTCGTTGAACTGCAATGGGAACAACCAAAAACTGATGGTGGCTCTCCGGTCACCGAATTCACAGTACAAAAGAAAGAAAAAGGAAGTCCATATTGGGTAAATGCCGTCACTGTACCAGGAAGAGAAACAAAGGTAAGAAATATAAATGAAAAAAAAAAATTAGGCAATTATAATTTTATAATAATTTTATTAAATATAATAATAAAAATAATAATAATAATTTTATTTTTTTTTTCATTTAATTATTTAGGCAATCGTTCCAGATTTAACCAAAGGGCAAGAATACGAATTTAGAGTTATTGCCACTAATAAGGCAGGTCCTAGTCCTCCAAGTGATCCTTCGGACCCAATTATTGTGAATAATAGATACTGTAGGTTTTTTTAAATATTGATCAACTTTTACAAATTTGTCAGTTTAACAACTATAAAAAACCATTTATTTTTTATTTTTATAGTAAAACCAAAAATTAAAACTCCTCTGAAGGACATATTCATTAGAGCTGGAACAGTTTTACATGTAGATATTGATTTTATTGGTGAACCACCTCCAGAAGCAACATGGACATTAAACGGAACGGAACTAAAACCAGATAACAGAACAACCATAACTTCTATTGGATATCACACAATTATGAACAAAGTTAATTCAAAACGATTAGACTCTGGAGTATATAATTTATTGCTTAAAAACAGTTCTGGAACTGATGAAGGTTCATTCAACGTTACCGTATTAGGTAAGAAAATGATATTATGTTAATGTGAATATTAAGTATGTTTAATTATACAATGTATATTATATTATTATATTTAAATAACAGACAGACCTGGGCCACCTGATGGACCACTTACATATGAAGATATCACTGCCGGTTCGGTTACTCTGTCTTGGAAGGCTCCAAAAGATAACGGTGGAAGTGAAATTACGTAAGTTATTTAATTTGTAACTTTTTATTTTCGATGATTTAATTTTTTATACTATAATATAAATTACTTACGTCTTTATTATTTTTATAGAGCATATGTAATTGAAAAACGCGATTTGACTCATGGTGGTGGTTGGGTACCAGCAGTAACATACATAAATCCAGCATTTACGCATGCCACGGTTCCAAGGCTTATAGAAGGAACAAGATACGAATTCCGAGTTCGGGCTGAAAACTTACAAGGATTATCTGAACCATTAACAACAGCTGAACCAATAATCGCCAAGAATCAATTTGGTATGTTTTGTGTGATAATACTGATAATCATTATCTGATAAAATACCAATCGAAATATCAATATTTCAACGATTTTATTAATCTCTAATACGCGTATTTAACAGATGTTCCTGGAAGACCTGGTAAGCCCGAAGCCATTGAAGTTGACCAAGAACATATTAAAATCATGTGGACTGCACCTATGAGTAATGGAGGATCACCAATTGTTGGATATGATGTTGAAAGAAGAGAAAGGTCTACAGCTGGTCGGTGGGCGAAAATTACTAGATCGCCAATCAAGGTAACATTATCAGTACGACTGAAATATATTTAAAAATAATAAATGTTAATTTATAGACGACCGAGTACGATGACACTCATGTACACGAAGGCAAACAGTACGAGTATCGTGTAAGTGCAGTTAACGCAGCTGGTTCCAGTAAACCTAGTGAAGTTTCAGATGTATACACAGCGAAATTAACAAGAGAAAAACCAAAACTTCACTTAGATGGTCTAATCGGTGGAAGAATAAAGGTCAGAGCTGGAGAACCTATTAACATTAGCATACCGATATCGGGTGCCCCGACTCCACGAATTGAATGGACTATAAACGGTGAAAAACCACCGGAAACTAACCGCATACTTGTAAGATAATCAACATGTTGTTTTTTACTTAAATCGTAACAATAATTATTTCAAATTTGTATGCTAATTTGTTTTCATAATTTACGTATAGTCTGTGACTGGAAGTAACTTGACTAAACTGAGAGTTGATAATTCAACACGTAAAGACGCTGGGAAATATACAATAACTGCATCAAATACATCCGGAAAAGATTCTGCTGATATATTTGTATCAGTGGTGAGTTGCCCCAGTGCACCACAGGGACCTTTGCAATACTCTGGAACTACACATGATACCGTTACGCTTGCTTGGAGGCCACCTGATGATGATGGAGGCAATGATATAACTGGTACATTATAATTTATTGCATTAGTATTTTTTCGCTTAAGTGTACTCACATAGACTTTTATTATTCAAGGATATATTATTGAAATGTCTGAGTTTGGAATGGACAATTGGAAAACAGTTCCTGGTTTCTGTCCAAATACTTCATTCACGGTCAAAGGTCTAAACGAAGGAAAACGATACGTATTTAAGGTAAAGGCCGAAAATATGTATGGTGTCTCGGAACCTTTGGAAGGAAGTCCAATAATGGCGAAAAGCCCATTCGATCCACCAGATGCACCAGGACAGCCTGAAGTGACCAATTACAGTCCAAACAGTTGTAGTTTATCTTGGACTCCACCATTTAATACTGGAGGAAGAGCAATTACTGGTAAAACACTATCTAATATATGTCTGAACTCAATAATTATTGTTGTTTTTTTTTTAATTATTATTATTTAGGTTACATAGTACAAAAGAGAGAAAGAGGCGGTGATTGGGTGAAATGTAATAATTACCCCACGTCTAATACTACTTTCACAGCACAAGATCTTAGGGAAGGAAACCGTTACGAATTCCGTGTACTTGCTGTAAATGAAGCTGGTATGGGTAAACCTAGCAAGCCTAGTAATCCAATGACGGCTAAAGAACAAAAGAGTAAGTTATAATATTCCTTACACATTTTTATTTTCGTTTTATAATTTAAATGTTTTATTATTTTCTATTGCAGAGGTGCCCGAATCTCCTGAAGCACCAAAACCAGACAGAATCACAAAGGATAGTGTAGTGTTATCATGGAGACCACCAAGGTTTGATGGTGGTGCGAAAATTAAAGAATACATTTTGGAACAAAAGAAGAAGGGTGATTCTGATTGGTCAGAAGTTATATGTCCGACTATATATTCGACTTTGTGCACTGTAATATTACAGTTTTTTTATTTTTTATTTATTATATCTATAAAATGTCTTCTATTTTAACTTGACAGGTTGGAAACTTAAAAGAAGGAGATGAATACCAATGGCGAGTAATTGCTGTAAACGAAGCAGGAAGATCAAAGCCTAGTCGTCCAAGTGTAAATATTTTAGTCGAAGAACAAGCTAACAAACCCTGTTTGGATTTGTCTGGTGTAAGAGACATCACTGTGAAAGCTGGTGATGATTTTTCTATTCATATTCCATATGTTGGATTCCCATTGCCCACTGCCACTTGGTTTAATAATGACCAAATTATAAGCGACACAGATCCTAGAATACACATACAGGTATATATACGAAATATATTGAGGTATTTTCAATTTAAAGCTTTTTTAATTCGTAAATATTGTAATTTAATAAAATTATATATGTTTAAATTTCAGATGACCAGTAACTCTGTTAGTTTGGTCATTAAAAATTCTAGACGAACAGATGCTGGACAATACAGATTACAGTTACGTAATCAATCTGGATTTGATACGGCAACATTACACGTGAGAGTTTTGGATAGACCACTACCACCAGAACACTTATACGCTGATGAATTAAATGGAGATTCTTTAATACTATTCTGGCATCCTCCATTAGATAATGGAGGTGCTCCAATAACAAACTATCTAGTAGAAAAGAAGGAATTCAATTCAACAACATGGCAAAAGGTATTTTTTTTTTTAATATTTGAGTTACTTTGAATAAAAATGAATGGTGGTTACAATTTGTAATGATTAATCGTTTTTAATTAAACCAATCGTCACATAAAAAAAAAAAAATTAAGTCGATAAAAATTACATATGTACTCTATTCAACAGTGTTTTCATACATTCATACGGATATAAGTTGTGCAATTACATGAAAAAATTAATTTTTACGCACTATTATTACTAGAGTAAAAATAAATATTATACTCATAGGCATATACAAACTTTTGGTTCCGTGGGTGTACAATAAAAATTAGGGACCACAATAATTGGTATAACTATACTCGTATTCATTGTAATAAATATTACACAACAATTTATAGATATACAATATCTTATAACAATAATTGACGTTTAAAATAACGTTCTTGAATGCGTCAATTATTTCATTAAAATCTAATGTACAAGCTAATTCTTGTTCTGTGACTATTAGTATTAATGATTCTAGTCAATTTTGGCCCATAATACATCTGAGATTATTTTTTTTACAATTCTTAATTTAGAAAATATCATTTTGCATGTACCACTTGTTATTGGTATAATGGTCAACATTTTTAAAACTAAATACATATTATTAAAAATGTCTAACTGACCACATTCTTTTAACAAGTCTAACCACACATACACAGATTCACTGGATGTACTACTCGTTATGTCAGGCATATGTTCGAGAATTTTAATTTCAATTTCAGTCCATCAATTGATATATTGAATAATTTAAATTAAATATTTGAAAAACTGTTGTTTTATTCTAACTTCAATAAATTTCTTACAGTACAAATTAAATCTAAGCTGTCTTGATTAAATCTCATACTTATATCATTGATAAAATTATCTGATAATAGAATAAATACAGAACACCTGATTTTTTCATAAATGGAATCATAAAAAAATTTATCAGAATAATTTTCATCTAACGTCAGACTCGTTTTTTTCTTTTAACCACAGGAATACTAATATATATCAATACTTTGGCATTTTCTTCAAAAATGTATAATTTCTCATTAATATTAATGAACTTTTAAGTGCTTGTATAAAATTAATAATTGTTAACATATCAAATTTAAGAAACTGAACTTCTGAACTTAATTTTAAAATAATTTTAAAAATTGATTCCATATGGTGCAAGCTTATAAGAAATTAAAAATTTTGAAGTTGGTGAAGTCAACCAATACCTTAAGCTTTCGAATATAGAACAGTACAGATTTTACTGTATACTCATTTATATTAAAACGTTTACAATAAATGCAAAAGACAGCATCTATACTTGAACTATACAGTAATCACTTATAACTACTATACCAATTGTTTGTTGAATGATCGTTGTTCATTTTTATTTATTGTTATTGGACGTTAAAAATAGACTATTAACGTTTAAATATCAAAATATTCTATGAAATCCGATAATATTATCAATAAATTACTTATTAACTATTACAATCATAATTTTATAAAACACACGATTCTGTTCAATCGAAATTCATATTTTTTCGAAAAAAAAACACATTATTACCGTTTTATAATATTTGGATTTTTCAAAATTAAAAATTTACACTTAATTAATAATAATTTTTAGGGCCCTTGCCATTTTGGTTTAAGAATCTGGGGTGGGGGGAGCACTCTTGACATCCCCTGTGCGCACGCCTATGATTATACTAACATATGTATATCAAAACATTTTCAAATCATACAGTTTTGTTTAAAAATATTTTTTTTATTTTAGTTAAATTTGCTTTTTCCGTTAACAGGTAAGCAACTATGTTGCTTCTCAGCAATGTAAAGCTCGAAATCTTATTGTTGGAAAAACATACCAATTCCGTGTTATGGCTGAAAACAAGTATGGAATATCTGACCCTGCTATTACTATTGATCCTATAACTGCAAGACATCCATTCGGTATTTTCAATTTATCTATAAATTTAATAGATATAAATAGTTCCGTTTTCGCAAGGATTATAACTGAACATTGTTTATTATTTCAGACGTACCTGGAGCACCAGGAATGCCAAAGGGCATAGAAACATCTGAAGACTCTATTACAATTACATGGTCGAAACCTAGAAACGACGGTGGATCTCCAATTACTGGCTATATGATAGAAAAACGTCTGATTAGCGAAGAAAAATGGACAAAATCAACGCATAATATAGTCCTCGATACAACATTTAAGTAAATAAAGTATTTGGATTAATTTAAAAAAATCAATATATTTAATTTAATTTTTGTGTAGAATACATAATTTAATTGAAAATCACGAGTACGAGTTTAGAGTATCTGCACTTAACGCAGCTGGCCAAGGCCCGTGGAGTTCATCTTCTGATGCCATTAGATGTTGTCCACCAGCAGGTAAATAGTAATTGCCAGGCCATCTAAATAATGTAATACATTTTATTAAATAAATCAATATCAACAAAAATTACTTTTATTTTAGCCGCACCAAAAATAACAAGTGACTTAAGTATACGTGATATGACTGTAATTGCTGGAGAAGAGTTCACTATTACTGTTCCGTTTACTGGAAGTCCATTACCAAAACCAGTATGGAGTATAAATGGAGAAGAAATCATACCAGATTCGAGAATTAAATTTGAAACCTCAGCGACTGAGACAATATTCAAAAATAAATGCGCTAAACGCAAAACTGATACAGGAAATTATACTATTCATTTGGTAAACAGCATTGGAGCAGACTCTGCATCTTGTAAAGTTCTTGTTGTTGGTAAGTTGTTAAAAACAACAACATTTGAAGAGTAAAATAATCGATTTATAAAACTGTGTGCTTTATATATTTATAAATGAATTATGAATTATTTGTTAATTTTCAGACAAACCATTGCCACCACAGGGACCACTAGAAGTTACAGATTTAACACCGGAAACATGTTTGTTATCTTGGAAACCACCATTAGACGATGGTGGTTCACCGATCACAAATTACATTATTGAAAAATACGAAACATCAAGTGGTGTATGTATTCAACATTATTTTATACTATCTACAACCATATTAAATATTAATTTGTTTTATTTATTTTAGTTGTGGTCGAAATTAAGTAGCTTTGTTCGTCCATGTCACTATGATATCATTGGATTAGAACCAAATAAGAAATATAATTTCCGTGTCCGAGCTGAAAACCAATATGGAGTATCAGAACCAATTGAAATGGATTCAGCTATAACTGCTAAATTCCCATTCACGGTACCAGATCCACCGGGTCATCCACAGATTTTAGAATGGGACGAAATAAAGGCCACGTTGATGTGGGAAAGACCCGTACATGACGGAGGAGCGAAAATTCAAGGATACAAAGTCGAATTCAAAGATATTACCGAAGGTGGAAGCTGGCGTACAGCCAACGATTATGTTGTAAAAGAGCCGCTATTTGTCATTCACAATTTGTTGAACGAACACGATTATGAATTCCGTGTGCTGGCTAAGAACGCCGCAGGTTTCAGTAAGCCCTCGATTCCTACACCTAACTTCCGACTGAAAGGTAAAGCGAAACCACCGTCGAAGCCTGGTACGCCGATCGTTCTTAAGGTTGGCAGAACCTATGCCGATTTGAAATGGGAACCACCGATTTCTGATGGTGGTAGCAAAATAACAGGATACGCGATTGAAAAAAGACAAGTAGGAGTTGCTACATGGGTGAAATGCAATGATTATTCTGTATTCGATTGTAAATTCACTGCCATGAACTTGATTGAGGGCGCTGACTACGAATTTAGAGTATTCGCTTTAAATATAGTTGGTAAAAGTGAACCTAGTTCGTGTACCACACCTGTGAAGATATGCGAGTTCGAAGGTGGAGAAAAACCAGAATTTATCGTACCACTTACCAATAAAGTTGTACAGTTCGGCAAAACGATCACGTTAAGATGCGAGGCCACAGGAAAACCTATGCCAAACGCTAAATGGTTAAAGAACGGTCGTGAAATTGTTTCGGGTGGACGATACAAATATGAATCGTCTAACGGCGTTTTTCAATTACATTTCCCTGAAGTATCAGAACTTGATGATGGTGATTATACATGTGAATCATATAATCCTGTTGGATTTGTTACAACGTCATCGCGTATTAAAATTGGACGTAAGTACTCTAAAAATTTAAAGCGTTATTATTTTTAGTGATTACGGATTTTTAATAATTGTTTTATTTCAAACAGTTTTAAAATTGTCTAAATCTCCAAACTAGTATTTGAAAATTTCTATTGAAAATATTTGATTTTAATTTGATTTAATTTTAATAGTGTATTAAGTATTTTAAGATTATAATCTAGTGAAATTGGAAAAAAATTTATTGTTATTCCAATTATCAATTTAACCATTGTGTTAATGTCTTTTTTAGATCCACCTAAAATCGAACGAATGCCAAACTCGATCAACGTTCCTGAGGGAGAAAACAGTAAAATTAAAATATTCTATAGTGGAGATTCATTGGAAGAAGTCATTCTGGAAAAGAATGGAGTATCTATTCCTCAGAGTGATCACTTTAAATTTACTATCTTCGATGATTATGTAATTATATTTTTGAAAGAAGCAAAGAAAAATGATGCGTCTGATTATACTGTAACTCTAACGAATCTCAGTGGTAGTACCTCAGGATCGTTTACAGTCAATATATCTGGTAATTAAACATTAGTTTATTAGAAATATAAACCAATTTGAATTACTCTTTATTAATGTTGTGTTTATTTTAACTGATAATAGGCTATCCTGGACCACCAATTGGACCATTGGCCGTTTCAGAAATAACAAAACATTCATGCTATCTATCTTGGCACCCACCAAAATATGACGGTGGTCTTAAGATTACTCATTACATTGTAGAGCGCAAAGATATAAACTCTAACCATTGGATATGTATTTCTACTACATGCAAAGATATACATTTCCTTGTACAAGGTCTAACCGAAGGAAATGAATATGTCTTCAGAATTATTGCTGTAAACGATAATGGATTAAGTCCTCCGTTAGAAGGAGTAAATCCAATCAAAGCAAAATCACCTTATGGTAGTATAATTACAAATTATAATCAATATATAAATATCATAAATGGCTATATAATTAATTATTCACAGATAAACCATCACCACCTGGAATTCCTACTGTAACTGAAATTGGTGGGGACTTTGTTAACTTAAGTTGGGATAAGCCAATTGACGATGGTGGTTCGAGAATACAAGGCTACATAATTGATAAACGTGAAATAGACTCCGATACATGGCAGAGGGTGAATGCCGCCATTTGCGTTACAACGCAAATAAATATTTCAAATCTCATCGAAGGACGTCAATATGTATTTAGAGTTTTCGCACAAAATGAAGCTGGTTTAAGTTTACCAAGCCAAGCTTCCAACACAGTGACCATAAAAGATCCATTAAGTAAATAAACATAATTTTTCAATGGGAACTTTTAACCACATAATAAATCCATTTTATAGCTGCTCAACCTCCTGAAATAATCAAGCCTCTTCATAAAGTCCAAGCTATTCAAAACCAAAATGCTCAATTCCAATGCGTTATTACTGGGGTTCCTAAACCTACAATCACTTGGTAAGTAATATTTAAAAAAAAAAAAAAAAAGGTATTTAAAATCAGGGGTCGGCAACCTTTTTACCTACACGGGCCATAATTTGTTTCAGTTTTTTATGGAGGGCCGCATAAAAATAAAATATTGAAAAATATAATTTTAACATATAATACTAATATATTTACAGATTGCAACAATCATATTATGAGTTCAACATTGCGGTTGTTCTTATCAACTAATTTATAATTAAATACATTAGTAGAGAAAATTAAAATTAAAGTTTAAAAATAATTATTAATTAATTCTTGAATTCATTTTTGTATACAAATATTAAGTTACTAGTGTGATTTTTGAGGTTGAATTTTTTCCGCCAATTCGTTTATATCCGCTTTTATATTGGATGTTGATATCCTTAAAACAGCATTCAAGTGTTCATCGCTTAATCGTGAACAATATTTATTTTTTCGAATTTTAAGTATTGAGAATGTCTGCTCACAAATATATGTGCTACCGAAAGCAGTAATCATTTTTTTAGCAAAACTTTTAATTCCTTTAAAATCTATTTCAGAAAGACTTGAATAAAATATTTTTAGATCATTACTTTCTTTAAAAGCATATTTAAGAATATCGTTGTTTTGCAATTCTATGACTTCCATCTGTAAATTATATTCAACATCGTCAATGCCAACAGAAAAAGGGTTTTGAAACAATTTGATTTTATTCTCTTGTACGTAAAAATCAGAAAATCGTATTGAAAATTCATTTTGTAGGTTTTCAATTATATTTAAAAAATTAATTTTTATAGTTTCCCAAGGTAAAGTTGATTTGGATGATTTTAATACAATTTTACAACATACAAAATGATCTAAATGCTATTCATTAATATGTTTGCGTAATAATTTTGATTTCATTTGAAATGATTTTATAATTGAATACATATCTGACAAAAATTTGTCTTTACCTTGCAGTTTCGTATTTAGTTCATTCAATAAAGTTGTTATATCAGTCAAAAATGCCAGATTAATAACCCACTTTTCATTTGATAATTCTGGTACTTTTTTGCCCTTTTCTGACATAAAAATATTTATTTCATTTCGTAAAATAAAAAACCGTTTCAAAACCATACCCTCTACTCAACCACCTTACTTCGGAAAAATATATTACATACCCATATGCAGCATCGCATTCTTCCAAAAATATTTTAAATTGAAGATGTGCTAAAGCATTTTTACGTATGTAGTTAACCATCGATACTACAATATTCATTACATCATTCCGTGCTAAACTTTGCAACATAATGCCTCTTGATGTATGATGCAATGAAATATCATAGGTGCTTCATGACTTTCTTCCACCATTTTTGCATTTATTTTCCCAATTAATCCTTTATTAATTCCACTCATATTTCTACCACTATCTGTAGTAACTCTAACTAGTTTGTTCCAACTTAAATCAAATTTTTTAAATGTTTTGTCAATTTTGATAAATAAGTCTTCTCCCGTTGTAGTTCCTTTCAAACTACATAATTCAGCTAATTTTTCAGAAATATTAAAATTAAAATCAATTCCACGAATAAATATTAATAATTGAGCAGTATCACAAACATCAGTACTTTCGTCAGTTGCGATAGAAAAATAATTAAATTTAGAAACTTTTTCTTTCAGTTTGAACATTAAATTTGTTCCTAACTCTTCGGTACGTCTAGCACAGGTCCTAGCTGAGAGACTGATGTCTTCAAATTGTTTTTTTTTTCTCATGGCATATTTCATTTATTACGGATAACATACGTTTTTTTATAAACTCAGAGTCGTTAAATGGACGATTACACTTGGCTATCATTTCCACAACTACTAAACTAGCTCGTACTCCTGATTCGTTTTGATTATGTTGTAATTTAAAACTATTTTGTTGATTATTTAATGAACTTTTAAAATTATTTATTTTAATCTGTCTAAGATCACCAGTGAGAGTTTCAAATTTTAATTTATGCTATTTCATAGTGACGTTTAACATTATACTCTTTTACAGATAAAATGGTTTTTTGGCAAATTAAACATAACAGTTTACCTTTATTTTCGATAAAAAAAATATAAATCCGTCCATGATTCGTTGAATGTACGATTTACATTACTAATTTTACGTTTTTTTTTACATTGAATTAATAGATTATTATAAAACAGTTAAAATTTAAACTTTACGTTTGAATGTTTTGAAACGAACTGCACTAAGGCCATAACCAGATACGTATTTATCGTAATCGACGATATATATGCGATATTATATGCGATTATATTACGTTCTCGATCATAGCTTATCTCGCATTGTTATACAATAGTCGTGATTAAATATTATTTATAACTAGGGCTCGGATTTCAATGCATTTGTATCTTTTTTTTGGAATGTCTTATGCGTAGCTTTCCAAGCTACACATTTGTTTCAGATACTCCATGTTCTACCCACAAACATTTTTTGGGACATTTTTTGCATTTTTTGACGTTTTCAATGCATTTTTTTTATATTTTAGGACATTTTTGACCTATTTCTCGTATTATGACAATTTAAGCATTTTAATTTTTAAGCTATAAAATATATTTGAAGGACCTCATGCGGCCCACGGGCCACGGGTTGCCGGTGCCTGTTTTAAACAATTAAATTACTATATAGCTAATACGGGTACAATGTACAATATAGGTACAAGGGAGCTCGAGAAATCACACCAAGTGCCAGGCATCATATGTTCTACGAAGGAGACTCATATACTCTTATTATTAATGGTGTGTATGGTGCAGATTCAGATGAATATGTATGTAGAGCCAGTAATAAGGGTGGTATTAAATCAACTAGAGGAGAACTTCTAATAATGAGTAAGTTTTAAATATTTTTCATTGATAGTTTTTTTTTTTTTTAATTTAAACTATTATTTTATTCCAGCACCACCGAAATTAAATGTACCACCTCGATTTAGAGATACGGCATTCTTCGACAAAGGAGAAAATGTCGTTATTAAAATTCCTTTCACTGGTTTCCCTAAACCAAAAATTAAGTGGTACCGTGAGAACGATGTAATAGAGTCTGGAAGTCATTTCGCTGTTGAAGTATCTGTATGCTATATTTATTTCACTTTAATTGCATTTACTAGCTAGGTCTCATATCGATTAAATAATATTATGTGTTAAAGGAGAGGCATGCTATTCTTACTATCAGAGATGTTAGCAAGTATGACAGCTCTCCATATAGAGTTGTGGCAGAAAATGACTTAGGAGTAGACAGTGCCATAATTAAAATTCAAATCAGTGGTAAGAACATTCAGATATTAATTAAAATCAGATTAGCGTTTAATCTATTTTATTTTTGGTTTTACAGATCATCCTGATCCACCATTTAATTTATCAATTGAAGATATTGGACAAGATTCGCTTCTTCTAAACTGGACTGCACCTACATGGGATGGTGGATCTAATATCACCAATTATCTGATTGAAAAAAGAGAAATACCAATGAGTAGTTGGATTCGTGTTGGAAACACTAGGTACTTTAATTAAATTGTTGATGTTGGATTTACAAATTTAACGGTTAATTTATTTTTTTCTATTTAAAGATTCACTTCGACAGCTGTAACGGGTCTAAGTCCTGGACACGAATATGAATTTAGAGTATATGCTGAAAACGTCTACGGTAGAAGTAAACCAAGCGAAGTATCACCGGTTGTCAGGACTAAAGAACCCAAGAAAAAACCACCAAAAACAAAACGCTACGAAGGTAAAGTACTCTAGACTCATTTTATGAAAACTTGAATTATTCAATTATATTTATTTTTATTTATGTAGTTGATGAAACTGGCAAAAAAATAAGAGGAAAAGCAGATGGTAATATTAAAGACTACGACCATTACGGTAAGTACTTAATAAACAATATTTTCACCGAAACATAATATGTTATTGATTTAATTTTAATTTATTGTAGTTTTTGATATATACTCGAAATATATACCACAACCAGTGGATATAAAATCACAATCCGTTTACGATTACTATGACATATTGGAAGAAATAGGAACCGGTGCATTTGGAGTTGTACATCGGTGTCGTGAACGTAAAACGGGCAACATATTTGCTGCCAAATTCATACCGGTTGCACATAACGTCGAAAAAGAATTAATCAAAAAAGAAATAGACATAATGAATCAACTTCATCATCCAAAACTGATAAACCTACACGACGCTTTTGAAGACGATGACGAAATGGTTTTAATATTCGAATTGTACGAATAATATCATAATATACATTATTATATATATAATATATACATTATATATTATAAACATGTAATTTTAATTATCTTAATCAAATTAATTCGTTAATAAATTTATTTTAGTTTGTCCGGAGGCGAGCTATTTGAGAGAATTACGTCAGAAGGATATTCAATGTCCGAAGCAGAAGTAATCAACTATATGCGACAGATATGCGAAGCTATTAAGCATATGCATGAAAGAAACATCATTCATTTGGATATAAAGCCAGAAAATATAATGTGTCAAACAAAGAAAAGTTCCAATGTAAAACTGATTGACTTTGGTTTGGCAACTAAATTAGATCCTAATGAGATTGTTAAGATATCAACGGGAACTGCTGAATTCGCAGCACCAGAAATAGTTGAAAGAGAACCAGTTGGTTTTTACACAGACATGTGGGCAGTTGGTGTTCTAGCTTATGTGCTGTGAGTTCATTTAAATACACTTTCGCCGATCAGTCGACGATTTTCATTCTAATGTAATGTACCTATATAATAAATAAAATTCGAATTCAATTTCCTATTGTAGTTTGAGTGGACTTTCACCTTTTGCCGGAGAAAATGACGTTGAAACCCTTAAAAATGTTAAGGCTTGTGACTGGGACTTTGATGAAGACACGTTTGCTATCGTTTCTGACGAAGGAAAAGATTTCATCAGACGACTTTTGATCAAAAATAAAGAGTGAGTCGTCTGACCTGATGGATTCTAAAACGACTATTAAATGAATTAATATATTTTATTTAAAGTTATAAAATATACTTATAAGTAAAATTGTTTTAATTTAGAAAACGAATGACTGCTCATGAATGTTTATTACATCCGTGGTTGATGGGAGACCATTCTGATCGTACAACTGCACTCAATTCGTCGAATTACATCAAGATAAGAGATAAGATTCGACAGAAGTACAGTGATTGGGATTCATTTGCAGTACCACTTGGTAGAATATCAGAATATAGTGCTCTTAGAAAGCTCATGGTAGAAAAATATAAAATATATGAAAGCTCATTTGGTAAGTTATTATAGTTATTAGAATTCATTAATTTATTATCATTCATAATAATATCTGTGTATTGTTGTATTATAAAGATCGACGACAAGCGGCTCCGCGATTCGTTATCAAACCTACCAGCGCATTTTGTTATGAAGGACAGAGTGTCAAATTCTACTGCCGAGTTATTGCCGTGGCGCAACCAACATTGTCGTGGTTCCACAATAATGAAGAGCTTCGTCAAAGTGTTAAGTTCATGAAGCGATATAATGGTGATGATTACACGTTCATCATCAACAGAGCTAAGCTTGATGACAGAGGAGAATACATAATTAGAGCAGAGAATACCTATGGATATAGGGAAGAAGTAGTATTCCTCAACGTACAACGTAAATATATATTTTTTTTTTTTTTTTATTACTCACTTTGGTATTTCAAATTAAAATCGAAAATAGATTAAACGGATTTGTTATTACAACTAATTTGTCGCGAAACATAAATTATAATCTAAAACTTCGGATTCTAACCCAAGTCTTAATATACAATTTTTTTCTCGGTCAACACTAATGTTGTATTCAAACCGGTACATTAAAAATAACACCTATATTAATCAACACACACCCAACCATTAGATTTTAATCTTCACGACATAATTGCATACAGCTTTGCCGAAAGCCGCTCCAGTGTACAGGCAAGAAGTCCAACAAGTCAGAAGACGAGAACCACTAGCTAACACGTATTATATCGAGGAGAAGGAAAGTGCTCCGAACTTTACGTTCTTACTGCGTCCTCGTGTTATTCAAATACATCAAACATGCAAGTTGCTATGCTGTCTGAGCGGCACACCTATGCCCACTGTATGTGCCTATTACACATATCAAATTTGATAAAACATAATATTACATAATAATATGATCATCTTATAATTTCTTGTGTTTAAACCAGATTCAATGGTTCAGAGGAACCAAAGAACTAACGAAACGTGATTACACCATCACCCATACGGACGGTGTGATTACATTAGAAATTATTGACTGCAAGCCTGAAGACTCGGGCAAGTACCGCTGTGTTGCAACCAACAAGCACGGCTCAGATGAAACCAGCTGCGTTGTGATTGTAGAAGGTAATACATTTCCCATTAAATTTATATTTACACATACACACGCACACGCTCGCATTCACGCACACATTTAATGTAATATTTTTAATTGTTCATGTTCATCTTTAATGGGTAACATTTGATATGAAATAGTATACAATTTTGGAATATCGATTATTAATTGTATAAATAAGAAATTACAAATTTTTTTTTACCAAAAGTACTTGGAAATTAAAGCGCCCGAAAAATAATAAATTGGGAGAAAGTGAAATCCTATGTTTCATTAGAATCATAAACGCAACTATGGCCAATTCGTAGTATTAGAGAGGTGTAACGTAGAACTTCATGGATACTGAATTAAATATAGGATACGCGTATGTAAAACTGGTTATAATATTAAATATTCAGTAGAAAATTATTGGCTGATACAAAATAATTGACATCCAATAACTTATGTAACTACTTCTCAATAACTTAATAAGAGAACAACGTGTATAATTTTTATGGAAATAAAAATTTATAACTCAACGGATTCGCAATCTGGACTATAAAATAAACTTTAAAGGAAAAATAATTTATCATTTAAATATCTAAATGTAAACTAACAATATAAGCTCATAAATAAATAAACCTTTGCTAAAATATGTTTTGGAATGTTAATATATAATAGCTTATCTTAAATTTAATGTAACAATTGATAATACATATCTTGTAATTTTTACGTGAAACTATCCAAAACAGCGGATAAAACGTAATGAACGCATCCGAAAATGTATATTATTTGTAGTTTAGACATTGTATTTAAAAAAAAAAAAATTAATTAATAATTAACGTTTATACAAAAAAATAAAAATATTAATTAATAATAATATTGTTTAAAAGGTTCGTACGATTACTTAAACAATTAACCTCGTATATTTCTTTTGATTTTATATCAAATAATATAAGAAACAATACTACAAAAATAGTATATGGTATAAACACTATGTATAATGAACATAATTTGTACAAGCAAATTTGCGGTCTCGCTGTGTACGTGTTGTACCACGAATAACATTTAACAACAGACTGGTATTGTAACTAGTGAAATTGATCTTCTTAATTCGTCCGACGTAGTTTAAACATCAAGTGTATTAGCTGTGCTGTCGGCAATCGAATAACACACTAACGCTGCATTCTTGTAACAATGTGTTGACAGTCGACGGCTGTACAAAGTCGTCACAGCTACGTTCCGTTTTCGTGCTAACATAGTATCGCACTACGGCGTATCGATACTTACGTAAACCAGAACCGTACACAAGTTCGTGCGAACTCCACGCGGTATTTTGTTCTTCTCTCTTCTTCGTAGTTTGTATTTTCTTCTCGCTAACGTTATTTTTCCGCAACTAACACGTGTCTTGAAAAAAAAAAAAAAAATTACTCGCCAACCGACGACGGTTGAAATATTTATACGTTCGTCCGGCGGACAATCCGACCGTATCACCAACACCACCACCATCACACCAATCGATCTTCTGCTTTTGTGCTATCATTAATATACACCTGTTGACCGTCTATCTAATACACTTCTGTTCTACTGTTATTTTAATACAGGTATTGAGCAAAGCAAAGAGCAAGCCGAATTGTCGCATAATTTACTTCACTCAGGAGGTACAGTATTACATATTATCTACACGTACACATATGATTAATAACGCGTGTATTTGGTACGCGGTATATCCGACACGTCATCCGTCGTCGAGGACGGCACATGTTTGCGAAAATAATGGGTGGGGAGGAGTAACAAGGGGGTGGTGGATGGGTTAAGGATAGCGGGAAAAAAATTAAATACTAATCGATTTCCAACCGATTCCGCGGTTTGTTTTAGATCGCAGGTACATCGAACAGCACCACAGGCCAGCGCCCACGGTTATCACCACGCGCACGGCCATCACGTCGAACGTGCACGGCACGAGTTCGGTGTCCTCGAACAAGTCCACCACCACCAGCTCGTCAACAAAGATCAGCGACACGGTAAGCGCCCCCGAAGCCCCGAAACCTGTGTGCACACGTCGGCGCCGGGACGCCCTATGAACTGTTCGATATGGTGTCCGTCACGTTTTCGTCGGCCACTCTACGGAAATTTTCTCCCAACAATCGGGTGTCAAGGCTGTGAATTAATTTTTATTATTATTATTATTAATTTTTTTAAATTTTTTTTCACGTCATACAACTTCGCTAAGGTGTCCGATGCGCGACCGTTCGTGGCTTCCGAATTTCCGAATACATCGGTAGTACATCGACTTCTGTTGAAGGATGTTGTACTCGTATGTTCAACGTTCAACATATCTGATGATGAATTGATGTGCGTTTTGAATGATATTAAATTAATTCGAAACTTACTACAAGCAAAAGTGGAAGACAATGACCTATCATTTTCGAGTTTACTCCCCGAGAAAATGAAATCGATTGATGATTCCTTATTTTTAAACCATGAAGACGAAGGATATTTTAAAATTCTGATAAATAGACATTTGTTCGAAAGCGAAATCGAATTTCGAATTATTTATGCTGATGATGGTCGCGCTGAACTACTCTTGTTGCGGGTCACGGTTGCGGTAGGGCCACTATGGTCGTGCATTGGACACAGTACTTATAGAATATAACCTAGATGGAAAGACGACGTGTGTAAAAATGTGCTTTAAAACTGGATGTTACAATTTCGTTTAAAACTTTTCGAGGACAGAGACAGAGTATTCGGGACCCCATAAGACTATCCGTGATGCCACAAACGCATATTGTTGATGTTTTTCGTTTGTAGGCTGATTGAAGTATAACGGCTGAAATCCATGCATCGTTTGCGAAATGATAATTTAAAATGAACTATACGCCGTACAACTGTTAAATTGTTAATGTTTGGCTTAACCCGCTCCTTTACATAGGGGCTCTACATGAGCTGTCCTTAAAATACAAAACCTATCGTTTTCTCAACAATTATTGTCTACGCGGTATTTACTACATAATTAATTGCAATAATTTATTTTCAAACTTTGAACCCTGGTATAATTTCATGCATAGCGAAAACGGTAAAAATTTAATTTGACGTACGAAACTTTCAGCCCCGTGCTAAAGCAATTTAATAGTATATAGTATACTACCCTCCGAATATGTAAGCACTAAAGCACGGCCCTTAGCCACGGCATCGGCATGTACGTAACATACTTATTACGAGTGGTATTGTTTTATATTGTTTTATATATTTCAGACGATCAGCTCGACTGATAGAAAGAGCGTGAAAAAATACGGAAACAAACTGAACACAGTTGGAAGTCCGTCGAGATCGCGTAGTTCTACTAAAGAACTAAGATGTAAGTTTTTCTCTGTTAATATTTCCATAGTTTAGTTAATTTTAGAACTTTTATTGACATCTCACATATCGATTTTTTTTTCGGCGTTTTATTTATGAAGTGTCGCCCGATGAAGCCATGTGTCCACCGGATTTCTCTACGCGCTTAATTGACACCTCCATCAACGATGGTCAGCCATTGGAACTCGTTTGCAAAGTAACTGGAGACCCAGAACCACAGATAACATGGTTAAAGAACGGAAAGGTAAATAAACTCTAATGGTTGAATGAGAATACTATAGCAAGAAATATATTTAGCAAATCAATATAAGTACAAGTAGATAAATAATATGCAATTAACTTATTTGTCTATTCATATCGATCATTTTCTTACTTATTTTTACTTTTCAAAAGTTTTACAATTTATGAAAATTGACAATTTAAAAATATCTCAAACTCAATCACATCCAATTAGTTTTTTTATAATTCAATAATACGATAAACGTTAAATTCAAAGACTTTATATTATAAGTATTGTTCATCTCATTTTCCAATGGAAATTATAATGACTCATTGTAACTTTTTAGTTAGATATTCTATTCTGGACATTTATAAACTACAACATAGTTAGTTGTGTAATGCATTAATATTGATAATTACTGCATTCGTTTTTGCGAGACTTAAAAAATCAAACGTATACCAAGGTGTATATTATATTATTATTATTTTTTTTTTTAAGTACACTCATTGCTCTTACACACGGCTAAATATGCGATTTAAACCTACCGTGTACATTTTACAGACGATCAGTTCATCAAATGTTTTGGATTTGAAGTACAGAAATCGATTGGCGACATTGAAAATTAACGAAGTGTTCCCCGAGGATGCCGGAGAATATATTTGTAAGGCTACCAACTCGTTGGGTACTAAAGAAACATCTTGTAAACTCACCGTCAAAGGTATAATAATTATTTAATATTATAGTACAGTGACTGGTTAGTTTATACGCAATGCGTACTAGGAAAGAATATTAATATCAGTTTTTTTAATAATATAATTATACATGTATGTATTTACCGTTTGGTTAATGAAATTAAGACTATCGAGCACACTGATAAAGTGTTCTTAGAAATACTAGTTTTTACACTATACGTATACCTACATAAATAATTTAATGTGCCGTAAACACGACACTAAAACGATGATTTTTCACCTTGTCCTTTCATTAATTATAGCCGTGGATGTATCCCAGAAAGAAAGCCGAAACGACTCACCTCCTGTGATTTCCAGCCACTTAACATCAGCAACAGTAACGGACGGCGACGCCGTGACACTTCAATGTCAAATTATCGGTAAACTTATGCGTAAACAGTAAACGTAAAATAATAATAATTGATTTATCTGATGGGTATACCCCTCAGTTCGCGGTCTATGTATAAATATTACTATAAGTATATGAATTAGTATACAACAACAGCAGTTATTATATATCACTCAAATATTTTCTGTACACTTTACAAAAACGCATATTATTAATTTGTAAGTAGTAAAAAGGGGTTTTTTTACGCTAGCATAGCTTAGTACCTAAAGCTAATTAAAACTTATAGAAGATTCTGAAACTTTTACACAAAGACTGCTGCTACCTTACAGATCCGTAAGCTTAAATATTGATATATTTTATAATTCTGTCCAATGGTCTGGTTACTGTAATATTATACTGTTCGACGGTACGGTTCATAATAATTATTTTCAAAATTATGTTTGCTTTCAAATCTCAGATTTCTGTCTAAGTAACTAAATCATGTTTCGGGTGTCACTGTATTTTTTCGTGTAATTTTATAAATTATTCGAGTGAAAAACATCACCAGGTCAGGGTACTGTGTCTCCACAGTCGTGCGTGTGTTCCATACGCATTAGCCACTGTTTAGTGATAATTTTCCGATCGTTTAAAATAGGAGCCAACAAATTCGATGTGGTATGGCTACACAACCACAAAGAGATCAAGCCCAGTAAGGATTTCGAATACACGAACCAGGGCAACGTATATACTCTGAAAATCGCTGAGATCTTCCCCGAAGATTCGGGAACGTACACGTGCGAGGCGTTCAACGACGCCGGAGAATCGTTCAGCAGCTGTTCGATCGTCGTTCTAGGCAAGTATAATAATATAGTACTAACCTGTGCTGAACAACTGCACCAATCCGTCGGACACGCGCTATCCCGATCACTTGAATACCGATTCAAATATAAATAATCGTGCAGTCGAGTCACAATAACTCGAAAAACTTGACAACTAGAATTTCTCATTACGCACAATGTATTATAAGTCTTGTTGATTCGAATATAAAATTTTAATAAATAGCTTATTCAAAAAATACCTGGGTATTTTCGTAAACATAGTATGTTTTATCTATTCCGAAAACTGAAAACTAATTTTATCTATTGTGTATAGTTAATACATACACTGTATATACATTATTCTAATACCATTGCATCTTTTTTAGTTTTTTATTACATTTATGTGCATATATCAATCATAACGGTTTTTATCGAAACATTCTTAAATTATATTTATTTACATAACTCGAAACGTTAACTTAATTTTGATAGCTTCGAGTTGGGTATCTCGAAATGAGTTTTAACCCTCTACAACTTCGAATTGTCGCGACTCGATACGTAAACTTCGTCCCGTCACCGTTTTGTTTCAAACATAACACGAACAATGAACGAAAACCCTGTAACATAGATATACATTTCCACATACAGTCGTAACGACCCACTTATCGGTGATAGGTTTGATATTTTCATAAACGCATGTATATATTTGTACAGGAGCGAACGAAAAGCCCAAAGACGTGATGTTCCGAACGTTCCCCAAGTCGGTGACCGTACAGGAAAAGGAAAGCGTCGAGATCGAATGCGAGATCCTCGGAAAACCAACGAGTGGTAAGTACAACGCGCGCACAATACTGTTGTCGACGTCGCAAGCTGAAAAACGTTTCGTTTCGCCCGAGGGACACCTGCTACGGAATCTGCGAGGCCAACGCGAGGCCCACAGAAGTTGAAATCGTTCAATGTTCATTGCCATGGAAGCGCACGTTTCACTAACAAATGTTGCACGTTATACCTGCGCACGTATCGGTTTTTCACGGTGAACGCTGTTATTATTTTTTTCGTTCGCTCACTTGTTTCCCTGATTATACCAACTAAAAGTAGTTAATCGATTGATTTTCCAGACTTATTACTAAATATTTAGAATTTTGAACGGGGTTGGTTTACCTTCATTCGCAGAAAATCGTAATATATTCCTTGAAAAAAAAAAAACAACCTAAAATATAACGATGTAGGGTGTAGGTTGAAGTGTGCTGATCAAACATTTTTACTCGACACACATTTTCGTGTTCAAATACTCTCGATGACTTTACCGACCACTCGCATGACCCAGCGCCGTCTGCGCACACACGCGTATAGGTGTAACACGCCGTTTCATGTGTTCGCAGTGACTTGGTTCAAGGACAACGTTCCTATTGGCGAGGACTTGAGCGTTTATCAGTTCATGAAAGTGGACGATAAATTCCGAATGAAAATACTCAGGGCCGTCCATGATGACATCGGTCAATACGTAGTTGAAGCCAAGAACTCTAACGGCGTTCAAGCCACGGCCGCATTCTCAGTGAACTTGTCATCGCTATCCGATTAAGTAAGTCCATCGCTGCAGTGATGCAGGTACAATTCGATTCGATTTCGTGTGCACAACTCGAGATCATCGTTGTAGCGTTTCGTTCGGATCGCGATCGTTGTAATTAAGACGCGGCCATCATTTTTCAGGTTTTATGTTGTAAAATCGACATTCAAGACGAACTGCACACGATATGTAAAATAATCTACGACGAAAGAAAGTAAAAAAAAATTAAAAAAATTAAATATTATGTATCGAAGTCGTAAATTTCCACTATTTATGTATAGAAATTATTATTTGACATTTTATTTTTTTATCAAGTAATGTAAAACAATTTTAATTAACACTGACTATTTTCACCTAATGAACGCAACTACTGCAGACGTGCAGCAGTTGGGTTTATATAGGATTGATTAATTTAATAATATTATAACTAAGATAAAGTGCATCACCAAAATTGTGTTATAAAATTTATTTATATAAAATTAGTATTCTAATCATTGTTGTATGCAGAAAAATACCACTTATATTTACATAAGTCTCTGTTAATTTGTAAATCTTATTTGTGTATCTAATAATCGTTTATCCGAATGTTTAACAAGATAGAAAAAAAAATTGAAATGAAACGGAACATTACTACTCATGTATAACGTAATAATGTAAACATTTAGATCGTTCTAAGTAAAAAGCTACGGTTTGTTTAGATAACTATTTTTTCTTGAATATTAAATGATAGCAGTCCAAACGCTTTCTTAAATAATGTTGTTTAAACTCGTTGTTTATAATTATCCAAATAGATTTGAGCTTTGATAGACACTCATATTATCAGCTATTAACTATTTAATTTTAAGATGTTATAACATAAGTGTTTTATTTTAGTGTTTAATAATTTATTGTGCTATATTTATTTTAGGTTGTAATATTGTTTTAATTAAAAATAACATGTTGATCAATGATGAGCCGATGTTCTTTTTTATTTTTTCAACCACCTTTGCACTACATCGAACGTTTACTGTAAATATTTTAATTAAAACTATTTATAAACATATGTAAGCAGATTCATAAGTGTTTAAAAAACTATTTAAAAACGATATTTATTTTAATATAATACATATTATGTACTTCAAATGGAAAAAAAATACATTTAACAATTAACATTTTAGTTGCTAAACTTTTGTTTGGATAAGCCTGAATAAATTTTAATTATATAACAAATATAATTGAATAGAATAAATATGTCCGAAAAGTTTTCTCTCAAATGTCTTACAAGATTTCTAGAAACTGCACTTTACAATAAAGAATCACAAAAGAAACTTAAAAGACTGGGTCTGATATGTTTTTGTTTAATTGCATATATTGAAATTTATCTATCGGATTTGAAAAATGTAAACAATATGTTTTCTAAGATTTTAAAACGTATAAAGTGTAAACAAGTATGAAAGTTAAATTCCAATACAATAAACGTATAAATATAAATTATTAATAAAAAGTAAAAAATATTCATACATTACTAATTTATTATATTTATATATTTTAGGTTTATTCTTGCTCGATGTTGAACTGGTGCAACAATTTTAAAACTGTCAGATTTTTCCAAAAACAATGACTTAAGATTTTTCATTTAATTTTATATGAACTCAGGAACTGAAATTTAGTTTAAGAATATGAAGTTAAAAAAAAAACCGCACATTGAAGGATTAAAAGTGATAGCACATACGTGGACACGGCCACTGAATGTCACTGTAATCGTTTGTGTTCAGCTTTATTGAAATGTATTTTCTATGATATATAACAATTTTTTATTTTGTGTATATGAAACTGTTTCTATTGTTAAAAACCTGTTCTTATCAAGTTAGATGTAAACGATTACAGCAACGTAGTATGGTTACATACACGTAGGCGCTACCAATTTTAATAATAGGATGGTGAAACAGAAGAATATTGTAAAAACTATGATAATATCTTAGTGGCTACTTTTTATGATCAAGAGAGGTAATCACTTAATTTCACATATTTTTAAATACAACTATAATGATAAGGCGTTCATCGAAATCAACCATTTTCCATTAAAACAAATACAGTACATATTACACAAGTTGCATTGTCTATGTTTAAAATATTTACATGTAATTTCTGAAAATTAAATACATCGTATATTTGAAAAAAAAACGTATTTTATCTATAAATACATAAATTAAACAAAAAAAATAAATAAATAAACGAAACAGATTATTGTCTTTTATAAAAGAAAATAAGACATAAAGTTGCTTTTTTGGCAACAATACACGTTGGCGATCATGTTAGCATGTTTACATAAAATGTTAATGGGGTAAACGATTTATTGTCATATACAGATTTGTAAAAAATAATAATTCTTAAATCAATAATAATATTAATAGTAATCATTTCGGAGATTCGCTACCACCAATGACGGCGGTGATATCTTCTTTTAAATATATATTGTGATTCGTCCTCGGATCATTGTATACTGGTTAAATCCTTTTTTTTTTTTTTTTTTTTGTATAAATGCAATAAAATGTAACTTAACGACATATTTTAGCCGTCACTCCATCCATACATCCCACTTCACTCTCTTTGACTTTCACGCACACGCACACATACACACGCCTCACCCTCTCTCACTCGCTCTTCAATATACTTGAATCTCGTAACGTATTTGTTTCATATACGTTTCATCCACTTTTCGTCGATGATTCAGCCGCTCCACGCTGTGATTGAGTCCGTAACACAAGTAGATCATTATGCCGATAAACAACCACACGGTGAACCGTATCCACGTAGACGAGTCCAGTTGTGTCATAAGATAAGTGTTGAGTACAACGCTCAGGCAGGGTATGAACGGGACGAAAGGCACCTGAAATGATAGTCGAAAACATTCGATCAGAACTGCCATCATAACACATAATATGCAGTTTACTTAAAACGATGCTCAAAGCTATGGCAATTACTTATTTTATGTGTTATAACACAACAGAATTAAGTGTAAATTCGTTCCAATTGTGTAAATATAGATTATAGTTTATGTACATTCTATATGTACGTTTTTATTTAGAAATAAAACAAATGGTCCATACAAATAATTACAATGTTTTAACTTTTCAATCTCTGCACGTGTCTCCAGGATGTTTTAAATAATACAAAACTATATTATTTTACTGAAACCCTATTCATAGTCGACAAAAAATATGAAGCCGAAAATTTAAAAATAATTATTGTATTGATGTCACCCAAATGTTTGACGAATTGTAAAAATCTCATTAACAAATATCGAATAAAATTTGGCTACTTATTGGCACGTAAGGAATTAAATTTACAAAACTTGTCTACATTTAGAGAAAACCGTTTTTTAGACCTAACATTTTATTTTGTTTGTTGATAATATTATTCATTACTCTTTTTATACATCTATACCTAAATATATTTTAACTAACTCTTAAACTCAAATTAGAGTTATAAATGATTTTATATTAAACTAATTGCATTCAATGCTAAGAGTTTTCAATTAAAATAGTATATAATAACGAGAAGAAAAATCATCAATACATTTCAAATTCTAAATCAGTAACCATTTAAATTCCTTTTTCCTAAGAATAGAAAATTAATTACATGAAAACAATGACAACAAATTGTATAAAAGACGAGCGTGTTCGTACCATATTTCATTTTTACAGATATTAACGAGATCGCAAAGACGAACTCGACAAGGTTGGTTTTCTAAGACTAAAAAAAATATATTTAAAATTATTATGGCGTCTATTTGTTGTAATATTCGAAAAGTGAATGCATTCCCATTCGTAACGTTTTTCAAAAGAAAAAAAAAACTTCTCTTGGGTAAACCTATTGATATACCAAATACTTATAGTTTTTAATTATAACTTATAATATTACATTAAATGTAGGCCGATTCGTTGACTGTGGTTGTCGTGACAGTGAATAGCAAAGCACCAGTAAACTCATACCAAGTACGCCACTTATCGTGAACGTAGTTATGTTCAATTGGCCGTGGTTTAGTGTTAATGAAACGACCGAACAGAAGCAAATAGTTACCACAACTGAAAAAGAAAAAAAACAATATTTAATATTAATATTTGTGGTCTACATCTCCACTATATCGTTCGGTTTTCCGAAACGAAATGCCATACAAAAACTTAATAATTCCGTTATACGTTTTAATAATATAAACTATAGATTCCAAGAAAATAAAGGAATCTACATTAAATTTTACAATGATATTTTTATTTATTCGTTTTATTTTTATTCTTAGCAAACAATTTTTCCGTTGTACTTTTTCCAAACAAAGGTAAAATCAACAAAAAAAATCTCGGAAACAGTGCTTTATTTCGTTTTTATAGATGACTGTTAAAGTCTATATATTAAAAATACAAACGTCGTTTTTTAGCAGAATTTCGTGGCTTTCATACGACCTTATTTTAGTGAAATCATTCATAATTTTGATATTAATTTGCAATTATTTATATTCCGTTTGGCAGATGTAGGCGTACACGTTTAGTACAATGAACTGTGAACCTAGGTGATATTTTGTTTTTATATTTTAAATAATTCTTTCCTAAATTCTTTAAAATAATAAATTCTTATCAATATATTGATTGTGTATACACTGAAGTGATTAAAAATAAAAACGTATAATGACCATTTTCTACTAAATAAAATGAAAAAAAAAAAACAGAAACCAAAATCCAGTACGTCTTATTGAGACAGGTATAACCATGTGACCCTGTAATTTATCGACCAAATGTGATTTTTGTAGAAATAGACGGAGGAAAAATACTGGATTTTAATTGAAATAAAAAATACCTAACTATCGAAAAATGGTACGGCGAAACAGTTTCGCAAAAACTGTATATGCGTTCTTTACAATTATAATTCAGCCAAAGGGTATATGTACGATTGCTGTCGTCGATTTGTACACACACGGCATAACATTTCGCGTGGGTTCCATTATGGAAGGTGGTAAACTGCGGCAAAAAAAAAAATTAAGATTTTATAATCTGCAAAAAAGCCGATAAGATACATTATACAAATATTATGTATACCTTCTATATATAATATATAATATATATTATATATAGAATATGAATTTAAAATTATTTAACACTGTTAATTTCTTGCCATTCTGGCTAAACATTGTTGTAAATTCCATGACGTAGAATAAATATTTAACTTTATTTCTACTAACCTCTAACACTTGTAAGTAGATAATAACTAGTATTTTCAAAAGTAAAGGAACCGATATTACTAATATATTTCGTTAAAACTTAAAAATACGTTTGGATTTACTTTACCACTTTGTACGCAAGACGCAACATTTAATAATTAATTAAATGATATACGTACATATGTACACATAGGTAGATATATATGATGTAGGTACTATAATAAATAGTATATATAGAAGGTATGTATATAAAATAAATTGCCGCAGTTTTTATAATGTATCTTATCAATTTTGTCGTAGATTGTATAATCTTAATTTTTTTTTTTTAGCCGCAGTTTACATATCGGCTTTTAGAAAAAGGTTAATTTTACCGCAGTTTACATACAGCCTCCATTATGATAGTATTGTAATGAAAATAAATTTATATATTTGCAATAAGAAATAATAAGTGATCGACGATTAATAGTGTATAATATTATAAAACGATCGCGTAATCTACAATCGAAGTCACGACGAACAGGATTTTATATAAGAGCAACTTATCCATAAAAATGTTTGTGGTGTGTGTGTTTGTGTGTGGGTGCGCACCTGCTATGTACTCGGTTTTGCACGGATGTTTGAGGTCAACTAATGCAGGAAATGTACGCGAAGTAAGAATGAGTACGCAAAGTGCTATATTGTTAAAAAAAAAAAATGATCATCGAGTTGACCAATGGAGAATCGATTAATCGACGGTCAATGCACGAATACAAGTTCGTTTAGACAATATCAGCACATGTTTGTTATTTTCTTTGTCCACCTAACCAACAGTAAAGTAAAATCACGCTACATACATTGTTGGCATTCATATTGGTCTTATAATTTAAACCCATATTAAATTAAAAATTTAATTTAAGAGAAAAATATTTTTAGAAACATAACGTATCATTTTTATAAAATATCAATTAACAAAAGTTACAAGGGTTTTAAATTGTTAAAAATTAGTAACTTCTTTGGTAGTTGATAATCTACAATAAAAAATATATGCTTTAAAAATTATTCTTCACTCTACGTTTCATGATATGGTTTCAAACTCTAATCTAACATAAATGCCACTATTTAATGTATTTTATGTAACGTGCTTTTGCAATGTCACATGTTAGATATATAAAGGCAATGCGAAACCGATAATATACTTTTAACGATTATACTTTAATACTTACGGTAAACTAGAATGATTATGATCGATGTGCGTGCGGAACTCTTGGTCGTCAATTGTGAGTTGGAGAAGTTGAAACTGGATGACAGCAAACGCATGAGAGAAACTTGAAACCGACTGGTGTCTCGGATCTTACAGTCTTCGTCGTCATAGTCGGTGTACCTCAATATTAACACACATATGCATACAAGTGAATACGCCATCAGTGTGCCGATCGACATCATGTTCATTAGCTGTTGCAGATCGAACAGACTGGATAGTACGGCTAATAACAAACACAAAAGTAATATTTATCTAAATCGAATGCGATTAATGTTTACAGAAACCAGTAATGATAAATTATTGGTATCGCGCAAGATAGGTAACTTATTAACGTAAGCCAATAAAATATTAAAAAAATTAATTAAGTATTTTCTATTATCTGTAATTTGTAAGATTAAAATAAAAATAAAAATTATTTATATTTTACACCAAACATTTAATATTTAAGATAAACTGATTTCATCGAAATTAACCGGAAACTGAAGTTCAAATACAATTGTACTAAACAAACAAATGCTTTGGAAATTAAAAAAAAATTTCCTCTCAGCCGATAATGAATTAATGTGAGAACATTAGAACTATAATTTTATAGCATTTTATTATATATTTATTAAATAACTACTAATAAATAATTTTCTCCGAGTATTGACAATATGTGACTTTAATTCCCGATTAATAAAGGGGTCATCTGTAACTTATAGGGTAAGTTTAATCCCATTAATTGGGATATATATTATTATTATTATATTATCACTATTATTTTAAAAAAAATGTGAATTTGTATATCTATTTTAACTATTATTTTATATACTATTATTATATTGATGTAAGAGTATTGTAACTTATCTGTAAAGGGCTTGACCCGTAAATTTAATTAAATAAATAAATAAATGTGTATATGCATCAAAAATACACTATTAAATATTGTATAATTATTTTTTTAAATTCCACTTACCAGCAAAAGCTCCGCAGATGAATGTACCCCAAAATGGTGTTTTTGTTTTGGCATCGACCTTTGAGAAAACTTTAAATAATAATCCATCAGATGCCATGGAATACAATATTCTAGGTAAAGGAAACAGTGTTCCAATCATACTAAAACAAAAATATTTTTGTTTTAGTTATTTATTAGTTATGTTTTAGTTAGTTATTTTAGTTTTTACTCGTGAATGATTTATTTAAAATTTATAGCTTTTATTAATCTGTTATCAAAAGATATAGTATACAATATAGTAAACAAGACAAAATAAATTATACTAACTAAAAAATTGTCGTTTCATTAACAACACTCATAAATCAATGCATTGGGCCGTGAATTGTTATACAGGGTGTCCAACGAAAATGGAAATCAAAGTTAAAAATATTAAACGTAATAATAATATGTAAACTAAAAAATATTAAAAAAAAAATAAAATTTATATAATATCTATCATTACAATTCTCAAAAATAATAAAATAAAAAATTATTTTTAAAATTTTAGTATAAATTTTATTTGTGTGTTTAATTAAAATAGGAATATTTGTATTTCTTATCTCTGTAGATCAAGTAAAATACCTAGTTTCGTTATCTTTATTATCTCAGGAGATATTTACATAGGACACCCTATAAAAACTTGCATATACATTTTTTGTTGTATTGTTGGAAATATTCCATAAAATTTCAAACACATACAAAATTGACGTAAATTAATACAAACCACCTGAGATTTTTAGCAATGAATGTCATAGTATTTTCTCCTACGCATAAGCTATGTTTAAACAATCGTTTTCAATATATATCAAACATACACACGTCAAACCTATATATTGATCTGAGTAAATTTTATTTTAGTCATTATTCACTAAATGACTTACCGTTGTACTTAATAATATATACAATAATAATGTGTAAGCAATTTATGTACATACTTTGTGAATAAAGCGAACACCGCACCAATAGTAACTATCCATTCGAGTATACTCCAATCCAACTCCCTATAGATATGAGGAAATGGAGCTTCTGGATCCTAGTATCAAATGGACAGTAAAAATAAAGTATTAGTTGCAATGATTTCGATATATTTAATAAAAATAATTGGGTGAGATTTAAGATTTAAGATTTATGTGAAACACATAAATGGTCCGTTTTCCACGTTAATCATTTATACTATTTTATAATTAACTTTTAATTAATTATGATATCATCGATGATTTAGATTATATTCTGATAGATCAATTTTCATTTAATATCAAACTAACAGTAAATTTAAATAATTTATTCCAATATTATAGTCTTAAGTTATATAATGGCAAGTTCTACAACTTAAAAACAATAATCTAAAGAAATGCAAATTTGTATCACTATGGGTTTGTCTCGGAATAAACTATAAAATTATTGCGGCAATGAAAGTATATGTACTATTTATGTACTTCAATATTGGATACATTTTTCAGGTATGTCGTTAAATTTGACCAAAGACAATACATTGCACTTGAAAACTTTTCCAACGGTTGGATTTTTCTTTTTTTTATTACATGTTTTTATGGTCCTAATGAAATGGACGCATTTTTAAAATGACATAAAAGACATAAACTATTACGATATTTAACATCCATATTTAAATATCGAACGTGCGTGTACAGTTTAGAAGTAATCGCGCATGCACAAATATCTCTGATCAACTAATGTACCATCTGAACATTATGCAAATCTCAAGCAATACGATAAAAATAAATTTTAAACAACCTAACCTAACTGGGTCCAAGACAGAAATAAATGTTCACATTATCGATAAAATATTTAACACCGTTAGTACGAGTATACAACAGTCGAAGTTGGTTAATATCGCATATAAGTATCGATATAATTTGCCACAAATAGGATGTAAAAATATTTGATAACCGAACGCAATTGAATTGTATTTCCATATGTTTTAATTCACTTATCACAGATAAAAATTAGCAAACGTGCTATTCAAATGTATAAAAATAAATAGAATCATATGCTAACATATTATCAACAAATTGTAAGTCGAGATACGTCTAAAATAAGTTTGGTAACTATTTCTGAAATTGGAAATCAAGAAATTATACAACCCAAATCAAGTCAAGAAGATTTCACATTATAAATTATATTTAACCAAAATTGATGTTACAGTCATATTATTATTAACTTCTACATAATTTAAAACTCAATTCAAATATTTTCAACATTAAATGTTACCTATATAATATTTGACGTGTTATTTCGTCATATTTTCTTAACTTAATATATTTTTCAATTACGAATCTATAAACTAATGACAATATTTTTTACTAAAATTGATTTTGAATTAATTTAAGAATTTCAATATATTTTTCACAAAATAAAACCAAACGTCTGATTTGATATTTTTAGTCCACTTAATACAATAATAAGATACGGATTTCAAGAAAATATGATATGACGTTTGCACTTAGTCGATTTGTTTCTCCTATTCTTATTTTACAATTAATAAAAACTATTATATTTCAATTCACTATATTCATTAGATGTAACTGCAATATTGTAATTTTATTTGAAGTAATTGCCAAAATTTAATTTCCGCATGTTGAGGCTCAAAAATGTTTAAAAAAAAAAAACCAGTAAAATAATTGAACAAGTGTGTATCAAAAAAAGCTTTGAGCAATATCATTTAATTAAAATTGTTCACTAAAATATTGACAAGTGTATACGAATATACATGGTACATTCTAAATATAATACATATGCAAAACTATCACAAGTATGTATGTATCAATTATACCTAATAATATACCTAACCGACTAATTGCGTGGTTAAGTAGAGCATAAATAAATTCTAAAGTAAATTATGATCATTTAATAGGGGGGAAAATTGCACTACCATTGATAAAAATATTGAGTGTATTATAATATGTATATTTGTTCAGATGAAAACAATTTTCAAATTTAATATTAATTCGTGTGTAAAACAAAAGCTTCTATTACCTGGTAATAGTACGGCCACATCAGTGTCAAAATGACAGCTACACTACAGTACGATAACGTGATGATGACTAACGATATAACTATAGCCAGTGGAATGTCTCTAGTGGGTTTTTTAGCCTCTTCACCTAGAATAATTCGACAAAAATATTTTATGCCACGTCACAATTAAGTATGTTACAGAATTACAAAACAAAATCAATAAATACGTACTAATAAATTGTACTAATTTATCCCATTAATAAAGGTTAATTTTAAATGTTAATTGTTTACCAGTAGTAGCAACAGCGTCGAATCCAACAAATCCATAAAAGCATGTTGCCGCTCCCAAAAAAACTCCGGACCATCCAAATGGCAAAAATCCCCCTTCTCCTCCATTCACGTTTGGAGGTATATTATCTTTTGGTATATTCCAATTGTAAAAGTCAACTGTAATTATTTTTACGTCATAGATTATAAAAAATAACGCAATGTTCGATAAAAATGTATTTAATTTTGAAGCTATTCTATGTTATAAAAAGTGGCTAATTTCAAAAACATCATACTATATGTCATAGGCGCACATAGAAGGGTGTTCGGATGTGCTTAGCACCCCCAATTTCCTACAATATTTATTTCAATTTTTCATCAATAAATTGTAAATTATTGTGGTTTATTGGGATGGACATTTTTTTTTCCACTATAGACAATAATATATAATATAGTTAACGAACACACGATTAAAACAGTATAATTGTATAATTGCACGTTTTACTGTTTCAGTTTTTTGTCTAACTATTTAACTATAAAAAAGCAATCAAAATATTATAGAAAATCATATTATCTACAGTTTATGGTTGGCTACGAAGTTATGTTCCATTTATAACTTTGATTATTACTTGGTTTTTAGTAATATTTAACCAGTGAGCTACGCAGAATTGTATGCAAAATGACAAATATTATTACCAATCATACAAACGATATGATTCATTACTATTTACATTTTATATACTAGTTCATATTTTTGATACATCAGGTTATTTTAAATATATCGACAGTTAGTTTATCTGCAGAAATGCTGGTCTTAAAGAATAGTCTACCAGCTAACTTTGAATTTGAAGACTTGAAAAATCAATGTAATAAAATTTTGTTTCCAAATGTTTATAAACTAGTTCAAGTGGTAATGACAATTCCAATTTCTTCTTTAGCGTGTGAACGCTCCTTTTCATCTATGCGTAGATTTAAAAATTAGTTACGCACTAGTATAGGCCAAGAAAGATTTATTAAACTATTTACGTTTAGCATTGAGAGAGATCTTACCAATAAAATAGATGGGAAAATTATATTGGAAAAATTTTCATCATCAAACAGGAAATTAATTCTTGTTTAATATATTATTAATAATAACATATTATTATAACTTATAATATAATTACTTTTAAATATTCATTAATAAAAATTAAAAATTATGGCAACGCAGTTAATTATGGTATTAGGTGGTGGAGTGGGGGGGGGGGAAATCCCCCCACGGACCTGTGTATTTTAAATTATTTCAACACCCCCTGAATTCACACACAATGTGCGCCTATGCTATATGTATCAGTAAATTCAATAAAACAGACTTAAAAATATTATTATATTATTTCTAAGTAAAATTAATTATTTCATATTTTTATCTCATTTGCAATAATATAATATTACATACTTTTGAATAATCCTGATACAACCACAATGGAAACTGTAAGAAGGTTAACCACTGTAAATATTTTGTTAAGCAAAGACGATTCCCGCATCCCCCAGGCAATCAACACTGAAAATAAAAACATATTTATAATTTTTTCTATACAGATATTACAGATATCTTCAAATGATTATAAATATATTACAATTAATATTACTTACAATAACAAACTAACTGAATTTATATATATATGAGTAAACGTGTATATTTATTGCCACTTTATTTTAATGAAATATTTACAAATAGGTATTTATTATACAATTAAACTATAAATAATGCATTATTACTATACATAAAATAAGAAAATAATTTAAATAAAAAAAGTTTATAACTATTAATTAAGTAGCTATTAATATTAAATTACAGTAAAACCTCGTTATAACCTAAAGAAATTTCGATATAACGAAAAATAATCACGGTCTTATTACAAAAACATACTAAAATGAGCTAACTAAAACGGAATCTTCATTAACCGGAAACAGAAACATTATCGTTTCTATACCTCTTAAAATAAAATTGCTAATTAAAAAACGTTACTATATATTATTTATTATTATGAATTTTTTTTTTAAACAAACCATTGATAAGACGGAAATACAAGATTTTAAAATAGCTTGAAAGAACAACTGAAGTTTTTGACCGTTGTTACAAATTATGATTTATTGGAATTAACAACAAAAACTCGAAAATATTCCGACTATTATCAATGAAAAAACAAACAAATATCACTTCATTTTTTATAAAATATAAAAAATGTAATATCTAATGTGTATTGAAATAAAAACATATCTAGTATGTATGTACCTAAAAATGATTTAGGTTATAATAGAACATATACAATTTTTGTGCACCCATTCTCAATTAGTTTTTCTCTAGTCGAAATTCCTTTTTAACTAAAAAGTCAGATGGTCCCAATCGATTCCATTATAACCAAATTTTATTGTATTACACAAAATCTATTAAAATAATAAAAACTATAAATTTCAAATTATGTAATTTTTATACTTACAGGTTAACAGAAGTATAGATGTTAATGAAAACAAGTCTGGATAAGGAGCTAGAAAAGAAACATTTAATGGAAAGTTTTCTAGGAAAAAAGTTTTCATAGGGTAACCAAGTGGCTTGTCAATATGTCCGCTTAATGCTCTTGCAATACTTGCACATCCTAAAATGTTAATAATTCAGATCATATCAATTACGTGTTTACATTCATGCATAATACAATTTTACGTGTAAAAAATAATTTGTTTTCTTTTGTCAAATCTTGTGTTGTGTATAGTTTATAACTACGTAACTACTTACCTAATTATTATTAATATAAATCAATAATAATCATGTATTATGAAAAGATATTGATTAAAAGCAATGCGTATGGGCTCGTACTTACCAATACTGTATTCTAATATTAAATCCCATCCAATAAGAAATGCCACTATCTCTCCAACACCCACATAACTGAACGCGTACGCTGATCCTGCTTTTGGTACACGACTTGCGAACTCAGCATAACATAACCCTTAATGAAATAAAATATTTATCTGATTTATGGTTTTTTTTTAATACTTTATATTATAATTTAATATTTAAACATACATTTAGAAACACTTAAATATTATCTATATATGTAAGTAGAGACGTAGCTACATAGGAAAGTACCCGGGTTCAATAAGTAAACTAGTCCCCCTAATTAATATTATCTTAATATAAAAGTTCAATATATACATATCATATTGTTTTTTTTTTTTTTTTAAATATGAATACTTATTATGAAATAATAAATTAAAATAATTAGCAGATAATTCATAGAGACAAAGTAAAAAGAAAATCCAGTTTATAACTTCAAAAAACATATTGCAAATTGCATGAATTGTAATTCTACTTTAATATTGATTGTAACAGGAACCATCACGTATTATTTGAGAATTTACTATTATAGTCTCAGTATAGTATTAGATGCGTCCAAGGCTACCTACGTTCAGGGGCCCCGAGGTACTGCCCCTCTTTACCCTATAATAGCTACACCACTGTATATAATTATATAACCATAAAGTCATTAACTAACAAAATATATCGATCCTTTTTTTCTATATTTTCCGTCAAGTAAATCGTTGTAATATTATTTAGAAAACTAAACTTGAAGAACTAAAAATAAAAAATATTTATGTATCATATAGTATCATGTATATTTATCAGAAAAATACCTAGTGAGGAGGTTTTGGATGTTCAACCCTTCCCCCTCCAAAAATTTTAGGAACTAAAAAAAAAATATTTCTTGAAACAGTTTAAATTTAATGTCATAAACAGGGTTAATTTTATAATCCATTGTCGATCTATACAGTACAATAAAATTAATTATTCACAAAATTATTATCTAATGAAATAATTGGTAGTAAAAATATTGAACCCCTCCTTCTGATAATAAATTCGAGGCATGCACTTGATGTTTATAGATTTATAATATGATTAATGTATTGGGACCGATTTAATCATACTACAACCACTTTGAATTTGTACTACTTTAGTTACGTATATCAAAATATAGTAGCTTAAAATAGAAACATAAACGTTTAACATATTTTCAGATATCATTTATAGTTTTTTAAACGTCTTCTATTTAATTTACTGTTTGTAATGCTTCTCGACAGTTATGAACTAATTTAGTTAAATAATAATTTAATGAATTTCGTGCAAAACAAATTTCAATACTTAAGGTACACGGAGGCATGCCTCATTATAATCAGTTCCGGGGTACTGTATAAATATAAGATAAACAAAATACGTTAACATAGGTACTAGATGAAACAAAGATCTCTTCGAGAGTCAAACTAATACATAATAATGAATGATTAGTTAAATGTATATCGTTTATTATATAGTTTGCCTACTATGCAATACTAAAAAATATAATTTTGAAGTATTAATACATCAACAATGGAAGCAAGCACAATATTAGTATAGTATATATTTTATTATATTACCTGATAATGCCGATGCCACAGCTGCAAAAGCAAATGACAAAACTACTGCGGGTCCGGTAAATTTAACTGCTACTTCTCCAGCCAACACGTAAGCGCCAAGTCCTAAAGTTGAACCGACGCCAAGAGAAACCAAGTCTACTAATCCTAATACACGGCTAAGTTGCTGTTTAGTAGATTCCTTAACCAAGTCCGATTCTTTTTTCCTTCTAAAAATGGTCTTGAAAAAGGATTGATCTGTCTAAAATCAAAATATTTTTTATAATTGTTAGATAACGTACCATTCATGTATACTGTTACAGTATAAGTAAGTAAACAGAGTTTAAAAAATAAAATAAAAAACATCCACAACTATCATACTGTGTATAATTTTAATATTATATTACTAATGTTATATAAATTCAAAAACTAATATTTGATATGAAAAATACTACTAAGTTTTTGGGTACCTAGTGTATTAAACCCATACGATTTATAATTATGTGTTTGAAAAAATATTATATTATTGTCCAAAAATTGTAAGCAGTTATTATACATCCCCAAAATTATCTAATAAGAAAAATATTTTATGAAAATTATAAAATAAATTAAGTATTTAAAGTACATTTTTAGCTAAAATTACTAAGTAGTAATTATTATGAAACTATTGGCTTAGAAACGTTATTATTTTTTTTAATTGGTATCCAATATCCTTTAGTTTTTTCATGGTACTCAAGCATAATCAATATATTTTAATAATATATATTTACATAAAATTTACTCTGCGTATTCACCTCATAGACTAATTAAATATAAAATATTGATTGGATTTCATAACGAATTTTACAAACTTTTAACTAACGCAATACTAAGAAACATCAATTTATGTATTCAATATTTTACATTTTTGTAATTTACGATACAATTCTAAAAACGACAGTAATAATTTATGATGTCAAATTTAATATGATGATTTATATCATTACCTTTTTTTAATTTGGTTATATTTTTAGAAAATGATTATTATTTATACTTAATATAAATATATATATATATATATAAAATTATTTATAACGTTGTATGCTATTCACATTTCAAAAGCTATAATTATTACAACTAATTTAAATTAGAAATTCTTGAAAATTTTAATTGATCAACCATAAATAATTATTATTCCAATCTACTTATCATAATATTAATCAAAAATTCAACATCTGAAAATATACATCAATCCTAATATACTCTTCATTTAATGTTATTTCATTATCGTGCCAACATTTACTAAATTATATAATATTACATTTTTCGTGTCATTCGGAACCTAACATTGATTTTATTCATCGTTTTAACAACTTATTTGGTTAGTATTATTACGAATAGGTAGCCTGAACAATAAGTTTTATACAATTAAATGAAATTACTAGTTAAACAAATATTGTTACAATATTATTTGCAATGAATAATGTAAAACTAACCACACATTGTATTTAAAGATCAATCGATTTATTTAATATTATCATTTAAATGATAAAAGTTAAATCTGTACAGATATTTACTATTCAAAAATAAATGTTATAATTAGGACTGTGAATTTATAGAAAAGTGCATTTTTTTTTTTTTTTGTTATTTTAAAACTTAGCTTTGCAAGTACATAATTTGAATTATATTGTTACATATAATACAACGAATCCATTTATAAAATTTTTATTTTGCATTAATTGACGTTTTTATTTCTTAGGAAATTTTTTTACATTGTTAGGTCATATTTTCTTTTTTTAGTTCATTTTCCGGTATTTATAATAGAATTTCGTCAGTTGATATGTTTGAAAAATTAATTTATGTTTTACACAGACTGCATGTTTTGGGTAAAGATAATGATTCGATAAAATAAGGCAGTTGCTAGATAACTAGAAAGAAAAGATGTTAAAAAATGTTCCAGGTGAATAGTATTATACAAAATTCAAATTCAATCAACATTTTTTTTATTTTTTTTTTTCTATTAAATAAACTCATTTTTATACATATAAAATATAATGTACTAATTTATAATATCCTATAATATCAATATAAATAAAAAATTAAATTAAAAACCATTTTAAGTGCATTTTATATTGCATTTTTTGCATTTTATGTGTATATTTCATTGCATTTTTTTGACATTTTTTAAGGTTTTTTAATACATTAAATTCACACCCTAGTTATAATTGTATTATATTGGTATTATATTATTCCACCTTATTCGAAATTCCCATTTAACGAAATAGAAATGCAATTAAAATCCATAACTGATGAACGTTAATAATAAATAATTATTAACATAAATTTAAATTAATTTCAATATTTTATAGTTTCAAAAAATAGATACCATACTTGTTGAATAGACAACAAATCAATGTAATTGCGCTGCAATGAGAATATTGAGAACGCAACATTTTAATTAAACTTACAAGTAATTAAATAGGCATCGCTTATAACTGAATACAATTCAAACCATAAAATGAAATAATTCTCTACACATTTCAGCAAATAGTCGAAAAAAATTAAATTAAGAAAACATATACGAACAAATTTGAAATTATTTTTTTTAACAAATGCCTACTACAGAATACAATTATTTTACAATATTCTCATAGTTATTTAATTATTTAATACTATTATACATTTTTTCCGTTATGTGTATATTTACTATTTTAATCACATGATGTTAATTAAAATATTACCATTGGTAGCACCTATCTAAAACTTAATTTTTTAGAATACTCAAATGTTAATTTTTAATAATTTTAAAACTTGATTTTTAAGTTAAATCACCTACAAACAATGTTTTTGTGATAAAATATAAAATAATAATATTATACTTAAGTTTAAGGATTAAAAAAACAACATTACCTTACTTAATAAATAATTTAGTGTTACAGTAGACATATTTTTATCAACCAAATTTCGATTTACAAAGCAATTTCCAGCTTTTAATGAGTTTATGTCACATGACATTACATGACATGACAATGCACATAACATTTAGTAACAAATGTTTTATATTACATTTTACAATATAACATTATTTATTTTCTAATTTTCATCAATCAGAAGAAAATTCACCAAACAAACATTACATCAAATGAAATCATTCCAAATCTGCTTATAAAAGTATATTTTATCGCAAAATACAGAGTATATATTAATATAATGTTTTATTTTATTAATTATTATGAATTGATAAAACCATATACAATTATATACACTCCGTTTACAGAAATGTTGATTGCGATAATATTCGAAAGATAATTTATATTAAAAAACAATAGTACAATATAAAATCTCAAAATAACAACCACTAATAAAAGTAGTTAGTAAAATATAATAAAATCAGAATACCACGCCCTTAGGTTGCTTTTTAACTCACCCTCTTATTTACTTCACATAAGATTCATAGTATAAGGTTAAGACTGGATACACTGCTATATGCGACATAACGTAAACACAACGGAACATTGCATCATGCATTATAACACCATACTATGATTTTCAAACATAAATTATTTCTTGTTTTCTTATAACTTATTAATAAATTTAAATGTATTTGATTTAGCGAAATGTATTGAATATTCTGAAATTAAAACTTCACATAGATTCGCAATTACAGTTTGAAAGGTAGTACGAGAAATATATTTAAAATATAAGAGAGATACTATCAAATTATCTAAATACATTTTGCTATTAAACTAATTTTAGAAAACATAATTACAAAATGTCTTAGAAAATATAGAGCAACATATAATCATTTTAATTTTTTAAATATATTATACAGTAATTTTAGATATAATAATACTTTAAATACTAATTAAGTAAAATATTACATTTTTATTTTAAAATTAAAACTATTCATGAGCTGTAATGTATTTATAATATAATAATATAGAAAACAAACTAATATGTACAGTAAAAAATTGTGTTAAATTATCTATACATCATATTTTTATTCGCAATAGTTAAATGGCATGCCCACCAATCAACCTACAGATATAATCCTTATAAGCCTATAGAAAATTATAGTAAATTAAAAATTATTACTAATTAACACCAAAACCAAATAGTAAAATAAAAATATTCAAAATATCGTCTAAAAAATAGTCTAATATACTTTTACAATAAAATTTTAAATATAACGAAATTACAATATGAGATAAATGTCACTAACCAAACAATATTAAGCAAAGTAATCTCAAGAAGTTTTCAAGGTGTACATTTCTTAAATGTAATTTAAAGTAGGTTTAATGTAATACATAAATAGTATCATTATTTTAGATTACATAAGACAGTGCTTGAACTAATAATAACAGCAAATTAAAAACCCGTTCTTTTAACCTCAAATTGTAATATTATTTTACTAAAGTCTTTGTGATTATATTATGTAACTCACTTAATACGTAAAAATATTGTACATAGTCATTACTTAGTTTATTTAAATAGTCTTGTTTTTTCAATAATCTATCAGAAAATGTACCTACTATATAAAACAATGAAATTTCTAATAAGATCTCAAACATAACAATAAAAAGAAAATAATAAACAGTATCATAAATGTTTTATTTCTTCAATGTTGGTAAAAATTAATTTTGAAAACTAATGTTATCTAATCATAATGTTTACGATACTTTTAGATGTATTTTTTAATTTATAATATATTGAACTTTACTTACAGATACTGCAATTTTAATTACTATTAAAATTGTTTGGTTTTTATAAATTAATTTAACTTCACTTCAGAATTTTATCATTATGTAATAATATGATTAAAATTAAATTAAAAATTTACCTATATAATAAAGATAAATAAAAAAAAATTGTTTCATGCACATTGTACAGGATCCAATAAAAATGAGATTTAAAATCATAAAAAAGCTAGATATCTATTATCTCGATACACAATATTTTATATTATGTTTTGGATTCTACATTTCATCCAATTATTTTACAAAATATTTATGGAACAAATACACTGCTCTATCGTAAAAAACTACATGTTCATTCGACTAAATATATTCACCATTTTAATTACTAACTTAGTGTATAATTATTTTAACATACTCAAATTTCTGGATAGTTATTGTGTCAATAATATATATATATATTAAGTTTGGATAGGTTAAATAAATATTTGTTGATTTTTCGAAAATAATAATATAAAATAACTGTAAATTTTAGATCCTTTCCTTTCAATCCCATATAAAATAATAGACTTCAAAATAATATTGATGCGCTTTAAACGCACTAATGGATTATTTCTTCTTCAAGTGCCATATTCGCAAACGAATGTGGATTCATATATCAAAAACCTGAGACAATTAATAAAATCTTCTTTTTTTCATTTCATTAATCTACAATTTTGTATAAATTTAGCCGTTTATAAGTTTTATATAATAACAAACTAATTATAATCGAAATTAAGTGATAGTTTTGGTTTTCTCAATTCCCCCCTCATCCCTTTCCACTAAATATATTTCTCGAATACTTTTCGTATTATCCAATTCTTGTTTGATTAATAATTTTATTAAATAGATTTTACCGAAAAATGATATGATCAATTTTTGATCCTCTGAAATGTTGTCATAGTTGGCATATGAAATTATCTATACTGTCATTGTACAGAACTAGTTAATTGTGTGCTTTCATCTACCCATTACACATAAAATAATATACGAGTTATAATAAGCAAAGTACTTATAAAATAGAAGAAGCAAAATAGTTTATAAAATGCTATTTTGGTAATCAATATATTATCTCTTTAATTCTCAATTAGAAAACTTTTAAGTGAATACTTTAAAATTAATTGTTAATTCAAATTATATGTATATACTAGCTATTCTAAATCATACATACATAACTTTTTTAGTTTGTTTTTACAAACTTATGCAATAATTTTCCATCTGTACTAATAATAAAAAAATAATAAAAAATGCAATTGATTAATAAATCCATTAATACTTTTCTTGATTGTATTATACATTTCATCTGGTAAATTATTTTCTAATATTATTTTTAATACATCTTCTGATAAATAATATAAATAAATTTAAATAATTATAACCATAGTAAATAATTAAATAAATAATAAATTATAACCATAACATGTTCATCTTACCTTGTAACTTCGAAATTCAGTCATCTTAAAATGTTGCTTTCAACAAAGTAAAATAGTTAAAATCGTAGGTAACCGGACAATAAATGAAAGTACAGAACAAATTATGGTTTTTTTTTTGTCTTAGTGTCAGACCTAAAACAAAAAAAAATATAGATTACTATTATTTAAAAGTTAAATTGTGTTACTTTTTTCAATAGCTAGTAATAACTATGGTGATAACAGATAACTGAACTACTATAGGTAATAATTATTACTACATACTCGTATAGTTTCTAAGTTTGATCATCATTGTATTTAAAATACAAATATATACATTTTTAATTAGAATAGCAGTAATTGCAATATATATATTAAGGAAGTACTTACTCATTAAATAAATATGGCACAAGAAATTTTAAATTTTCGGCACGTCAGAATTTTCTAGAAAAAAAAAATTATAAATATTTTAATGATAAAATTGATCTAAACAGAACAAAAAACATATGAAAATTAATTTAGTTGGATTAATATTTTACATAATTTACGAAAAGATAGTGAATAACTAAAATAACCATAATTAATATAGAATAATTTAAAGAGACAATAAAGCATTTTAAATTATACATGCTTTATTGTCTCTTAAATAATTAAGAATTAAAAAAATAATTAATAAATAATCTAATAATAAATCTTTAATAATTATTTTTTTCTTATAATTTTAAATTATACTTTATTATTTTTTATATTAATGATTAGAATTTAAATGTTGTTATTATTAAATTGTATACTATTTTTAGTACAAAATGCTTTTAATTCCACTAAAGATAATACCTAGATGCAAATTGCATTTTTAAATTTTATTATCATTCTTCTCCAGTAACAATATTATCCAAAATTAATGATTTAAAATACGTAGATCATATATATCATAGGAACTAACAGCAATCATTTGTTATTGTCCATACAAAAGATTTTTTGAATTTCAATATTAACCGGCTCCTATTCATTAGCGTTGGTACATATTGTTCTGTTTTTTTTGTGTACGGTGTTTTATAATAATAAAAATAGTCGTTTAAATGTATTTTCTAAAATATTTCAATAATACGAATATACTATTTTCGGAATTACTCAACTTTTAATACATTGCGTTACTTCGTATAGATGGAAATAAATAGTTTACCATGGTGTTAATCGTATTATAGTTATTGAATTCAACAATCATTTAAAAATAATATTTTCTACCAAGTGCGATATAAATATGGCTTATGAAAACTCTATGTTTGTACCGCCGTGGCACGAGTGGTCGAACGATTTCATTGACGCTGAAAAATGGAACAAATTCAATGACGTACGTACATACATTGGATATGAGTGGAAAAAAAAATTTGATGAAAAAAAAAATGACGGCCGGAATCGAATGTCAAATTGTATTAATATATGATGTAACTGTATAGGAATACGTGTTCAAACATCCTGGCGGACACGAACGCCTACCGACGGAAATCGCGGGCCAAGTCAAGAAATGGGAGAGACCGGACAAGGTATTCGGTAGCGCCAACGAACTTGTCGTCCAGACCAAAGTTAACTTAAACGACGTGTACAATTTGCTGACCGTGAACAAATCGCTGATGGACGTCAAAGTAATAGAATAAAACATCGACTCGAGTTTAATAATCCGCGTGAAAGTGGTGCGGGATTGAGAACGATAATTGTACCAATACTGCGATTCTGCAGCTATATTTCGGTGTAAGCTTACGCAGTCCTATCCTAAATACCAATAACGTCCTAAGTCAAAAACATTGGTTTTTATAACATAGATATAATATTCCAAAATTTGAACATTATGTAAATAACTGTCTTAGATTCAACAAAGTTTTGTATATAATGTTCTTAGAATAAATCAAGAACTTTTTCCTTGCTTTAACTTTTACATAATTTTCAAAAATATTAACAATTTATGCCAACAATTTATTTATTAACAATTTATTCGTTAAATAAAATACGTTCTGCATATCTGCATAAGTATGGCGTAAGTATAACATTGCAATGATAAGTGATGTTTGTTTACCGAATTGTCCGAATTCTGTTCAATTTATTTTTATAAACGGGTAAAATTAATAATTAATTGGTTATAACATGATATAGGTACACATATTTATTATATATTTTGGTAATATTATAATAATAGTAATTATGATTCGTCATAATATATAGGTAATGAAGTCTATAGAATTATAGTAGTTATGGTACATGGTATTTACTACACATACAGTACCTACAAACCCACAATAAGTAATTATTAATAATTTGTTAATAATATTCGATCCATCGATAGTATTTATACATTGTTGTAGGCATTTAACACATTATTTTCATAATTAATAGTACATAATGTAGAAATAGGTTAGAAATTAATTAAAATTAATTAATCTTAGAAATGTCAGTATAAAAAGAAAATCGTTACTAACCTAAAACGAAACACCGAATTTATCTTAATTTCATTAATTTTATGACACCCTTTAAATTCATAATACTTTGGACGCCCTAAAGCACTTGCATTGTTCGCCCCCTCGGGACGGTAATGAACATATGCATGCATTCGAATTATAAAAACCGTAGGATCTATTCTGCGCTCCGTACACCGAATCGGATTAAAGCAGATACTGTTTAATAATATAACACACTCGTGCGTAATAAGAAAATGTTTCGCAAACGATGGGTACAGAATAGAACCGCCGCCCCCCCGCAAGGGTCAGTAAGTTTTGCCACGTCGGTTTTTCCAAAAAAGAAAACGATCGGTCGCCGAACGGGGTGGACCGACGTGTCGACAGGTAATGGGATACCTAACCTCGAACCCGGTACCGTGTTCGAAAACGAAACTCACCGATTGGTCTGTTCGATCGCGGTGCCGGCCGGCTGGATGGCAGCAACGTGGTCCGTTTCGGCGCGCGCGTACAACGCTAATGACGCGACGGCTGGTTAGGTACTGGTCGCGCGACGCACGTGGTATCGCGGGACGCCGCGGTCGGAGTGTGCGAGTGCGGGCGCGCGTGAACGTGCGGGTGCGCGCGAGGCGATGGCGTGTACCGACGACGCGCCGGCAACGACTGCGACGACGACCGGACGACAACTGAAGCGTCGGCGAAGAGTAAGAACACGAATGCGCGATGTTCTGTGTACGCGTCGGGTCGGCTCGGTCAGTCTACCCGGTGCTCGCTGGCGATAGGTCACTGGCCCTTCCGCCGCGCGCGCGGTCCAACCGTTTTCGCCGCTATTGCCTTCGCCACCGTTGACCCGTCCGGACCCGTACGGCCACACCGTGTACCCGTCGTGACTCGTTTCCTAGGGACAGGATCCCCGACAAGTAACACGATACGGACGTTCTAACGAGATCGGAACATTCCTCTTGTTTTCTCGATGCCCTAACGATTTTTGCGTCCGTCTACCGCAATCGGTTATTGGTGTGGTGGGAATCGCATTGGAAAAAATAAAATAAAGAGGATATCGAACCCATGACCACTCCCCGCGCCCCTGACCCATAATACGTTTTCGTACGAGATACTGAGACGGCCACGATAAGACCGCCCCGCATGTCGTAAAAAATTATGTATAGAAAAAAAAACGATATTTACTGACACACGCAATCAGCTATCGTCGAAACCATAACATCAAGTTGACCCAAAGTTTACCTTATAATACGCTATCGTGTCAACTGACCAGGTGCTCATCTAAAATACAAATATTTGCGATTCCGTTCATGTTTCGGCACAGTTGAAACGTGTTTCTACAATGCCTAATTTATAGCTTCATAAGCCATTATGTAATTTTTCAAAAATAAGCGAAATTCATTGTTTGAAACGCCCACAATTTTTTAAACTTAAAGTTTAACAAATGAATCAAATCGTTATTAACATTTGTCTCGATCATTGTAACACAAGAAATATGTATACTTGCATAGGTATAATGCATACATTACATTTTATACATCTAAGCTTATAATTGTTATTATTATAATTATAAATTATAGAATAATTGAAAATTAAAAAAATAATCTAATTTTCTATGCGCAAACAAGTGATGAAGAATAAATAAAGTCCCTTATCGTTTTAAGTTCAATATGAAAATAATATATAATAAAAAAGAGTTATGTTTTAAGATTTAGTTTCACGTTTTATTAATTATAGGTTTTTGATATCATTTCATATTCATCAGTTGTTTTTCGATTGTAACAAATTTTCATAACTATTAGATAATTTAAAATGAAACATTCAAAATTGATTATTACTTCATTACTTCAATTTTTAAAACATTTTCTCTAAAACAGGCTATTGGTTTGTTATCGGTCAACTTAGCTCATTATTTATTTATATTTTAAATAATTATAGATATATACGTAAATGTTTCATAACATATACTTCGTTATACATATCAAGTTTCACTTTGTAAAAGTAAATTTAAATACTTGTGTGATTAAAAATTTTTTTATATTTTTTTATTTTTTTATATGAAATGACTTACGCGGTGGATAAAACCACCGCATGAAAATAACACAATCGAGCAAAGGCAAAATTGCAGTTGTAACCATATATTTTCCAAAAACGGCAAAAGTTTTATTCGTTTGTTATAAAAATAGACATCTATGCCAAAAATTTGATTCTTAAAATAATCGTCTATTCAGATTTAGTACGAATAAAAACTGAAAATATTATTTATTTTTTCATAACGTGCAGTACAATTTTTTTCAAATAATTAGCGATTATGTAACATTTTATAAGAACAATTTATTAAATGTTAACGTTAGTTAATGCTTGTTTTAAACAATAATTGTAATTGATTTTTTAATTGATTGGTTATTAATGAATTAATAGCCGAATATAATAATTGGCATGTAATAGTATCTTACACTTGTGTGAATTATTAATTTAATAGATAAGATAGTGTTATTACAATTAATTAAATATTGAACGTTCATTAAAGAAAACCGTATTGGATCGTCTACGATTTGTATTGAATAACACACAAATGTAGGATTTTTGCCCACTTCTCTATTATCTTATCGAATTTTATTTCAAACTTTTTATTTATACATATTATTATCGAGTGCTTACTTAAACAAGTACTCTAGTTCTTTAATTCATTAAGAAGTTCTAATGGATATATGGACAATGTAATTTGAAATATCTTTTGTTTATACTAGATACGATATTTTAGACTAGTGTATAGTGGTTTTTAACTATCAAACTTTTTATACACATTAAGAATTTACAAACAGACAAACATGCATGCACACACACACACACATACAAACATACACGTGTATATAAATTGATAACACAGCAATTATTTATCAAACACGTAATATAAAAATTAAACGTTAGATTCCCCGTATCCCAAAACTGACCATTTCAAGAACTTGAGAACTTAATATCCATTAAAATATTTATAGTTAATTTATTTTTAATATTGAGAATAAAAAATAAACATACTTAAAGAGAAATCGATAAATCTAAAAAATGTATCAGTTATTTAACTTTATAAATTAAATACTTACTAAGTCTTAATTCAAGTTCCATCAACAAATGTTAAATATTTTTTACGCTATAAATATACGCCCGATAACACCTAAATATTTACTTTCATCAGTAGCGGCTCATAGTAAATATTCTAGGGAGACTTAAATTATTTAACATAAACTTCATACAACAACGAACAAAAAAAAACCACTTTACTGGAAAATTAATTATACTTAATACTTAATTTAATATTTAGTTAATATTTTTGACTTAATTTAACTGTACATTTTTTATAAACTAATTCAATTCTGCAATTTTTTTATCTGAGAATTCGAAGATGATGGTGTATAACGATGGCACGAAAATTATTGTCGTGAACCCAGTTTCAATAGCGTTTATAATATGCGGATTATTTTCCCCGACCCCTTCCGTCCAACAAGTTACAAGTAAACCGTTACATGTTACCATTGAACCTGTTGGATGTCAGTTTCAATGAAACGGCGACCGCCATTGAAACAACTAATGATAGGTTTTATCATTGATTATAAATACTAGTATATATAATCAATAGTTTTATATTTTGTGGTCATAAATTAATAATTATAAATATAGAAAACGCTATAACATACTCGTATTTTTAATAAAAATAAAAATATTTCCATACATTTTTAAATACTAATTATTTACAAGTAGTTTTTTTTTCTTTTTAATGGGAGAAGCAGTTTCAAAATCTCTCCTGATGAACCGCCTCTGACTTTCATAGGGCAAATGGAACATTATAAGAATTTACTCATAGTGTTAAATTTTTTATAGCATTAGGTAAGTTATATTTTATTTAACTATATCAATCAAACCGTTATTTGCGCAAATTAAATATGATTGAAGTAATTGATGACAATATTTCAGTATCATAGGCGGACATCTGGGGTGCTTGGAGGGGATTAGCCCCCAAATATTTTAATAAACCCTCCCCCAAAAATGAAAATTTGTTAGAAATGTTATTCGTTGTTTTTATAATTATCTGTTCATTTTTTTGAAAATCGTAAAATAAGAAATAATAAAAAACTATTTACAATAGCATTAATAATACAAATTAGTTCGGCTACTTGTGAAAAGTGTTTCAGTGCAACGAACAAAATTAAAAATTTGGCTAAGAACGTCATTAGTTCAAAATATGTTCAGCGATCTTTCAATACGATATATTGAAAAATATAAAAAGCGATGATATTTTGAATATATTTGCTGATACTAATAAATATTTGTCATTAAAATAAAATATTAATTATTTTTAAAAATATGTTATTTAGTGTTTTTTTAATACAATTTAAACATATCTTTATTTTTAATAGTAATAAGTTTTACTTGTGCATGGGAAAGGGGTGTGGGAGCGAAGTTCCTGCGGGTTATTTTACGTCGAATTATTAAAGCCCCCCTCCCAAAAAAAAAAAATTCGACCAAATGTCCACCTATGGTCAGTATACGTTTACATTTTACATAGGTATACGCAAAATAAATAATGATTTTACTTTTTCATACATTTGTACAGTTTATTATTATTAAAAATAATAAATGTGCCCAACTTGTAAGAAAATTGATACTGAAAAAATAAAACCATTAAATAAAACAAATTCTCGATTTCTTATTTTGTATGGATTCGTATACAAATATTACATGATTGGTAATAAAGAAAAAATATCGTATTACATAAAATGTGCTGTATACCTAGTGATTGAATTTTTTGAAGAATATTGAGGTAATGGAATTTTCCTATTTGTATTATTTGACAAAATCAAACATCTTAAATTTGACATTATCTATGTTCTAATACAGCGATGTCTAACCTTTTTTCTTTGACGGGCCACTTTGGTAAACAATTATCTAAGAGTGGGCCACCAATTATAAAAATACGAATAATATCAATATTAATCTAATAAATTTCTTTTGTTACATATATTAGGTGTATCATATACATGTGTATACATATTGAATTTGTTTTAAAATATTTTATTGACTACCTACTGAATAAATTATAGATTGATGTAAGTACACTTTGTAGGCACACATTAATGTGATCAGTACGCTTTTTCAAGTGCGCGGGTTACATCGTGAAATTTATGTTTTGTAAATGTTCGAAATAAAATTAGTACATTTTAAAAAAATTGTATTTCATAATAGTTTTACTTTTTTATTTAAAAAAAATTGTAACGGGCCACATTGAATACCTTCGAGGCACCACTGTTCTAATACATATCTAGATATCTTTTTTTTAAATAGCAATGAAAAATAAGTATCACATAATATTTAAGAAAGTAATGTATGTGTCTATTTGTATACACAATGTGTATTACACATATATAAATACATGATATATCTGTGTATACATCTGTGGTTCATGGTATATGCGTACAGCTGCACAATGAATACAGAACGAATGTTTTTTCTCATCATGAATATGTTTTATACATATTTTACAATATTTCATTTTACTGTTTATCGTTAGGATTATGTAAAATAACAGTTATGTCTTTTCTAAAAATATTTGTTTAAATGTGACAGTATTGTTTTGAGATATTATGTAAAATAAACGTAAAATCACGCGTTAAATAAACGCATTGTTGTTTCAATTAAAAATTCTTGATTTTAAATACATTTTTTTCTTCTTATGATTTAGGTTTATCGATGGATACTGTACCACATAATGTTGTGTACGAGTCGCTTAAAAAACAAATGGCCACAACCATGGCACCCATCTAATCTGATTTTCTCACGTTGTAAAGTCAAGGTAGCGTGGAACAAACAATCGGATTCCCAATATAATCCATATGGAAAATATTGGTTGAAATTGTTTTTTATGGTCAGTTTACATATTTTACTTATTATAACGTTTCTCATGAATAACAACTAGCTTTGCTCAGATGTTAACACGATCAAGTATTTGCTCGATAATGACATTTTGTACCGTTCACAATGTTTTTTTATGTTTTATTTTAGGGAAAGTTTCGTATGCTGTGTGTCAGCGATCATCTACCATTAGACAACAACAATCGAATTTTACTGCCACTATGTGAAAACAACAAAGTTCTTTGGCTTCCCTTACTTGTTAAAGGACTACTGCGTATTTACGCATTGGCCGACGAGTTTGAACAATTCAATACTATAACATGTCTTACTGGATGGTCTTGTATTGAAACCAATTGCCAGTAAACATCAATATTATTATTATACTTAGTTGCCATATTTTATCATTAATTAATGTAAATTTGGTGTAATGCAAAATTTGAATAGCTCAAGGTGTACCTATATATATTACATATTACTGATTATAAAATATTATTCTAATTTTTAGACGCATTTCGAAAGATGTCGTATGGTCTTCAATTATATCACATTCGTCCAATTCGATTATTAACACAGAACTAACGGACAGCAAAAAAAAAATGAAAAATAAAATTTCTATTCAAAATATTACTAATAAGGAATGTTTTCCGATTAAAACTACCGAAGACACGCAATGCTACTATGACAAAACTAATTTGAACTATGACACAAGTCTCTCAATGTCTATATTTATTGTCATCAAATTATCACCAACTGTCTACAAAGTAACATAATATAATCACCTATTTCTTTACATTCTAATTAGATTCTCAATATCTCAAATATCTATATTTTCATTTTCGAATAATCAATTTTATTTTCAATTTGAACATTTTTAAGTTACCTATGAGTTTGTAATAAAATTACATATTTTTGGTTCCTATAATTTAAGAAATAGATAATTTATTTTAAATGTATGATTTATACACGTTAAACAGATTATTAATGATTCTAATGTGTAATTTAGAAGAAAAACCCTGATTTAATGAATTTACAACCAATATTTTTAAATAACATTAAATTAGCAAAAAACAAATCAATAGAACCATGGAAAACATATCGCTGGATTAAATGGGCAGTCGAAAATGATAAGATCAAACCACACGGTAGGACCCTTTATAAAATAAATAATGTAAATTATTATTAATTGATATTTTTATAACTTAAAATTATTACATAAATAAATTCTCAACTACTTAATAATAAAATTAATTCTTATTTTATTAAAATATTTGTTTACACGCGCTATTCTCCCAATTATGAAATAGCCAGGGAAATTTCTTTGAAATTAATTATAATAATACATGGTAAACACAATAAATTACTTATTTTTATAATTTTCAATGTGCCTAAAAATAACAACCCTCCTAATTGACTGTATTTAAAAGTTTTAGGGATAGCGAGTAGTAAAAGCTTCTTACAACCACACACAGAAGACCTAGAGAGTGAAATCAAATTTACGTTTTAATAAGACATAAATATCGATAAAGCGCGTATTTTTATTGTGTTTTCCAGCTGATAATTGCAAAGTTTAAAATATAGGTACATATAATATATTCCAATTTAATCATCTTCAATTATATCGAAAATGTTTGTGTCCATTGTAATAATAATAATATAATTATAGTTTATTTTAAATTCAGTATAGGTTTAATGATATAATATAGATATGTTTTAATTTTCGATTCAAATACTACTACCATAAATTTATGAGACACGTCTTTATGTTTATACATAACATATATTATACAGAATGTATTATACAACAGTATATTAATCGTGATCTATTATAGCCGCTTCTAGTTTTTGCTGTAGCACGTGACAAACAATAATAGTATATACATTGTTGAATAATTGAATTTTAATTATGTTTTCGGTTGATTTTGTAGTACTATAAATTAAATATGCCAGTAGTTGGTTCACTTAGCTTAATTGCTTTAACTGTTAGTACAAACAATATTAATTATTTACTGTTATATCTATATTAAATACAATATTGGTTAGAACAATAATTTTTATACTACACCCATTTTTTATACTTTTTTTTTCACTGAGAGATTACGAACTATTTAACCCACCATTTCTACTTACGATCTTATCATGTTTAAAATTTAAAATACACATATAATTAACACACACAATAAACATCAAAAAGTAAACGTTTTTACAAGAAGAGATAACCGTGTTCCGATGTTTGCAATATTCTCAAAAAACTTACTTTTAGAAAATATATTTCACTGTTACAGCGGTATAGTGTTATAATTATAATTATCAAGCAATAAAGTTTAATATTACTTCGCAATAATATCATTATTGTCTAATGTTTAAAAAAACATGTGATGTCTTATTAAAAACTGTCTCCAATCCATCATAACCTACATGCAAAAAGAAATAGGTCAATCCATTTTAATTATGCAATTGATGATGGAAAATATTTATACCTCTACAAAAAATTTTATTTTAGAGTTAGGTGATGTTATGAAATTGATAAATATTGAAGCACCTTGCACGGCCACACTGAAACAAACTTGTCCTCTGATGAACGTTCTGAATAAATACAAATCGCCTAAAAACGAAGTGCAATACGAACTTGATTTTCAATACCTGGAACCATTTATGACGTATGTACTATTTCAACGGGAGGCAATTATTTTTTTATTAATTATAATATAACACATTTTCAATGATTTTTCTAATTTTTTTTTTCTTTTAGTCATATTGAATTCTACATCAAACCCTATGAATCCTTTCCATTTGTAAGTTCGATATACTTTCGAGACGAAGAAAGTCCGACGGACGGCAAAAGCAATCTATCATTGAAAAATGTCATTCCGATAGATAATGTTCACTGTTGCGTTTATTTGCGTATCCTTTTTCAAGCAAACGAAACCCATAATTCACACCAAGTACGCTGGATGCGTGTATCGAATGATAATAAAACATTCCTTAACAAGCCCAAAAAACTATAGATTTCGAATCGCCTTACTGCGAATCTATACTGTTCACGTTATCGGTTTGCGAAAATTATGCGATCCACAACGGTAATATTGTAACAGACGCACCTTCGAACCAAATCGCAGTCGATTACTCATTTGTTATGGTGGAACAATTTCTTTGGTACGAGACGAAACTCTCAGCACCTCTATCTACGATTCGCACCAGAGGAGTGTCAAACGACGTGATAAAATTTCAACCTGGGTGAGTTGATCTACACCGTCAGGACATTTGAATGCGCGTACGTGTAGGGCGTGATAATAATTACTTATGTACTATTATTGTTTTGTTATTATTACTATAATTTTATTGTGGCCATTGTATTCGCCTGTACTCGTATACAAAAAATATAAATAGAATAAACGTGCTGAAAGTATGGGGTGAACTACCAGCGAAGTATTCACTGACAGCCGAGTCGACGGTTAACTTCTCTATCTACCGAACGGTGCAAGCCGTCTATGAAAGACTTATCGATCATCCCACATCGTTGACGTCTTTTCTCCGTAAGTTTGTTTTTTTATTTATTAATTTTTTATATTTTTTTATTAGTGTTAAATATTTAACTCAAATCTAAATATCAATGCTTAATATTTGACTATTCAAGAATAAAATAAATAAGCAGCATATTGCGGTATTTCACAACACCAAATAAGTAGATTCCTGTATAGAAAATTACTTTTAATAATAATAAATCACTTAATATTCTACATGTATACCTTAAACATTGAGTAGCTAATGTTATTATTCGTTCTTCGTCATTTTCTCACCACAGTACCAATATAAATGAAAGTAGAGCCAAGTGTAAAATTGAATATTCATATGCATATTATGTACTTTCAGTGCCTATAAATGAATCATTTTTAAAACTATGTGCCACAACGCCAAATACTGGTGATCATGGAAAACATTTACTTAATTTTTACTCTTCGTTTATGCCACCGTGCGCAAATCAAGAAAACGAACTGAAGAAAATCGAAAGATACTCGACTATTTTACAAGTATGCAATATAATCGAATGAATCAAGACAATAAATAATTGTCAAAAATCATTAAAACTTATTTTAATTATCTTATGTATCTTATAACTCTCAGAGTGTCCAAGCAGCTGTAGAAGAATGGATTGAAAACAAATTTCAAAATGATTTGAATGGTATGACAAAAATGTACACGGAACTACAAGAATTATTTCAAATAAATTCATTTGGACAAAAACAAATTTTTAACTTAAATGAAAAACTTAAATTACAGCCAAAAGAAAATCCAATAAAAAAAAAAGATGAAAAACCCATATCCACAAAAAAATCAGTTTTTAAATCAAAATCAGCGGTAGTGAAAAACACGATTAAGTAAGCTTTGAAATAACCTTACTCTTCACTATAATAACTATAATATAAGTTGAACCTATAATAAAGGCCTTATTAATGTTTATTTATTTTAGTTTAACTACACCCAAAACAACTAAAATTAACATGCCAACAATTTTAAAAGCAAATATGTTTGAAATATTATGGTAAGCTGTAATACATTTATATTATTGTTAAAACTTAATAATTTTATGTCAAACAGCCAAGTACTAAATTCCGAAAAAATTGACTTGGACGAGTACTACTTGAAAAATGATTTATTTAACTATGTAGTTAACATTGTGTTTGACGAAAAAATTGCAAAACTTGATGATCCATTGTTGTTATTTCGACTAGAACTCAATACTCATTCTAATTTCGTAAGTATAAATGATATATCGTTTAATTAAATAACGCAGTAGATGTTCTATAAAATATTTTTAATATAAAATAATATAAATCAATGACAGGGTAATATTTAAAATGATTACCTAAAAAATTAATTTTATTCCTTAGGAACGTGTACCGACAATTATACAATTTTCAAATCAAGTTCAAAATGATTACGTTCCAAATTTGATTTTGATTGACAACGATTCTCTAAAAGAAGTCATGCCAATGAATATTGATTTTAATTTGTTTATGATTAACAGAACTACCAACGGATACACGTTATTAGGGTGGTTTTCAGAAAATAATACGGATATTAAATTTTACAGTTTTAAACTTTTATTTTTCGGACGACCATACCAGATATTACATTCATGTGGAACGCTTAAAGAAAAATTCTACAAATATAGCTCAACAATATGCGATAACTTGTGCACACCCAATTTTAATTCTAAGCATGTGAAAAATATATTTTGTAAACCAAATATCAATAACCTATTGGCTAGGTACCTAAATAACTAAAAATATTTCAATTCGATATTAAGTTTTATTTTATTTTTCATCCCAGGGTATTTCTAAACATTGAAAATCCAGCAAGATTCACGATATACTGTCATCTAAAAGATCTAGATAATGTATCTATGGAAATTCGAGTGCTAAACAAAAATAGTGACTCTACGGTCTTAGCATCATCTCGCGTATGTGGAAAAACGGCATTAATTCCAGTTGTATTTTTGGATCCATATTTTAACGAAACAAGTAAATCATAAAACTATTTTTACAAGTATAACATAATAATTAATAAATACTGGATTAAATTGAACCCAAAATATAACAAATAAAATATAAAAAATGTTTCCCAAACATTTTGTTTTTCTCGTTAATTTCATTGATATATTTCAAATGAATATTTTAAAATATATAACTCAAGTGCAATACACTCATAGGCGTACGCAGACCTTTATTTCAGCAGTGCCTACAATACTATTGAGTATGGGCGTATGTAGGAAATATTTTCGAAGGGGGTTTTGGTCTAGATTTATAATAGTACTATAAAATATTAAAATTAAATATTAATTATTTATTTAATTCAACTGAATACCAATACAATATTTTGTTCATATAAATTACAAATTTAAAAATTCATGATGAACGCTTAGCAAAACAAGTCCAGTTAATAGTTTATTTCTTGTCGAATTTCTCAAATATGATTTAATACGTCGTAATGTTGAAAAAGTTCTTTCTGTAGTAATAAATGATACGGGAAGTGTAGAAATAATAGTAAACAATAGTTTTATATTTGGAAAAAATTCAGAATCACATTTTAAAAATGCTTCAAATGCTGAGGATTATCTACAATCTTCTTTTTCTCTTACCCATTTGGATTTCCACAAAAAATATTCTGAATTAAACTGTTGATGATCTGAAATTATTGTCTTGTAAAAATCCCATAAATTAATAACATGTTTCTTATTTGTAAAAACCACTTTATTCAGCATAATATTTTGAAAAAATAAAATTAAATCATAATGATGTTCAAACTTACTTTTTAAATTTGTTATAAAATTATCAAGAAATGGTATAAAAAGTGCTTTTCTATAATATTCTTCCGTTGTAGAATCTTAATAAATGTCTCGATTAATTTTTTTTTTTTAAATCTTGGTACACTCATTGTGCCACCAACATCAGTTAAAATTTTCGATGCCGTAATACATCTCAGCATTTTGGTGAAAAAAATTGAAAGAATTAACGACAACTTGTACTATTTCGGGGGATGTTTGAACACTCAAAACTCCCCCCTTACCTACGCCCATGACTATTGGAGCTTATTTTAACAAAACATGTTGGTATATTAATTAATTCTAATACATAAATAATTAAATAAACAAACTTTAATTATTTATTGAATATTATGGTACATTAACCCCAATAAAAATGTTATTCTTAAATCTCATGTATTTTTCTCAGATAATATCAATTTTTATGATTTGTACTTTTTACAGTTAATTGTAGTTGTTATATTATTATATAAAGCTAGATTAATTTTTAATATATATATAGTTATTAATTTATATTAAGTTTTTGCACGAACATTTAGAAAATTTAATTTGATTTTTTTTTTTATTACAAAACGTCATTTATTTTTTACCAAATATTATGGAATAAATTTCATTTGATTTGAATAACACCATTTAAAATATGAGCCTCTTACTCTTAACATTTAATTGTAGGGCATTATTTATAAAATTTCTGGAGGTGCTCGAGCACACTCCGCATCCCTCATGAGCATGCCTATGAATACACTAATCTTAATAATTATACCTAAATGGGTTATATTTTCGAAAACGATTTAATATAAATTTAAAATACAAATCTTAAAACAAAATTATATATTAAATTTTTTAATAATCCTCTCATTTTCTGCAATATTTTATCATTTGTGCCTTAGAACTTACAATACATTTAAGTCATAAATTATACTTTGAAGCCAATAGTAGTTTATTTTTAAAAGCTTTGTATTTTTTAGATACAAATACTTCTACTGATAGTACTAACAATTCGATCAAAAAAAATTTTGTAATCGAGGTTCTTTTAACCAAGAATATTGAAATAAATTATTTCAGTACAGATAAATCAAAAAATGAATACGATTGGACGATTTCATGCACTTACGATCAAACAGTAACAATTTTCACAAAATCTAAATGACTTATAATGTTTATATTTTTACTTAATTAAAGACTTAAAGTAAGTTATAGCGTTTGATTAATTAGTTATGTTTATTTTTAGCTTACAGATATTACATTAGAAATAGATACCGCTTGGGATTATTTTCAATTTTACAATTCCACGCCACATCAAATATCTACTGAGCATTTGTCAGAGAGTAAATCATTATTAGGTAAATCACCAGATTAATCATATAAAATCCAAAATCAATAACCCTTATTTATTTTTAATTAATATTTCTGATTACTTCTTAGACTCAGAATTCGGTGTTCAGATAGAAGATAGTAATATTTCCCAACCTAATTTGAGTTATCAACAAACATTGAAATCTATGATGATCACTAAAGTATTTACCTACTCGGATTTACAATAAAATAAATTACTAATTCCAGAATATAACTATAGTTTATTCAATACAATTTTATTTGTTTAGGACTTGTACAAACGAAATTTCGTGGATAATTACACTAAAGAGTCTCGTAAATCTCTACTTGAAAAAGAAAACATATTAAAAGATAGAGTATCTGAAATAATCGAAGAACATAATATTTTCGTAAATACTATCAATAAAAACATTGATTTAGAAAATGAAATCGCTCAAGTAAATAATTAACTGATAGTTATAGCGATTACTATTATAACTCATATTTTTTGCCAACATTTATTTACAGACTAAATTTAATAATTCATGCATGCAAATCTTAAATTCATTTGAATTGCAGCGAAAATCATCTTTAAATATGAGGCCATCACGAATGTGGAAAAAGAAAACATAATTTGTCAGAAAATGACTAATTGTAAAATTATTATTATTCCAAAGACATCTAATTAAGCTATTGAAATTATTCATGCCATGTTTAATTAATATATATATAAATGTGAAACACTGTTAAATTTCAAAATTAATCCTTAAGACATTTTGTATTGAATTTCTAATGTAAAGAAGAATTCAGATTTTGAACACTTCTATAATTTGAAAAATTATCATGCGTGCAAAAAAACGATATACAAAACTATTAATTTATTTAAACTATCTAAACTTTTAAAGTACTTACCATTAAAAAATCGTTATTCTGAGTAAATCAAAACTCAAAATAAATATAATTCTATTATCCAATTAAATTATAAAACCGCAGTCGTTTTAAAAAGATTATCTAAAAACATAATTATAAATACTAAGAGAATTCTTATTATGGTTTTTTGTAAATTTCTTTTTTTCACCATTAAATATTTGTTCTAACCATATAAATATCTTGTGAAACGACTATAAAGTTATATAAATTGTAATACACTTAAGATCATTCGCAACCAAATATTGCACCATGCTAAAATATTGTTAACAACCCAATAAAAAACTTATTTCACACGTAGTCAGCATGATAATTCAATAACAATAATGAAGGGACATTCTATTATATGACATGGACAAATATCGAACTATCAGAAACCAACTCCAAATTTGGCCATGACTAACGGTATGTGCTGTATCGAACGGAATGCAGATATACATGGCGCGTAGTGCGATTGTATTATATTATGGTGTCAGAAATTTGATCCTTTTCAGAGTAAAACCTTACAACTGGGTTACAAAAAAAAAATAGAAAAAGAATAAGTTGGAAAATATCTCAAGTAAAATTGTACTCTACCGTGTAAATTATGAGAGGTAAAAATAATAAAATAATATCATTGTTTTTGAAACCAATGATATTACCAATATATATGTTACGGGTAAAGTTCAAAAATGGGTAGTTTACACAATACCCGGGTAAAGTACACCTTATTCATATGGATAGTATAATGTGTACATTATCCAGTGTGCTATAAGTTTAATTCGAAAAAAATTATGAAGTTCCTAAACTATGTATTATTAAGTTATTATTTTATAATAAAAAATGTTAAAAAATTAAATAAAGTTATTTATTGGAACACTTTGAGTCATTTTGAGTTGCAAAATATGTCTCCAGATTTACATTTAATCGTACATTTATTTGTTAAATGATTATTTTCACGCAAACATTTTTTAAAACTGACCATCGAAAAAAATCGTGCATTAGCTATTTCACAAAAAGATTTTTTTGTAACCGACACTTATAAAATATTTATAAAAGTTTCATTATAATTTATTTGTTTTTATTCACGTTTCTTATTTCAGATAATATGTTAAAATATTTTGATTCCTTTAAATTTACCGAATTTCCATTCTTTTCATTAATTTATTTATTATAATTTTCATATAATTTCTATTTTTATAAGGTTTTTTAAGGTTTTTTTTTAAAAAACTAAATGATCAATCATTAATAAACCGAACAAGTGAACTTGAAAACCAATAGCACCGTATGTAGTTTAAATTTATTATACAATATCAATGCACACGATTTAACATCATGTAGGTACAATTTATATTTTATCGTATTTTATTAATATTATCTACAGTTCATATTTGTAGTATTTTATTTTATGAAAACACTATCCACTCAAAGATAGATAATGTAAAAATTACCCGGTTGATGTACCTATAAAATAAATGTTTTACAAATATGTTTACTTTATCCAATGGGCATGGGTAATGTTCACATTACCCGGATGATGTGTACATTACCCGATTTTCTTACTCTACCCGTAACATATACATATAAAGGCTCGCGAGTAATATAATAGGAACATGTAATTTTTTTATAAGTCCCTTTGGTTTGTAGCAAAATTATAATTGATTTTATTCAGTGATAAGATTAAAACAAAATGTTGTATTTTATATATTTTTTGTTTTATAAAAAAAATTGTATATTTTTAAATATTTTGCGTGTATATCAACATTAGATTATAAGCATTTCAACACAACATTGCCAAAGAACATTAATCATCAAGTAAACAAAAAAAAGATATTTAAAAAAAAAAAGAATCATTCCATACAATGATCTTTTTAGTCTTGGGTGCAAATTTACAATTATTCAAATTAAACGGATTTCAATATTTACTTTTGAATTTACAGTTCTTGACAATTACATTTAACTTAAAATAAATATAACCAATATCAGCATATACAACGTATATTGAGACGATTTTCGAACCATGTCGTCAATCCTCAGGCAAGTAAAATTGTACGTCGCAGTCACGACTGTAATACCGCATTACATTACCAACACGATATCAATACTTACGTATTATAATTTATAGATACCTACTATAGAAGGCTGGATTAAGGGGGATAGAGGGGAGCCATAGCCCCGGGCTCCAAACGGATATCAAACAATAATTGTTACTTGGAGGATATAATGTTTTTTTTTTAATTATTAAATCAGAAATATTTGGATAAAATACATTAATGCTTCCTATACTCTATTCTATATCGATAATGAATAACATTTTTATTATTATGCTATCATAATATCAAAAATGTCGTCATTTTTTAGCAGAATGATAATGGTAAGGAAGAATTTATAGGAATACCCAAGTACGGTGAATACTGTCAATTACGATTACGAATTTACGATGGTTGAAATATTATTACTAGGTATTTAAGATATAGCTGTAAAACTTTTTTTGATTATAAAACATATACTCACCTATTTAGTTATTACTTATTATTGTAAGCCCTTAAAATTGTTTAACCTGTGGCCCAAAAATATCCTAATCCGGGCTTGCTACTATATATGATTAAACTACGTTTTTCGCGATAAATAGGTACAAATTTTGATTCACGGCCCATGCACAGGCTTCTACTGCGTAATTCTGTAAGTTCTGTAGCCGAAATGAGTTATTTATCTTATTTATACACGTACGGTTAACTAATGATCACGGTTGACTCGGTGAGAAAAATATACAACGCGACACTGATCATTATTTTATTATTATTATTTACCCACCTTATAATATTATAGTGTTATAATATTGTACCTACTTGTGCTATTTTAACAATACAACTCCGTCATAGTTACCCTCCAACAAAAATCATTCTTGTAGCATAGTAGTATCTTTTGTCTTCATTTTGCTTGACATGAATCGGTTCATGATATTGTTTGGATAACGCGAATTAAACTCCGCATTTTTTTAAACTCGTCATCGTAATAAATATTGTAGTGCACTAAAACAAAACCGCTGTATATGATTATTTCATCACCATTAATGGCTATAAAATTAACACTACAATTTTAATGACAACCAATGATCGTCGCCATGCTTATCTGCACTTCGACATGTATTAGTAGTACCTAGATTTTAATTTAATTTCATAAACACTTATCAATACTTAAGGTTTATTTTATTAAACAAATCTTTGAATAGCAATCACGATTTCATGAAGTGTTTGCATTACAGCACTTCTATTACTGCCAGGGTCATTTTAACAATGTAATTTTTTTAATATTTGTTTAAATAAAAAAAAGAACATGAGTTATCGTTGAATGTAACGGATGTGAACGTGAAAAATTGATGTAAATAAAAAATAATCGGCTGAACATAAAATCGGGATTCAATTCATTTCATGCAGGGGAGGGATCCTGATTCTTTAAAATAGTATGGTGACGACGCATCGACGTAATATATTCGATATACACAAGAAAAAACATTGAATATCAACCGCAAGGATATTATAATACTGTCACAAAACTAACCTTTTGATAAGATTAAAATAAAATAAATTATTTATAAAAACAACATCGTTGCCAAGTTATAAATTTAAATGCCAATAAGACGTGGAATCTAACCTGAAATTCATTTTTCTTACTAAAACATTTTTCTTGCGTTCAATAATAACTATATTCGCGTTTGTGATCTAATAGAATAATAAATCAGTTCATAATTCCATTCAATATATTAACTTCTTGTACACCATGCACATACTATATTTACATTAATCGTGTGGTCTACTGAAGGTTACGTCTTGACCAAGCGTGTGTACGCGCTGACCCGTCTCGTGGGAGGTTTTCTTTTTATACCTGGATTCAAAGACGTCATGATGAATTACGGAGGCGCCACAGTCGATAATCATCATCATTTCATGTAGGGACAGCGGGTAAGTTATCTATCGGAAACCCAACACACAAGACGGTTTACAAGGAGCCGCCTTTGTCATTTTCCTAAGATTTACTCGTACGAACCAACGGCGTCAGTGTTTAATGTACGAGTAAGGATAGAAGACCGCACCATTAAGACCGAAATCCAATTCGCTACGACCACGTTACCGTGTACGTCGAAACGTTAAAAGCGACTACTCACTCACTTGCACTGATATAGTGTAACAACAATAAATGACACGGCTGTTGTTTTCTGAAAGAAAAAAAAAATACGTTTCTGTAGAGAAAAAAAAATGCACTCCGTGCCCATATCGTGTAATACGATTTAAATTTGCTTCGTTTACATTTTCCGATTTATCGGGGCGTGGGTTTTGTTAAAAGATTACCGACTATTTGCATATTATGGTTTTAAATATTACGCATAGTAACGTACAAATTGTACGATAAGCAATTATTATCGTGGATAATATGACATAGGTAAGCAGTTATATGACTGAGATTTTCCAATCACCGACCGTAACAGAAACGAATTAAAATTACTTGCAGCTGCACTTTTCGTTCGATATTTTGCATTGAGTAGCCAAAAAACAAACAATGCAAATATTCCTATCCTAAGATAATATCTGAAAATAATTAACCTCCAATACGTACATGTGCACATATATAAACAACGCGGTCTTTATACGACATGGAACAAGACTGTATAATTCGCCTCCAGTATATCAATTGTAATTGTGAATTTTGAGCAAGTCATACGTTTTCTACACCGCAAATCCAACGAAATATTAAAATTCATGTGCGT